GTGGTCATCCGTGGAACCCATTCTTTGCCTCTTGGGGGGTGAGCGTCTTCTCTGTTCCCTCGGATGTCGTGTATAGGTCTGCGCTGGGTCCATGGCGTACCAATCCATGATGCGCACCTCTGTGAGTTTCAGTGCCCTGATAAATGGTGACACGTCCCTGTGTTCTGCTATGATGTGGTTAGTCCCTTTAAGTGTAACAATAAGGGCTAAGGTTTTCTGGCTCGCAGTTGGTCTGTGATCGGCTTCAGGTGTCGCCTTGCTTGGAGAGTGAGCCATGAGAGATCTTGGTAAATCTGGATCTCGTGCCCATGGAACAGCAGTGGCGGCTCGGTGTCTCTTAGCTTCATCAGTATACGATCCTTATCTGTGAAGTAGTGTAGGCGACATATGATATCTCTTGGGGTGTCTCCGTTGTTACTTTTGGGTCTAAGTGAGCGGTGCGCTCTGTCAAAGTGGATCGGTGTTGGTGGTGGTTTTTCTAATAATAAATTGAATAACTCTTGCAGGGATGCTTGTATGTTTTCAGCCTCTGTTTCGGGTAGGCCCTTTATCCTGAGGTTGTTCCTGCGCCCCCTATTGTCAATATCATCTAGCGATCTCTGAAGCTGTGACATTTGGGTGTCGTGGGCATCTAAGCGGTCTGAGAGGGTGGTAAGTTGGGCCTGTACTCGTCCCCTATCTCCCTCTAGGTCTTGGACACGGAGGCCTACCTGCCTGATGTCTGCGCCCAGTCCCTCCATCTTGTGCTGGAATGAAGATTCTAGTTTCTGCAGCATAGCAGTGAGGTCTGCCTTGGAAGGCAAATTCTTAAGCAGTTCCTTGATGTCTGGATCCGCTGAGGCTACTGATGCCTCGGATGCATCTGGGCTGGGTGGATTGGAGAGGCGTTCTCCCGCCATCGGCGCCATGTTTGTCTCTCCGTGTTCCGCCGTGCGACCGGCACAATCTTTAAAAAATGTTGAAACCGAGCCCGGTTTCTCGGCGGGTACCTTCCCGCTGCTTGTGTGGGCGCTCTGCGTCCGTTTGGGGTTCCCCATGATCGTTGGCGCTCGTGTCCCAGCTATTTTTAATGCCTGCAGTGCCGGAGCCGATCTAACATGCGGCCATCTCCTCTAACGGTCGGCCACGCCCCCCTCGTCTCTTATGCTTTTTGATGACTCTGCTGGCGGGTTTTCCGTGGGCCATCCACCAAGCCGTGCTCCAAGTGGAAGAGATTGAGTGCAATGATGCACAACCACTTATGTGTCAGGATGTGGACATGCGAGGACTATGACGAAACACAGGTGCCAACTGCTGTGACTTTCTGCAGTATGCAGACCGGCAAGGAGGGCAGGGTTGAGGAGTGGGTGGAAGATGATGTGGAGGATGATGAGGTCCTAGACCCCACATGGAATCAAGGTCATGCGAGTGACGTGTGCAGTTTGGAGGAAGAGGCGGTGGTCGCACAGAGGCACCAGCACAGCATAAAAGTGAGCAGGGTGCAAAAGCGGAGCGGCCGTCCCCTAGACAGTATGCCTGCTACTGCTCACAGCACCCAGGGACCGAGCACACCAAAGCCAGCTCCAATGTGTTGACGGCACGAGTGGTTTGCAAGCTGTGCAATCAGAGCCTGAAGATAGGCATAAACGTGCTAAACCTGAGCACAACCTGCATGACCAGGCATCTACATGCAAAGCACGAGCTGCAGTGGAGTAAGCACCTCAAAACCCAAGAAAGGTCACAGGTTCCTCCTGCTTCCTCTTCTGCTGCTGTCTCGGCCTCTTCCTCCAACTCTGGAGTGACAGTGGCACCTGCCACCCCGCAAACAAAGGATGTGGCAGCAACGCCACCACGTCCGCCACCATCCCCAAGCATGTCCACACTGTCCCATGAAAGAGGAAGTACCCCCCTACCCATCCACGATCGCTGGCCCTAAATGCCAGCATTTAAAAATTCATGTCCTTTGAAATGCTGTCATTCCGTCTGATGGAGGCGGACAGTTTTAAAAACCTGATGGTGGTGGCTGTCCCACAGTAGGTGGTTCCCAGCCGCCACTACTTTTCCAGGCAAGCCATCCCTTCCCTGCAAAACCAATGGGCGGACAAACGCCATCTGTGGCAAGGTCCATCTGTGGCAAGGTCCACATAACCACAGGGATGCTATATCTCCCTAACTGCACACTGGGCAAATGTAGTGGCAGCTAGGCCTGAGGCAGATAGCAGTTTGGCGCACGTCCTTCCGCCACCGAGGATTGCAGGGCATTTCTCTTTGCTTCCTGTTGCCTCCTCCTCCTACTCCGCTTCCTCCTCCTCTAACACCTCCTCATCCAGTCAGCATAACACCTTCACCACCAACTTCAGCACAGCCAGGGGGAAACGACAGCAGGCTGTTTTAAAACTCATACGTTTGAGGGAAAAACCCCACACCGCGCAGGAGCTGTGGACGGGCAGGGAACAACAGACCGATGAGTGGTTGTTGCCCCTGAGCCTCAAGCCAGGCCTGGTGGTGTGCGATAATGGGCGAAATCTCGTAGCGGCTCTGGGCCTAGCCGGTTTGATGCACAACCCTTGCCTGGCGCATGTGCTGAATTTGGTGGTGCAGAAATTCCTGAAAAACTACCCAGATATATCAGAGCTGCTGCAGAAAGTGCGGGCCGTCTGTGCGCGCTTTCTGCGTTCTCACCCTGCTGCTGCTCGCCTGTCTGCGCTGTAGCATAACTTCGGGCCTTCCCGCTCACGTGCCCACAAGCTGGAACTCCACCTTGCACATGCTGGAGAGACTGTGCGAGCAGCAGCAGGCGATAGTGGAGTTTCAGCTGCAGCATGCACAGGTCAGTCGCTCTGCGGAACAGCACCACTTCACCAGCAATAAGTGGGCCTCCATGCGAGACCTGTGTGCCATCTTGCACTGTTTCAAGTACTCCAGCAACATGGCCAGTGCCGATGACGCCTTTCTCAGCCTTACTAACTCGCTTCTATGTCTCCTTGAAAATACGCTTCGGGCGATGATGGAAGAGGATGTGGCACAGGAGGAGGAAGAGGGGTCACGTCCACAGTTATCAGGCATTCACAAGTAGCTTGGAGGGTGGGTCCAGCCAGGGCACAGTTCTGGAGGAGGATAAGGATGAGGAACCGTGTTCACAGCACTCAACACAGCTCGTGGGCATCACTGGAGCGTGGCTGGGGGGGATACGGAGGACACAGACGATACACCTCCCACAGAGGACAGCTTGTCCTTGCCTCTGGGCAGCCTGGCACACATGAGCGGATACATGCTGCAGTGCCTGCGCAACGACTGCCGAGTTGCCCACATTCTAACTTGTGCTGATTACTGGGTGGCCACCCTGCTGGATCCCAGTTACAAGGACAACGTGCCGTCCTTCATTCCCTCACTGGAGCGTGATAGAAAGATGCGCGACTACAATCACACGCTGGTAGACGCGCTGCTGAGGGCATTCCCAACTGACACCGGGGGCTCAGTGGAAGCACAAGGCGAAGGCAGAGGAGGAGGAGGAGGTCACCAACGCAGCTGGGGCACCGCCAGCACCTCAGAAGGCAGGGTTAGCATGGCCGAAATGTGGAAAAGCTTTGTCAGCACGCCACAACAACCAGCACCACCATCTGATATGGAACGTCTTAGCAGAAGGCAGCATTACAGCAACATGGTGGAACAGTATGTGTGCACACGCCTACACGTACTGACTGATGGGTCTGCCCCATTCAACTTCTGGGAATCCAAATTGGGCACATGGCCTGAGCTTGCCCTTTATTCCTTGGAGGTGCTGGCCTGCCCTGCAGCCAGTGTATTGTCTGAACGTGTGTTTAGCACGGCAGGGGGCGTTATCACAGACAAGCGCAGCCGCCTGTCCAATGTGTACAAGCTCATGTTTATTAAAATGAACCAGGCATGGATCCCACCAGACTTGTCTGTACCTTGTGCAGAATAGATATTTATAACGGCCTCACCCAGCCATTGTTATACTCAAGAGCACTTATTCTTTGTTTTCTTTTTTTATATGTCCCAATATTTTGGGGGCTACCCCAATTAAAAATAAATAAAAAGAGTAAATAAAAAACAGTGTTGGCTACCTCCTCCTCCTCCACCGCCGCTTCCACCTACACCATCACGGTCACCGCCTCTTCAACCTATTTGTCACTTAGTATAAACTATGTACACAATAGCAGAGGCTTGTGAAGGCCTTTTCTCCATGCATCAGGAGTTGAGCTCAGTTTGAACAATGAAAGAGAATACTCCAACCCTCTCTCAAATGGATAATTCTGGTGATCCTCCTGACAGCCATGCTTTAGATTTTGATTTATGTTCTTCCAAAGCTAAAATCAAAGATTGCATCTAGTGCTATTTTATGGCTCAGCTGTATTTAAAATTTTTATGTATTTTATGTTATTTTAAGTGATTTCCCTATCCACATTTGTTTGCAGGGCACTTGTCCTACTCTTAGCCCCATTTTACTTTCCTTTGCAGCCCTCTAGCCCTTTCCAGGACTTTTTTAGAGGCATTTTTGTGCCCAAAAGTTCGGGTCCCCATTGACTTTAATGGGGTTCGGGTTCGGGGTCAAGTTCGAGCCCGAACTCAAACTTTTTGATGAAGTTTGCCCGAACTCGGCAAACCCGAACATCCAGGTGTCCGCTCAACTCTACTGGAAATCTCTGAACCACCTCACTGGCCCAGGTATCCAACGGTTATCACTTAAGGAGGAACCTAAGCCCTATCTACATCGAGGGTGGCAACGCTCTGATCATCTGGAATTTGTGAGTGCAATATAACACCAGATTATATATCATTTCCAGACAATATTGCGCTATGTTTTATCCTTTATTTTAGGTACACTAGCAGGATCCCTAAACTACCTATCCTTTATATAAATTATGCTATGTGGGTGTGTAGTAGATTATTTTCTGCAAACCAATTAGTTTGAATGACTATCTGTTCCTGTCCAAATTAAAGATAATAAAGTTGCGTGCACGCAGAAGTAAATTCACACTGAAACACAGAGTTCAGGTTAATGAAAGAACTTCGGAAAAGTTTAATGGCTTCTAACAGAAAATGGGTGCGCAGACCCTTATAAAGGCATTTTTACATCACTGAAGAATTCAAGATAACAGCAAATAAACTTTAATAATTGGTCCAGGTGTTAAGTGGTTAGTTAGATACCCTCCCATCAAGAGGTGATGTCATCCTTGACACGGGGGTGGACACGAGATGTAGGCGCCATCTTGACTCGATGGGAGGGGTGCTTTGGCAGCCATTTTGAGTAGTTAGTATAGTTAGCTTCAAGGTTCTTTTAGTAAATACACATTTTATTATTCAGCACATTTCTTCCTGCCAAAGCATTAGCTTAGATAATTTCAAGAATTCTATAATTCTACAACAGGTGGACTACTTTTGATTGTGCAGATATATATATAAAAATACCAGTAAATATCAAATGGTACAGAGTGTATCTTCTTGACAGGGGGCTATAGATCCCCCTCTGGAATTTAGTAATCTTTGTCGCAAGTAGTATTATTTTATTAATCCTTTATAACATCTGATCTGTAAATAGAAACTTAGAATATACCTCCATCTTTTCAGTGTAGTCTATTATAGGGTGTAGTGGGTTACAGGCATAGCCGATCCTGGGCGGGTGCACGGGGTGCACCTCACCCAGGCGCTCTGTGAGTAGAGGATCATTGCGGTGTTAGGCTCAGCCCCTCTCGCTAAGTCCGCCCTTTGTTTTAAGCTCCACCTCCTGTCTGAAGGCCCCATGGAGCTCCTGGAAGGCTGGCTGGCTGGGCTGGAAGGTGAGCACACTCAGGAAGGAGGGGGTGGGGGCTACATAAGAACACAGTAGGGGAGGGGGCTAGGAGGGTACAGGAGTGAAGGAGGCTACATAAGGGCACATGAGGGGGACTAAAGAGGAGGGGAGAAGGGCTACAAAAGGGGACAGGAGTAGAGAAGGGCTAAAGACTGCACAGAAGGGGAGGGAGGCGAAAGACTGCACAGGAGGGGAGGTGGCTAAAGAGGGTACAGAAGGAGAGGAGGTTAAAGAGGGCACAGGAGGTGGTTACATAAGGGAGCAGGAGGGGGGCTAAAAAGGACACAGGAGGGGAGAAGGGCTACAAAAGGACAGGTGGGGAGAGGGGCTAAAGAGTGCACAGGAGGTGAGAAGGGCTACAAAAGGGGACAAGAGGGGAGAGGGGCTAAAGAGGGCACAGAGGGCAAAGGAGGGAAGGGGGCTACATAAGGGTGCAGGAGGGGGGCTAAAGAGGGCACAGGAGGGGAGAAGGGCTACAAAAGGACAGGAGGGGAGAGGGGCTAAAGAGGGGAAAGAAGGGGAGGGGAAAGAAGGGGAGGGAGCTAAATAAGTGGACAGGAGGGGAGAGGGGCTAAAGAGGGCACAGGAAGGGGGACAAAAGAGGGCACAGGAGGGGAGGGGGCTAAAGAGTGCAGAGGAAAGGAGGTGGTTAAAGAGGGCACAGGAGAGGGCTAAAGAGGGCACAGGAGGGAATAGGGACTACATAAGGGCACAGGAGGGGAGAATGGCTACATAAGGGGAAAGGAGGGAAGAGGGGCTACAGAGGACACAGGAGGGGAGGGGGCTAAAGAGGGCACAGAAGGTGGGCTACATAAGCGGACAGGAGGGGAGAGGCTAAAGAGGGCACAGAAGGGGGGGCTACATAAGCGGACAGGAGGGAAGATGGGCTACAGAGGACACAGGAGGGGAGAGGCTAAAGAGACACACAGATGCTGGGGGAAAAAGGCACAAAGATGGCCTGAGATGGGACTGTAACGGCACCCCGGGCATAAAAGGGGTTAAAGCCGTTTAGGAGATATTCCCTTTCCAGATATAAAGGCAGCTACCAAATACACCAATCCGCCGAACAGGATATCCATACAAATGCTCCAAACCATACGAATACTTCAAACAGCCGAACAGGAAAAACCATACGAATAGCTTTACACTCCCAAACAGCATACTAGTAAAACCATACGAATAACCCCCCCCCCCCAAGTAAGAGACAAGGCTCTGTATTGAGGGTCAGCAGGTGATCTGGTTTAATGGGGCTAACTGCCCGGTATTTATGCAGGTCTCCCACCCGGTGGACACTCACAAAGGGGACCTGGTGGGAAACTAGGACACAAATTGTACATTGACCAATAAGAACAGTTTAGCAGTAAACACTCCCCTTTGGAAAACAGGGACCCACAATTATCTCCGAAGATACAGCACAACCTCAATTTTATACATGTTACTAAAAAGACATAAAAATACATAATACTAAAACTACCGAATAAACTATGCAGGTTCAACATAGCTTAGATAGCTTAGATCTGAGCGCATATTATTACTGAATGGCGCTCAGATCACATACATACAGTTCAATCACCATGGAGCCAAAGTCTTTCACATAATCTTTCGTTATACGAATGGGCTCCGTGGGATAGCTATCTGGGGTAGCACTGTTCACATAACCAAAGTCCCGAACGGCCCGGCGTTCGTATAAACGAATGAGAACAAGAGAAGGGAGGTCGGCGGCTTCACCGGTGTTCGTGAAGAAAAGTGTCCATTTTCAGTTCCATGAAATAGTCAACGAACATCGCTGTGCATTCGACAGTTTAAGATGGCCGCCGCCACGTGTTCGGCTATACAAACAACGGCCACCCAGCGTTCGTCAATTAAGCTGCGGTTACCCGCAGCTTCAGGGAGGTAAATTGCTGGCACACTCCATACCCAGGTGGTCCGGTCATTCGTACGTTTGTTCTGCAAATTGAATTTACCGAAAGCCATAGCAGAAAGGTACGAAGAAGCATTTCTACAGGGAGGAATAAAAGTTTTAACATTTTAACCACCTCCACGAAAGGGAAAGGCTGGAGTAGCAGGCCCCAGCAGGCCCGGCGCATTGGTGCCCGTAGGTGGACAGGTCTACGCGGCCTGCAACACTGAACCCACTCACGAGACTGCATACCGCATACCGCAGATACGAACCCACCCCAGCAGATGGCGCCGCAGGAACCCACAGCAAAACCAGCCCAACTGGGCTCCAACAGATACTCCAAGAGGCGCACAAAGAGGAGCTGAGAGGAGACATAGAGACACACAAAGAGGAGCTCAGAGGAGACATAGAGACACATAGAGGGCTGAGGGGCACATAGACACACAGAGGGGCTGGGGGCACAAAAAAACACACAGAAGGGCTGGTGGCACAAAGAGGAACATAGAAGCACTTGGGGGGCAAAGAGAAACAGAGGGGCTGGGGAAGGGGAAAAAAGAGACACACAAAGGAGTTGGGGAGACCAGACACACATAAGGGCTGTGGAGAGAGAGACACAAAAGGGAAGGGAAAAAAATAGACACACAAAGGAAATAGATGCCTGCTGGTGGAAGAAAGAGGCCAGTCACAGTTGCCAGCACCAGTCAGCTGGCTAGCCACAGAAGCCAGCCTGCCTGCCAAACAGCCACAGTAGCCTGCCAGCCAACCAAAGCAGCCAGCCAGTCGGCCACAGCAGCCAGCTGGCCACAGCAGCCAACCAACAACAGTAATTAAGGTTAGAAGAGGCAGCTTGAGCTGGGTATCACAGAGCTGTGTTACATCACCATATTGTGAATGGGGGCCAGCATTTTAGAGAAAACAATCTCCAGGGCCCTTTAGACTCCATTGTAGTATCTAATGGGACCTTGAGAGAACTCTTATTAACATACAGTTTACATATTTGTGGACTGAATATTCTTGGAAACATTAAAAATAATTGTGTGTGCTTTCTACATACACACTGCATCCCATGCACAAACACTCAGACACACACTACATCCCCTGTACACAGACACACCCTGCATTCCCTGCACACACACAGACATACTGCATTCCCTGCACACAGAGACATAATGGGTAATCTCCTATGTCCCTTCATTTTAGCCAAAAAAACAACCTTCTAACACCCTCCCTAACCCAACGTTCCCCTTGAAATAATAAACACCAACACAATGTTGCTCCCAAGGGGGTGTTAAGCCACAATGTTGCTCCCAAGGGGGTGAAAGGGGGTGTAAAGCCATCGCTGGCTGCATTTATTGAGTACATCGAGGCATCATCAAAAACCATTCAAACGGAACGGCCATAAAATATAAATATAAATATAAATGGTAATAAATATAAATAGTAGCTAGGTTGGCAGCACTGAGTGCTAGACTCCTCAGCCCACCAGAGGATTCGACTCAACCTAATCCTGCAGCGGAGCACCCATTGAATCCGCCCAAGCAGAGGCATAAGGATAGCAAGGGAGAATATTTGGCACGGCCACCTTAAATGCATACTGCAGGCTGGTGCCCTAGCCAGGCCACTGCTCAATAGGAGGAAAAAGCCCAGCTTCTTTTCTGCTGTCACTCCCGCCCTCTCTCTCTCTGCACCACGTTCCCTCTGCACCACGTTCCCTCTCACGTGGCAGAGGGAACAGGAAACTCCAACCCAGGAGGGCAATGAACCTTCTGGCCATCAGATCCGAGGGGAGAGACTAAATGTAACAACCAGTGACTCAAAAGGCAAGTTCGACTAAACAGGCTCCACCACTGGCACATCGCTATGTTCACAATATACACAGAAAACAAGTAAAAAGTAGGCGCTCGTAATAAAATCGTCTAAAATAAAACAAAACAACCTGTTAATATAAAAAAGAGCTGCACCAAAAACAAGTGTAAAACTCCTCCAAACACTTTAGTGAATATACTTAAAAATAATAAGGTGCGCTGTGTCTTTAAGACCCAAAAATATATAAAGTGCAACTAAGTGCAAACAAATTGATAAAGTGCAAAGTGATACAAAGTGCACTTAAAGTGTAGAATATCAGTATAAAATATTATACATACATATGGCCTCTCAACTCCAAATATACATAGAAAGGAAAAGAGACATAAAAAAACCAATAGTGTGAAACCGTATTAAAATGGTAGTATGGATAATAAATGCCAAATATTGCACTCACAAAAGTAGAGCAGAATAAGCCTGCTCTAGCTTTAACAGCTTCTTCAAATGTAGGACTGCACAGACGAAAAAATATTCCAAAATCTTTATTGCCCAGCACAGCACCAATATATCACCTTCCTCCACACTTAGTATTCAGTTCCAGAGCCTTCGGTAGCATACAGCATAAGGGTGTCGACCTGTCCCTCTGCGGATTCGCCGCCGTAATTGCCGTCTGTTGGCCGTCTGTTTCCTCAAACTTCCAGGGGGAGGAGCTTTCTCGGGTGCGTGACGTCAGGTGCGTAACTTTACGTGATGTTTAGTGGATAGGTGAGTGCGCTGGATTGACACAAGATCCAGCGCTCTCACCTATCCACTAAACATCACGTAAAGTTACGCACCTGGCGAGTCTGAGCCGCCTGGAGGTTCTCCCTTACAGACTTAGTTAATGCTTCCAGACGATCGAGAAAAGCCAGCATATATGGTATGATGGCGGTACCGTCTGCGCTCCAGTCTCCCTCCCAGTGCTCCCTAATCAGGTTGAGGGGTCCTCTTACCCTCCGCCCGAATAGTAATTCAAATGGGGAAAACCCGGTCGATTCCTGCGGCACCTCCCTATACGCGAATAGGAGATGGGGCAGGAATCGCTCCCAGTCCCTATGGGTGTCTGCGAAGGTTCGGAGCATTTGTTTCAATGTTCCATTGAACCGTTCGCATAGCCCATTGGTCTGGGGATGATATGGAGCACTGATTATAGGCTTGATGTCACAGAATCTCCAGAGGTGTTGGGTAACTTCCACAGTGAACTGGGTGCCTTGATCCGAGATGATCTCCCTGGGTAACCCCATCCTGGAGAAAACCTGCATCAGGGCCTCAGCCACTATTTCTGCATGGATGTTAGTCAAAGCCACCGCCTTTGGATATCGGGTGGCATAGTCTACTACTGTTAAAATATACTTTTTACCAGAGGGGCTGGGTCTCTGTAGGGGGCCTACTAAATCTACATCTACTCTACTGAATGGCTCCTCAATTATGGGTAGCGGGTGCAGTTTTGCCTTCCGCCGGTCCCCTCTCTTTCCTACCCGTTGACACGTGTCACAAGTATTGCAGTACCTGCGGACTTCCTGGCTAACTCCCGGCCAAAAGAAACTTTGGGTCAGTCGGTGCCGGGTGCGACTGATCCCCAAATGTCCGGATAGCGGGATATCGTGCGCTATCCGGAGTAATTCAGATCGGTACCGTTGTGGTACAACTAGCTGCCTCATGACAATCGGGTCTGACCAGCTACCTGCTTGTCAGACTCCCTATACAGCAACTGGTTATCCCATACAAATCTTTCGCCCTCCCCCCCAGGTTGGTCCGAGGTGACCTTGTCTGTATAGACATGTAATGTGGGGTCAGTGATCACCTCGGCCGCAAATTCGGTAGGGGGAGCCCAGGGGATACACTCTAAGGCAGGGGAAGGATCTCTTACCTGGACCTCCGGGAGTGTGTTGTAGTCCTGGGTGCGGGCCTGTTGTCGAGTAACTACTGGGTGTGCTTCTCCGGTTGTTGGTGCCTGGGGCTCAAAAGCAGAAGTGAGTTTGCCCAGATCATTCCCCAGCAAAACCTCCGCCGGCAGTTGTGGCATTAACCCCACTTCCACATTCCCAAACCCTGCTCCCCAATGCAAATGTACTCGGGCTGTGGGTAGCCTGTATACTGCTCCCCCGGCTACCCTGACTGCCACAGTTCTGCTGGTCTTGGCCTGATCGGGTACAAGGTGACTTTTGACCAGAGTGATGGTGGCCCCCGAGTCGCGGAGCCCTTGGACCGCTTTCCCCTCTAGGTAGACAGTTTGTCTATGATGTTGACGGTTGTCTGCATTCGCTTGTACGGGATCTGCTTCATGTAACACTTCCCATTGTTCTACGGTAGTTATGGGAATTGCCGCGCCATATGGCGTTGGTGTCTCAGATTAGTAACAGTGAGCGGCTGCTCGAGGTGGTGGAGGTAGGCCTGGACGGATCCAGGTGGAGCGGTCTTTTAGTTGGGGACACTCTCGTTTATAATGTCCCCACCTTTGGCACTGGTGGCATTGCACAGAGCTGGGTGCCCGGAACCTCTGTTGCACGGCGGCTGGTGGATAAAGAGGTAGTTGTCGAGGTGGTGTTGCTGTGTGGGGGGGTTGGCTGCTCCCCTCTCCGGGTCGGATCACTGTCTTGATGGGGCCAGGTTTTTGTTGTCTGCGGGCAACATCTGCTTTCTTAGCTGCCTCTGTGAGGGAGGATGGATTGCGGTCCCTCACCCATTCCTGTACATCGTTCTGGATCCCATCATAGAATTGCTCTAATAGTAACATTTGCAATAAGTCCTCCATGGACCGAGCTTTGTTTGCGTGTACCCATCCGAAGGCGGCCCGGTGCAGCTTGCAAGCCCATTCCTCTCTGAATCACCTCCGGTATGCCTCTGGTGTGATGGCATATCGGGCCAGGATAACCTCTTTTACCCTGTGGTAGTTCCGAATCTCCTCGTCTGGTACTGTTCTGTACGCCTCCGCGGCCTTCCCAGTTAGCTGACCTGCCAAAATAGGTACCCACTCTTCTGGACTAATATTATGCAGTGCACACAGTCTCTCAAAATCTTGGAGAAATCCATCTATGTTCTCCTCTGCCCCCACATAAGTTTTAAAAGCTTGGTAAGGTATTTGGTCTTACCCTCTGTGATGGTGGTGGTGGTTGTGTTTCTCTCTGTGGTTTGTAGTGGTCTTTGGCACAATATAAACTCCTGCACCTCGGTAATCGTCCTGGAGATAATATCCGCCGTTTGATTTTCTCCATAGAAGGCCAGCCTAAATTGTAACTGCCTTTGAAATTCCTCTTGTTCCGATCCATCCGCTGAACTCCGCTGTTCAGGGATTGCACTGTCCTCCGTTTGGTATTCTGCCATCACCTCTGCAATGAGGGTTGCTTTTATTTTGTTGCTTGCTGCAATACCTCTTGCTTCTAGTAGGTCTTTTAGTGTGGATCTTTTTAGCTTAGCACTCTCCATCCGTATTCCATTAGTCCCTGTTCCTTTGTGAGTCTGGATCCCACCGCTGCCACCAATGTAGCGGAGAGCTGCTCTTACACAGCTTATCTCCACTTTAGATCCCAGTAAGGCTCAGGAACAAGTATTATAAATCCATAAGGTAATATTTCCAGCAGGCAAAACACTCCAACAATATCCCAACCTCAATCCCAATGACTAGACGATACCCAGCATCAGGAGCAGAACTGAACTTTTAATCACATTGTTTCCTTATAAAGGTTTCTCCCATGCAAGGGAGGGATTTACAATAATTGGGGCAGTAGCCAATGGTACAGTAGTTACCTCCCATACATCTCCTCCCCTCAGTGTGACACTTAATCCACTTATTTCTGTTGCAGTTTTACCTGGTTTCTGGATGTACCCCAAAACTGTGGGGTACAAGGGTCATCCCCTGGTAGCCTTGATCTGGGTGGCCAACATATTTTTTTGTGTCTCACTTAAAATGACGATTTGCCTCTGTCCTGGGAGATAATTGAATTACTTCTCAATTATCTCCAGGGCAGAGGGGAGGAAACCAGGATGCATTATGGGAATATTTTGTGCCTGTATGTCTTAAAGTGCCATATGTCTGTCTGTCATTACAGTCTCCCATTTGGTCCCCTAGGGGAGTGTCCACCAATTGGGAGACTCACATTAAAGCCAATTCTTGTTTTACCCTCAATGCGAGCTTGGTCTCGTTATTGGGGGGATTTACTACACACGGTTAGTGACTGATTGCTGGAAACGTAAGCCGCTTGGAGGATATATTTGTTCGGCGGTTAGCCGTGATTCATGAATTTATTGTTCGGGAGTTTGGAGCACCCGTACGGGCCCCGTTCGGGAGATTGGCGCATTCCCCTGGTTGCAGTTCGTACGGTTGAATTATATACGAATTGAGCCTGCATTATTGAAGAAGGGGAAGCTTAATTAAACGGCTAATACACTCCTTTATGCCAGGGGTGTCTTAACACTTGCTGTAAGTAAATTGCCGCCTGCTGGGTGGCCGCCGTTCAGGCAAATGACCACGTGGCGGCGGTCTACTTTGTTCATTCGAACGCGGTCAGCGGTGTGTGCAGCCAAATTCATGTAACTGAAATCGGCTGCACATTTCAACGAACACCGCTGACCCGTGCATTTGAATGGGGCTTAGCCATTTTTCAGTGTGAAATTGACCAATCGCACAGCCCAAATCTATGGAACTGTTTTGGGCAGGAAAATGTGCTTGCGGTCGGTCACAATGGACTTCCAACTAACTTTTTAACCCCTGGATGGAATTGCCTGAATTTTGGATATGTTTGTATTTGAAGTGTGCTGAGTTCCAATATGTAATGTTTTATGGAGATTGGATGTATATTTTTAAAGTTATAATATATGTGTAAAAACTGTATTTTTCCTGCCTGTGATAATTACTTTAACCCATTGTGCTCAGTAATTATATCACAGGCAGAGGGGAGGATATTGTGGGAATGAATGGGAGTGTTTAACTGTGTTGTAATGTTTTGATTGGTTGTTAAATGTACAGTTCCAGTGCCCCACAAGGTCCACGTGGGTGGTAACCTTGCTGGGAAATTTGTATATAACCAGGAATAAACGCTCATTGGAGTCAGTTCTTCTTGTGATTGGAGGGGACAGCTATACTCACACTGGGGATTGCTATGCTCTGCATACTCTCCTGAGGTTTAATCACTTAGCTCTTTTAAGAGTTTGTTCCTGATACGCTCTCCCCACATGGTCTTGGAGGACAGAAGCTGATCCAGGTTGGACAGAAGACTCCAGTTAAGCTATGGTGGTTGTGGAGTCTGCGGTGGTTGTGGTGTCCAGCGCGGTGCTTGTGGTCCTCGGTGCAGGCTAGGAAGCGTCCATCAACGCTTACACACGAACACTATACCATTCGGGACATTTTGTATACGAAGGAGACCGACCCCAGGTAGCTGAATCCATGGAGCTATTTTCGGACACATTTGCACGAACAGCTGGTGAATTAAATCTCCATGGCGTTTAAACTGTGTTCATGGGATCTGAGCGCTCAGATCCAAGCTATCTGGGGGTATGTTGAACATGGAGATTCCGTTCGGCGAAATAGAAGTTATGGATTTTCATACATTTTTGTTATAATGTAAAAAGAAAGTATTTCACTCTACCTGGAGATAATTAAGTTTACTCCAACCACTTAATCCAATTATCTCCAGGATAGGGAGGAGGGAGTTCACTGTTTGTGTGGGTGTGTTTATTATTGTAATGTAAAATGATTGGTTAATGTATTTCTTGTCACAGTCTTCCACAAGGTCCCTGTGGGAGTAACCCTTGCTGGAAGACCATCATAATGTGGCCAGCATTAAACCAGATCATTTTACCCCTTCATAAAGTCTCGACTCATGTTTGAGGGATTTGGAGCTATAATCACTACTTTGCTCTGCTGCAGCTGGGATTTTGGGAGAAGGTACAAGGATCTTTCCTACAGGTATAGCAGGATCCATTACACTGGTGGCAAGCGGCGGGATTTTCTCTCGAATGGAATTACCGAAACGAACAAAGTAGTGAATGGCGCATAGATACGAACGGCTGAAACAAACTATGCTGAAGGAACTGCTGGAAGCTCGAGGCATAGTGGCAAGCAACAAGCCGAAAGCCACGATAATAGTTGAACTACTGGTGGTGAATATGAAGGAGACTGAGTTTCAAAGAGATGTAAGGTGGAGATGCAGTGGCGGTTCCGGAGGGGCACCACGGCAACGCTCCAAATCTCGCAAGAGTGAACTCTAGCCCTGGAACTGCGGGCTAGAGTTCATTTTTACCACTGGGACCACCAGGGATGAAGAAATGTCCCCCCTCCTCCCTCAATAAAGGTAAGAAGGCAGACATAAATAGACACATTTCCACACACATACACTGCCCCCCATATACACACTGCCCCACAAACACTGTCCCCCATACACACACTCGCACACACACTTCACCGCTCACACACACACACTGCACCTTTCACATACACACTTCACCCCTAACACATACCACTGCTCCTATGCCCTATATCCCAGCAGACCCCAGGTAAGTTGTCAAACTGTTCTTAAACGGTTTGACTACTTACTCTAGGATGGGATCCTGACACTACTGGCACTGTAACTACTACACTGAGCTGTAGTGGTTATTGTGCCTGGATTATTTCTTTAAATAATCTACAAGTGCCCCTCCTGAGATCAGGCTCTTGATCCGCTACTGGCCTGGTGGGACCTAACCCTGCACCAGAGATCGTGGTACAGATCATGGCACAAGCCACGGAAGCACAGAATGTCCAGGAAGCTCAGGAGACCAGAGACAGATCACCACTGGCGGATATATTGTCGCTATCTGGATCTACAATGGAGCACCACGCAAGATCAACTATGCTGCGTTTAAAAGCTTCATAGAGGGTGAGATGGACATTGATAACTATTTACAAGACTTTGAGAAACAATGTTTGTTAGAAGATTTGGAGAGGGCTAACTGGGCTGCGATATTAAGTAGCAAATTGTCAGGCAGAGCAGTGGAAGCATTCAGAGCCGTGACTGATATGGACATACAAAATTATAAAAGAGATTTTGTTGGCTCGTTACACTGTGACACCTGAAGCCCACAGAAGAAAATTTTGGGCCCTCGGGAGACAGGGCAAAGATTCCTATACTGAGTGGGCATTCCACATGCACCGCATGGCCAGTAACTGGAAGCAGGGATGCCAGGCGACTACGCTAGCGGATGCCCTACAATTAATACTGTTGGAGCAGTTCTTTGACTACACACCAGCTGAGGTCAGAGACTGGGTCAGGGACAGGAAGCCGCAGACAGTAGAAGAGGCAGCACGGCTGGCAGACGAGTTCCACGAGAGCCGGTGGATGGATGGTAACCGAGGGACAACAGGATTTCGCTCCCCAACCTACCCTCCAACTACAGCTACACCGCAGAGGACAACACCACCGGTGAGCAACCCTACAACCACTGGATATCATAAGACAGCACCAATGTGTTATGGGTGCAAACAAGTGGGGCACATTAAGCACAATAGCCCGCAACCTACTGCAGACAGATGGGGGCGAACACCAGCACCACTGGCGAAAGCAGCAGCACACTGTGTGCAGGAAGATTACACAAGGACCCCCCAGTAACAATACCGAGAACTGGTCCGTGTTACATGAGGTCAACCCCATACAAGCTGCTGGAGATAACCGATCTCATGACCGTCAGTCAGTGAAACTGAACGGGCAAGAAGCGAGAGGGCTGAGAGACAGTGGGACCACTATCACCCTGGTACAACCACACAGGGTCAAACCCTCACAACACACTGGGTGCACTGTCGCTGTAAGGGTAGCTGGAGGAGCGATACACATGTTGCCTATGGCTCAGATACACCTTGACTGGGGTACTGGCGCCAATTCCGTGGAAGTGGGAATCATGCCAGATCTGCCCGCGCAGGTACTATTGGGCAATGATTTGGGGCAATTTGTAGCACCCACCCTGGAAGGAGCGTTACCTGTCACCACCCGGCAGCAGTCCAGAGCCATGGAGGCCTCCCACTCACCCGATGACCAGGTAAGCAATAATCCCCTGACTGTTAACCCCGACCACGTTCCATACTGGGTGTTATGTCACAAGTGGTTTAAATGTGGAACACAACTGCAGATTATAAATTTCCTTATTTTTATAATAGAGAGTGAAATGAGAATCCTTTAATTAACAGGTTACTGTAGCTTTAAGGCAGCGTGGCTTTTGCAGGTTGTTAGTTGAAGACATAAAGCATTAATAATTGTAATAGTATTTTAGTAGTAGCAGACTTTAGCAAGCAGGTTCATTAGCAAGTAAGAACTCAGAGATAGTATTACATTTTATACTTATGATTGTTGGGAGTTGTCCTCCAAAGGAAGGTTAGTTTGAGTCTGCAGGATGGATAAACATCTAACAGTCCGGTTTCCAGTATTTAGGAAGAGAGCAGGTAAATCCAATACACGGTCCGTGGTCAGAGGGAGATGAGAAGGCAGAAATCCGTTTAAACAGTTCAAGGTTCGGTACACAGTATTAACGGAGAAGAGCTTAGCCGGCAATGTGATTGCGGAAGTAACAACCAGAAATCACTAAGCAATTTTGAATCTGGCGCGGTCTCTCTATAAAGCTTGAGAGAGCCGCATCAGAGGGGGGGGACGGTTCCGCATACCAGAAATGCCGGAACGGAGCCGAAAAGATAAGTCCTGACACTGGGGTACCCCACAAGATTTTGGGCAGGCTCAGCGGGAAGACCCCACAATGAGAGGGTATCGGAGGGAGGCAGACCAACCCCAGGGAGACATAGACCAAGAGAGGTTTACCTGGGAGAAGGGATTGCTATAGAGGGTGACCGAGGGGACAGAAAGGGGAGATGGCCAGGTAGCTAAATGACAATTAGTGGTACCCCGTAAATATAGGGCTGAGTTATTACGCATCAGCCATGATATTCCCCTAGCAGGCCACTTAGGGATAAAAAAGACTAGCGATAGACTCACCCAGTCATTCTTCTGGCCTGGAGTCACCAGAGAATTACAAGACTATTGTCGGACCTGCGACGTATGTCAGAAGGTAGGAAAAAGCCATCCCAGAGCCAAACTGCGTCCTCTTCCCATAATAGAGGAGCCCTTTTTCCGAGTGGCCGTAGATTTAGTCGGGCCACTCAGCAAACCTAGTCCATCTGGTAAGAAATATTTTCTTACTGTGGTGGAATATGCCACCCGTTATCCTGAAGCAATAGCACTGTCTAATATACATGCAGAGACAGTGGCGGAAGCGCTGGTCCAAGTGTTTACCAGGGTTGGGTTCCCTAGGGAAATAGTGTCCGATCAGGGGACCCAATTCACAGCGGTAGTTACCCAGCAGCTCTGGCAGAGCTGTGGAGTAAAACCCATACTGAGTTCCCCATGTCACCCACAGACGAACGACCTCTGTGAACATTTTAATGGCACTCTTAAACAGATGCTGATCATGTTCACAGAGACCTGTCGGAATTGGGAAAAGTTTCCCCACCTACTGTTTGCGTACCGGGAAGTACCCCAGGAGTTCACTGGATTCTCCCCATTTGAATTACTATACAGGAGGTCGGCTCGTGGACCACTGAACCTGGTACGTGAACACTGGGAGGGAGATACGGGAGAGTCAGGCGCCCCTATAGTACCTTTTGTTCCGGAGCTGAGGGACCGTCTGCAGACCCTGACAGAATCTGTTCGGGAGAAGCTGCGGGCGGCCCAGCAGCAACAGAAACGCTGGTATGACAGAGGGGCTAGGGACCGTATACTGGAAGTAGGGCAAAAAGTCCTAGTACTAAAGCCCACTAAGACCGACAAGTTACAGGCCTCCTGGCAGGGTCCCTACACTATGATAGAAAGGATTAGTGACACCACTTACATTGTGGCAGACTGTTCAAATGCAAGGATCCGCTGATCTTTTCATGTGAATATGCTCAAGCCATACCTAGAGAGACCAGAGGAAGTCTACGCAGTATGCGCTCCAGCTTATGAGGACAGTGAGGGTATTCCTTTACCCGACTTACTCCACCAAGAACCTGCATGGGGCAGACCGAGTACAGTTAGGCCCCGACTTGAGCATGGACGAACAAGCCCAGGCTTCCCAGCTGTTAAAGGAATTTGGGGAAATGTTTTCTGCTGCCCCAGGGTATACGTCACTGGCAGTCCACAGAGTGAGTTACCCCTGAGACGGCAGCCCTATCGGATTCCCAAAGCAGTGAGGGAAAGTATGCTCAAAGAAATTCAGGATATGTTAGGGCTGGGAGTCATGGAGCCATCCCAAAGCCCATGGGCCTCCCCAGTGGTCCTAGTTCCTAAAAAGGATGGTACCACACGCTTTTGTGTAGATTATCGCAAACTAAACGACAGGACAGTCACCGACGCCTACCCCATGCCCAGGGTAGACGAGTTACTTGACCGTTTTGCAGGGGGGAATTATTTGACCACTATTGATCTTGGAGCGTGAGGCCATTCCTAAGTCAGCCTTCGTCACCCCATTTGGTCTGTACCATTTCAATGTCATGCCATTTGGGATGAAGAATGCTACCTTCCTAAGGATGGCTGATCGGCTCCTAGAGGGATTCCAGGACTTGGCTTGTGCTTATCTGGACGATATAGTCATCTTCAGTGGCACTTGGGAAGCCCACCTAGAGCGCATTTCAGTAGTGCTCAAACGTATTCAAACAGCAGGACTTACCCTAAAGACAGAAAAGTGCAATGTAGGCATGGCCAAAGTCCAATATTTAGGACGCCGAGTAGGGTCAGGGAAACATAGGAAGAAATATGTAAAATATGGTCTGCCTAATGCAACACAAAGAGATGAGGGAGTCTGACTTAAGGTGAATTGCTCAAGACTGAACTAAGACAGGGATACACCCAAAACCTGTCTAGAAATATAGAGGACAGTAGTACCTTAATCCAAGGTAGTGTGTTCAGGAGCTGATTCACTTTTAAATGGCTTATTCAATGGAACTAGATATAGTAGTTATGTCGAAATCTGGAACGGTTGATGATTACTGATGTATGCATACATATGCATATGCTTATTCAATGGAACTAGATATAGTAGTTATGTCGAAATCTGGAACGGTTGATGATTACTGATGTATGCATACACCAGTAATCATCAACCATTCCAGATTTCGACATAACTACTATATCTAGTTCCATTGAATAAGCCATTTAAAAGTGAATCAGCTCCTGAACACACTACCTTGAAGTAAGGTACTACTGTCCTCAGGAAAACATAGGCCTGAACCCGCAAAAATAGAGGCCATTATCCAGTGGCCCCAACCACGTACTAAGACACAGGTCATGGCGTTCCTAGGCACCGCTGGTTACTATAGAAAGTTTGGACCAGAGTACAGTGCCATGGCCAAACCCCTGACTGACCTCACAAAAAAGTCACTACCCTGACAAGTAGTCTCGTCCCCTGAGTGTGAGGAGACTTTCCAGAAACTCAAGGCTGCGTTAAGTGAATCTCCTGTGTTGGCGACACCTGACCATACTAAAAGATTTCTCGTTCACACAGATGCCTCAATGTTTGGACTGGGAGCAGTATTAAGCCAGGTTGGGGACGATGGCATGGACTATCCGGTGGCATATCTGAGCAGAAAACTGTTACCCTGCAAAGTCAGTTATGCCACTGTTGAAAAGGAGTGTTTGGCCTTAGTTTGGGCCCTTAAGAAGCTACAGCCTTACCTCTATGGACGCTCTTTCACAGTGATGACAGACCAAAACCCCCGATTTGGCTGAACAGAGTGACCGGAGACAACCCCACACTACTAAGATGGACTGTCATCCGGACATCCCCTTGCTGACCCGTTAGGATCAAAGCAGGTATGCCGTTCCATGGGACTAAGGGGGAGCTATGTGACAAAACCCCTGTTTTGCTGAATCTCTGGAGTCTTTTAATTCATTCGGTATTCGTGTATTTGGCCTGTGACAGAACCATCTGTCTGTGGATTACTTTTATTTTATGCTCAGTCGTCTGTTTATTCGTGCCTTTTCCTGTTCGTATGGCTCCCAGGTTACAGGTCCCTAATCTCTCTTCCAATGAATGAAACAAAAAAGAAAATTATGGAGATGTTGTCATGCTGAGTCCCTGAAGATCTGCTAAATGGTTGCATGTTTTGGTAAAATAATGGATCATTTAACTGTTATATTATTAATCAATCTTTGAATGATATATTTTAGAGTTTGTTAATAAATGTAGAAAATGTAAATCCTACATTAAGTCCCAGAGGGGAGAGTGTCTTTAGATGATGTATTCAAAAGCACTCCCTCCTCAGCAGGCGTTTCTCAACGTTGCCTTTCCTTTGATCCTAGATATCAGCTTATACAGGGCTCTCTCTATTTGTCTGTGTATATTGTACATTCTCTACAAATTGTACAGCGCTGCGGAATCTGTTGGTGCTTTATAAATACCAGTAATAAATAAAAAATAAAATAAATGAGACCACATTGGCATGTCAGTAAATAAATTAGTCCTTTTGTGTTACAATTAAAGAAAGACTTAACTTGGAATGTTTCATTATGGCTGCTATTCTTAAAGTATTTAGATTACTTAGAAATAAAGTTGCACGCTTTACAGCGGCCACACTTGTAAGTCCCTTTTAATTTACTTGACAGCGAGTGCTTTGGTGCCGTCTCTCTTTGGAAATGACTGTGTACCAATACGTTTTTGGAAATGTTTCCCCTTCTAGCTGTGATGGATGCATTTGGAGAAATTACATCCCTGAGGTAATGATCCTGTCTTAGGATGGGCCAAAATCTGCAGAGTTTGGCTAGTAGCCAACCTCATGCTGATAATTTGCATTAACAATGAAAGAGCTGTCCATGAGTGGTTCACTGGCTTTGCATCTTTTCCCAAGTTGTGTTTCAAAGTTGTTGTATACAGTAAACACAGACTCAAAGGAATCCATTTTTAAAATGTTAAACTAATTTGCATATGCCCACTCAGAATCCTTTGCAGTAGTAACATCACTGCAAATTTGTGATTCCTGTGGGAAAAGCAAATCTTATTGCTTGGTGTGCAGATTTTTGTTTAACATTGTAACAACTATCTCTCTCTCTATATATAGTCAATACAATGTTAAATAAAAATCTGCACACTAGTCAAGCCATAAGACTTGCTTTTCCACACATATATATATATATATATATATATATATATATATATATATATATATATATATATATAATATTGAAAAAAAGGCACTCACGGTCTTGAAAAAGTGAAACAAAGATTTCTTTATTCAAATAGTTGCCATCACATCGTAATGTTGCCATCACAACGTTTCAACCCTCGTCCGTGGCTTTCTTCTGGATGAACTGACAATACCACACTACCCTACATTGCTACATTTTTTTACCCGATAAGAAAAAGAATTAACTCACCGCAGGTGAGTATTGGCGTCACCCCCGACCTTATGCACATGTGCGGATGTGACATACCTGGACGCAATGTCAGAAACTCCATGGAAACCAAACACCAAATTGTGTATAGTGATAAAAGACACTAAGTGCCCCATAAAATCACCTATATACCATTTAATGTACCCAAATAGATGTGCATAAAAACATCTTCTTATAAAAAAGATGAGCGCTAATATAGATCTGACCTCCATAGCAAAGAGTGCAGAAATTGTTATACCAAGTGAATATATTTACAAATAAGCACTTAAGCTACACTTAAACTGTAAAGCACTAACTGCAGATTACAAGAGCTACCATAAAGTTTTAAAGTGATATAGTGCCAAAGAATAGAAAATACCTTTTGCAGGTATAACCATAAGAAGATCCAGTCTAATCCTCTCTAAACTCATGTCACTTCTCAACACTGTAAATATATACAATGTTATCATACTGGCAAAAAAACTGTAACTACTCTAACCAAACTTGAGTGTAGCAAGAGAATGACCCAATTCCAGAAAATGCTTCGCCACTGGCTTGTCTGAGTAGCCATCTCTATAGACCTATGCCCCCTGATGCGTTCGAGTAATGGAGTGTCCGTTTTACCTATATAGGCAAGCCCACAGGGGCAAGAATGACAAACGGGGTCCTGCATGTTATGGTATACTGTATATTGTAACATTTATTGTCATGTAAGCTCCTATTTCTGCGGTAGCAGATCATAGGAGATTTCTTAAACGCAAGTGGAAGAGAAGTATCTGCTGTCATCATGTTCCAATTCTTTTTCACTATGTTGGTAACTTTGTTGGTCCTATTGTGATACGTGATAGGAAAGACTAACCTATCTGGTGCTTTGGAGCTTCCTCTGGCGTGAGCATTCTTTGCTTTCTCCAACGCCTTTTCCAAAGTGTACTTGTTATAACCACGTTCCAAGAATGTGTTAGTCATCTCATTGATCTGTACTGACATCAGTGTCAGGATTGTTACGGATTACTCTACGGTATTGAGCATAAGGGATTGACTGAATCAATGGTTTAGGATGAGTGCTATTCTGATGTAATATAGTGTTTAGATCCATCAGTTTGTAGAAAAGGGTATAAGAGAGCCCTTGATCAACGACAGCTATTTCCAAATCCAAACATTTTATTTTTTCAGTACTGATATGCGCTGTCAGTCTAAATGGTTTAGGTATTCAACCCTATGTGCCTGGGGTACTGTCCCCCTCCATAGAATTAGCACATCGTCAATGTAACAAAAATATCGAGTTATATGCTGTTGAAATCCAGAAAAAATAGGCATTAGCGTACATGGGTGCCATTGCTGCACCCATGGACATTTCTGATATTTGCATAAACCAATTGTTTTCAAAATGGAAATAGTTGTGTGTTAATGTAAACTCCAAAAGCTGCAACACAAATTAAATCGTTGGGCCTCGATAAACTGTAGACTGTGTAAGGACTTGTCTCAGTCTCTATACCAACATCATGAGGGATGATGGTATAGAGGCTACTGACGTCCATAATGATAAGAACCGGTGATGAAGTATCAAGGTGCAGACTTTGTAACTTGGATATAAGAGTCTTTCACACACATTTGTAAATTTTCCACTGACTCTTTAAATAAAGCATTCAGCCATTTGGCGACTGGTTCTAATACCCCGCCCACAGCGGACACTATGGGGCGTCCAGGGGGTTGGTAAGACTCTTGTGAATCTTCGGGATGGTGTACAGAACCGGGCTACGTGGATGTGGTTGGATGAGAAATAGTTCCTTACATACTGGAATCTTGCAATGTCGTCTAAATCTCAAATGCATATTGGTGATAACCCATAACAACAACACCGCCCCCCTTGTCGGCAGGGCGTATATTGGGGTCTTTAGCTAAACCATTGATCAAAGAAATGTTATATAGTTTAGTAATCTTATATAGTCCTTGATATTTCTGTTGCATAATTTGAGACGTTTCGTGTTGTACCATTGAGAGATATGTTTTAAGATTAGCCTTGTTTGTGGATCGAACATAGATTTGGGTGTAAACGGATTGTAATCTGCTTTCTGCTCTTGTTCACATATCCCTGGTTTATGAAAAAAGCGCATAGTTCTGCCAAACTGGAATAACTCTACATTCCAATGGAATTGGTTGAGATTAGCCGTAGGGACAAAAGAGAGACCTAAACTCATAATTTTTAATTCTTCAGGGAACAGTTGGCGTTGTGAGAGGTTAAAGACTGGGATTATCCCCTGAGAGGGGTTTTTCCATGGATAGGCTGTTTTTCCTTTGCGGCTCCTTCTCGAGATCCTTCGTCTGAACCTCTGCCACTGCTTCTTTTCGTAATGCCCAGAGTTAAAGGTCCTAAAAAAGGAGTGTTACTGTTGTGTGGCTCCGAGTCTGATGTTGAATCGCCAGATTTTACATCCACTGTGGGAAACTATTGGTTTATGCAAATATCAGGAACGTCCTTAGGTGCGCAATGGCACCCATGTACGCTAATGCCTTCATGTACGTTTATGAAATTGAACATATTTTTTCTGGATTTCAACAGCATATCACTCGATATTTTCCTTACATCGACAATGTGCTAATTCTATGGAGGGGGACAGTTTCACAACATAGTGAAAAATAATTGGAACATGATGACAGCAGATACTTCTCTTCCACCTGCGTTTAAGGAACCTCCTATGATCTTCTACCGCAGAAATAGGAATTTACGTGACATGCTCGTGAAGACAGATTCAGTTCTGAGCAACATGAGCATATTATACAAATCAGGGGAAGTGTCAGATGCCTCAGGTGTGTAACATGTGGACACATGGTCCCCTCACGTACCTTTAACCACCCACATAACAATAAATGTACAATATACGGAATACATTGTTACATAGCTGAAAAGAGACTTGCGTCTATCAAGTTCAGCCTTCCTCACGTATGTTTTTGCTGTTGATCCAAAACAAGGCAAAAAACCCAGTCTGAAGCGCTTCCAATTTTGCAACAAACTAGGAAAAAATTCCTTCTTGACCAAGAAAATAGCAGTGAGATGTCTCCTTGGATCAAGCAGCTATTACCCCGCTAATTAGAAATTATATCCCTGTATGTTATGTTTTTGCAAGTATTTATCCAATTGCAGTTTAAACATCTATATAGACTCTGACAAAACCACCTCTTCAGGCCAAAAATTCCATATCCTTATTGCTCTTACTGTAAAAAAACATTTTCTTTGCCTTAGATGAAATCTCCTTTCTTCTAGCCTAAATGTGTGACCTTGTGTCCTATGTATAGCCCTGTTTATGAATAGATTTCCAGATAATGGTTTGTACTGGCCCCGAATATATTTGTATAATGTTATCATATCCCCTCTCAGGCGCCGTTTTTCCAAACTAAAGAGATTTCAATTTTTAACCTTTCTTCATAACTAAAATGCTCCATTCCTTTTATCAATTTTGTAGCTTGCCTCTGCACTTTTTCTAGTGCCATGATATCTTTCTTTAGAACAGGTGCTCGAAATTGCACAGCAGATTCAAGGTGTGGTCTTACCAGTGATTTATAAAGAGGCAAAATTATATTTTCATCTCGAGAATTTATGCCCCTATTTATACATGACAAAACCTTACTGGCCTTAGCAACGGCAGATTGACATTGTATATTGCTGCCTAATTTGTTGTAGATAACAATTCCCAAATCCTTCTAGTGTGTGGTTATCCTTAGTTCACTACCATTTAGGGTGTAAATTGCTTGTGCATTCTTAAAGAAACACTATAGTCACCTAAATTACTTAAGCTAAATAAAGCAGTTTTAGTGTATAGATCATTCCCCTGCAATTTCACTGCTCAATTCACTGTCATTTAGGAGTTAAATCATTTTGTTTCTGTTTATGCAGCCCTAGCCACACCTCCCCTGGCTATGATTGACAGAGCCAGCATGAAAAAAAAACTGGTTTCACTTTCAAACAGATGTAATTTACCTTAAATAATTGTATCTCAATCTCTAAATTGAACTTTAATCACATACAGGAGGCTCTTGTAGGGTCTAGCAAGCTATTAACATGGCAGGGGATAAGAAAATCTTAATTAAACAGAACTTGCAATAAAGAAAGCCTAAATAGGGCTCTCTTTACAGGAAGTGTTTATGGAAGGCTGTGCAAGTCACATGCAGGGAGGTGTGACTAAGGTTCATAAACAAAAAGATTTAACTCCTAAATGGCAGAGGATTGAGCAGTGAGGCTGCAGGGGCATGTTCTATACACCAAAACTGCTTCATTAACCCCTTAAGGAGGGAGCCAAATGTACACGTTGTGAACGAAACAAAACCTGGCATTTGCGCTACATGTCTGTCCAACCGTAATTCACCTCTTTCATATTAAATGCACCCACCCTTATTATATATCATTTTATTCAGGGGAAAGAGGGCTTTCATTAATTATCAAATATTTAGCTATGAAACATAATTTAATATGAAAAAAATGGGAGAAAATAAGATTTATTTTTTTAGTTCTACATGACATTCTAACTGTCCATGTCATAATACTGTTTGCTTTTACTGCAATAAAATACACATATTTGTATTCAGCAAAGTCTCACGTGTAAAACAGTACCCCCTATGTACAGGTTTTATGGCGTTTTGGGAAGTTACAGGGTCAAATATAGCACGTTACATTTGAAACTGAAATTCGTAAGATTGGTTACGTTGCCTTTGGGACTTTATAGTAGCCCAGGAATCAAATTTACATCCATAATGGCATACCATTTGCAATAGTAGACAACCCAATGTATTGCAAATGGGTATGTCCAGTCTTTTTTAGTAGCCATTTGGTCACAAACACTGGCCAAAGTTAGCGTTAGTATTTGTTTGTGTGAAAAATGCAAAAAACACCAATTTTGGCCAGTGTTTGTGACTAAGTGGCTACTAAAAAAGACTGGACATACCCCGTTTGCAATACCTTGAGTTGTCTACTATTGCAAATGGTATGCCATCATAGGGGTAATTTTCATTCTTGGGCTACCATAGGGTCTCAAAGGCAACGTAACCAATCTGGCGAATTTTAATGTGAAAAAAATGAAACGCAAGCCTTATATTTGACGCTGTAACTTTTGAAAACACCATAAAACCTGTACATGAGGGGTACTGTTGTACTCGGGAGACTTCGCTGAACACAAATATTTGTGTTTCAAAACAGTAAAAAGTATCACAGCAATAATATTGTCCGTGTAAGTGCTGTTTGTGCATGAAAAAGGCAAAAAACGTCACTTTTACTGGCGATATCATCGTTGTAATACACTTTACTGTTTTGAAACACTAATATTTGTGTTCAGCGAAGTCTCCCGAGTAGAACAGTACCCCCCATGTACAGGTTTTATGGTGTCTTGGAAAGTTATAGGGTTAAATATAGTGCTTGCAAATTAAATTCCCTTTACTTTCGGCATGGGTTGTCAGGCAGGTCCCACTAATTGTAATTAATTAAGATACCTAATTATGTAAAATATTACATAAATATATATGTAGAATTAATATATGTATATATATATATATATATATATATACGTATGTGAATCTATATGTGTATATATATAATTTTTTTAAAAGATTTTTATTTATATATAGTGATATATACGTATATTTTTATGTATGTAGATATATATATATATTATTTCGTTCTACATGTATTTTGATATAAATATATATATATATATATATATTAATATCACAATACAGTTAGAACGAAATAACACACATCTATATATTATTTACTTTTTTTATATTATATATAAATATATATATAACAATAATTATATATATTTAATCAGTATCAGTCTACGTGTAATTTGATATTAATATATATATTAATAGTAAAATACACCTAGACAGTGTATGAGTGTGTATATATATGTGTATATATATACTTAGATCATATATTAATATATATATATATAATTTTATATATATATATTAATAGTAAAATACACCTAGACAGTGTATGAGTGTGTATGTATATGTGTATATATATACTTAGATCATAGTATACATTTTTTTTTTTACACTTTTTAATTTATTTTAATTTTTATTTTCAGCCAGCAAGGGGACCACCTGTCATTACAGCCCGGGTAGGCTGCCTCCTGCATATATATTTAATCAGTATCAGTCTACGTGTAATTTGATATTAATATATATATTAATAGTAAAATACACCTAGACAGTGTATGAGTGTGTATGTATATGTGTATATATATACTTAGATTATATATTAATATATATATATATATATATATATATATATAATTATATATATATTAATAGTAAAATACACCTAGACAGTGTATGAGTGTGTATGTATATGTGTATATATATACTTAGATTATAGTATACTTTTTTTTTTTTTACACTTTTTAATTTATTTTATTTTTATTTTCAGCCAGCAGGGGGACCACCTGTCATTACAAGCAGCCTACCCGGCCATGTGATTGTGAGGTCCCCGCAAGGACCTCACTCTCACATGGCCGTGGGGCACCGGAGGAGGAGGATCTGCCGCGGGGAGGCTCCCTGGGAGTCCCCCCCACTGCGATCGCTGGCGTGGGACCGCCGGCGACCGGGTAAGTAAGGACAAGTAAGTACAATTACGCCCGGCGGCGTTTAGAGCCACTTAAAATAGAGCGTAATTGTACGCCCTCCGGTCTTAAGCTAAAGTTGTTCAGGTGACTATAGTGTCCCTTTAACCCCAAAGTGCATAACTTTGCATTTCTCTACGTTAAATTTCATCTGCCATTTTAGTGCCCAGTATGGGTCGACGAATTATTGGTTTTACCGATATAATTGGCCGATATTCTGTATTTTCGACAATATCGGTATCGGCCAATTCAGATAACGATATTGCCGATAATACCTCCTAGGACCGCCAGGCTCATTACAAGCCCGGCGGTCCTGGGGGGGGCGGGCAGCAAGCGTTTACTCACCTCCCAGCAGCTCCTCCAGCGGAACTCTCACGAGACCCGCGGCCGTCAGAGCATTGCCATGGGTTACCGTTGGCCGCGAGACTTACACTGGGGAGCTGGAGGAGCTGCAGGAAGGTTGTTGCTTTTGATCACATTCCACAACCCCGGCGGGGTGGTGACCGTAGCAAGATGTTGTTACGTAAAGAGACTTTCTGGATTTACGAACTCAATACGATGTCCCCACATGGACTAAATGAATTAATATCCTATCATCCCTTCATATAATTTCAATTTACATCGAATCTTCTATCTGAGGAAACCTTTCTTCATAACAAAGTTTTTTTATTTTAATGTAATTTTTTCCCATTTTTTGTAATTATCTTTTGTACAAGGTCCCATATATACATTGATTGGCAGAGTTTGACGAGTGATTATTTAACTAGCTCCCATTTGGTTAGTTAGTTTTTTGCCAGTATGATAATATTGTATATATTTACAGTATTGAGCAGTGACATGAGCTTAGAGAGGATTCGACTGGGTCTTCTTATGGTTAGGTCTTTTCTATTTATTGGCACTATATCACTTTAAAACTTTATGGTAGCTCTTGTAATCTGCAGTAATCTGCAGTTAGTGCTTTACAGTTTAAGTGTAGCTTAAGTGCTTATTTGTAAATATATTCACTTGGTATAACAATTTCTGCACTCTTTGCTATGAAGGTCGGGTCTATATTAGCGCTCATCTTTTTTTAAGAAGGTGTTTTTATGCACATCTATTTGGGTACATTAAATGGTATATAGGTGATTTTATGGGGCACCTAGTGTCTTTTATCACAACACTCAGTGTTTGGTTTCCATGTTTCCATGGAGTTTCTGGCATTGCGGCGTGACTATAGCAACCAGTTACGTTTGCATACATCACTTCCGGGTATGTCACGTCCGCACATGCGCACAAGGTCGGGGGAGACGCCAATACTCGCCTGCGGTGAGTTAATTCTTTTTCTTATGGGGTATATAATATAGCAATGTTGGGTAGTGTGGTATTGTTAGTTCATCCTGAAGAGAGCCCCGAACCAGGGCTGAAACGGTGTTACGAAGTGATGGCAATTATTTGAATAAATAAATCTTTGTTTCACTTTTTCAAGACCGTGAGTGCAAGCCTTTTTTTCAATTATTTATTTTTGATGGCTCAGGCTTAACAGCACCCCGCTTTATATTATATTTGTTCGGCCTGAGTGCAAGGACGCAGTAACTGTTTTTATGTATATATATATATATATATATATATATATATATATATATATATATAATTATTTTAATGTTTGTAACCATAATGTTTTATTAGCATTTTATTCACCATTAGGGGAACTAACTGCCTGACAGCCCAGGCAATCCCCCTGCGGGCATAGCTGCAAGCAGCAATGTTCATTTTTGCATAGTGTTCCTTTAAAATTTTGGACCAGCACCCGTCTGAGAAGATAATCCCCAGAGGCTCCTCCAACTTGGCCATGAACACTGCAGCAGTAAGTCTGCCTCCCTATAGTGCCTCCTAAGTTGAAACCCCCTTCTGTCACTTACCTGATTCCAGAGCCGATGTCCCTCAGCGATGGTTCAGGTTTAGCCTCTGCTTCAGAAACCTAAATGCTTTCCTATGAGGTTTTGGTGATGGTGAATGTCCTCATGCATAGAGTGGGGACATCCAGCATCAGTTAGGCGACCAATCACTTAGAATTGAAGAAAAGTCTCACTGTCGACAATTCTTATTGAATAACCCATCTGATAAAGTTTCTGATTTGGTTTCAATTCGCTGCAACTTGGTGCCAGTCTCTGAATTTGTTCCAGCAAGATCCACATCTAAAGCAAAGTACAAGTGACAAGCAATTAGTACACTGTGAATACAACAGTGAAAAACGAATGTTAAAATGTGCTAACCAGCGTGGTGATTAAAAGTGAATATAAGCGACGAAAATAATCCTTTAACTAACAAACACAGGATTGTGAACCAAACAACTACAACTCCCAGACGCTTCAGCGTTTTCATTTCCGCATTCCACCACTCCCTGTGACTAACTTCCTCTAAGGAGGAGGTGCGGTTAGTCTTCTTGCAACGTTGATTGGTTTACAGTATTGTCACTCGTCACCTCTCACCAATCAGCATGGACGACAGCGGGGCGTAGCAGGAAGTGAGTGGAGAAGGCGGAAGTGGAAGCCATAGGAGAAGGAGGAGAAGAAGGTACCCCGGTTGGATATAGAAGGAGGCAAACAAGGGGGTACTGGTGAGTAAAGGGTTTTACGTGGGGCCCAATGTCTACGGTGTTTGTCACGGGTCAGAGCTGGATGTTAGTAAACCAAGGGGTATGAAGGGTCTTGACGTAGAGACCCCTAGAGTAAGATGTAAAGGCCCTAAAGCTTGAGGAAGGGACTTATGTTGGATTGTCTGTAATGATGGGATGATAGAGTTTGGAAGAGCGATGTGTAGGTTAATTCTCTTGTCAAAGGAATTGTTTTGGAATAGGACGTAGCTGGTATAAAATCAAAGTAACTGGTTATAAACCACCACAGGTAGGAAGTATATGGTTAGTATTAAAGGAAAATTGGGAGATGAGTTAGGTTCAATTGGGGGGTATGTAGAAGATCAGACTTTGCACATATCCTGTCAAGACTTGGTATCTAGAGCTGTAAGGACACTGTGTGTGTGTGTGTGTGTGTGTGTGTGTGTGTGTGTATGTATGTGTGTATATATATATATTTTTTTTTTTATTTTTTTTATTTTATTATTATTTATTTATTTATTTTTGGCATATTTTTCTTTTATGGAGAAGTGCACATTTTCAGAGTGAATGGGGCACTGAAGTTGTGACTACTCCAGTGGACTAAAGATGGTTTCAACCAGATCTCGACATATATTAAGGATATGAAAAGTATTTATTTTGAAGTTTATAGTGAGAATAAATTATAATACAATTGACAGATTCACTGTGCATGCTTGGATGCAAATAACTTCTTTATAATACTGGGCAGTACATGAATAACATTGCCATGCAATTCATATGGTACGGGAGGAAAATCCAATGTTTTTGAAGGCTTTCTTTTTGGTAAAATAACCATTTCAGTTGCTGTGCAGATATTTTCATGTACTGCCCATCTGCATGTGTAGACTGTATGTGTCAAGAATATATTGTACCCTTACTTAGAAGGCAAAATATGGGGGCTCTTGTGAAAAATTTGACATCATTTAAGGAGGAATGCAAGTAAGTGTAAAAGAATACATCTGGCTCTTCGTTTGTTGTGGAACACGTAAAGGACCACTCTAGGCACCCAGACCACTTCAGCTTAATGAAGTGGTCTGGGTGCCAGGTCCAGCTAGGGTTAACCCATTTTTTCATAAACACAGCAGTTTCAGAGAAACTGCTATGTTTATGAATGGGTTAAGCCTTCCCCTATTTCCTCTAGTGGCTGTCTCATTGACAGCCACTAGAGACGCTTGCGTGCTTCTCACTGTGATTTTCACAGTGAGAGCACGCCAGCGTCCATAGGAAAGCATTATGAATGCTTTCCTATGTGACCGGCTGAATGCGTGCGCAGCTTTTGCCGCGTCTGCGCATTCAGTTTCAATTTTAATACTTCAGAGACATACTATGCATCAAAATGTAGGTCTGGGTCTTGTGATTCTCACAATATAAAGCTCTTCGCTGTAGGATTTATAGTAGGGATCGACCGATATTGTTTTTTTTTTTTTTTTAGAGCCGATTATCTGTGAACATTTAGGCCAATAGCCGATAACTAGCAGATATTCTGTACATTTACCATTTTGAAAAAATAAACTATTTCTAAAGGTAAATGCACAAAATATACATGCCACATGTAGTGGATGCAGTGTGTCTGGACAGGGGAGCTGTGTGTGTAGTGGATACAGTGAGTGTTTGTGTAGTGTGTGTGTGTGTGTTTGTGAAGGGATGTCATTTGTGTAAAATGGAGGAGGGGGAGCATTTTTTATTTAAATTTTATTTTTAATAATGTTTTATTACATTTTTTTTTGTCCCCCCTCCCTGCTTGTTACCTGTCCAGGGCCCTCCCTGTGAAAGTCCCTGGTGGTCCAGTGGCATTGGCTGAACATTGGGGGGGCCCGGCAGCAAGCTGTTACTCACCTCCCAGCAGCTCCCTGTGTAAATCTTGCAGCAAGCATACCGCGCGGAGTGTTGCTATGGACCCGTGGCAACACTTTGCAGCCGGACGTGGGACTCGCTAGATTTGACATGGGAGCTGCTGGTAGGTGAGTAACAGCTTGCTGCCGGCCCCCCCAGGACGGTCCTGGTATGTATTATCGGTCCTGGTATGTATTATCGGTACCGATATTGCCGAAAATGCGGAGTATCGGCCGATAATATCGGTAAAACCGGTAATCGGTCGATCCTTAGCTGTTGGAGATCCTTCCTGGGTCATGGCTGCCTAAAATGCATCCAAACATTCAGTATCTCCTCCCTCTGCATCCAGACACTGAACTTTCCTCATAGAGATTCATTGATTCAAATCATCTCTATGAGGAGATGCTGATTGGCCAGGGCTGTGTTTGAATTGTGCTGGCTCTGCCTCTGATCTGCCTCCTTGTCAGTCCCCGCCCAATCCTATGGGGAAGCATTGTGATTGGATTAGGCCACCACTTCTGATGATAGAGGAAGTGCAGAGACAGCAGCTTTAGACTTGAATACAAATAAGATTTTACTATCTTTAGGGAAGACAGGGGGGCTAGATAGTGGGCTTAACACTTTAGGGTCAGGAATACATTAGGTCCCCCCACCCTCATGGTTCCACTCTCGCCGGGAGGAACGGGTTAAATTTTACCTTTTGATTTTTCACAGTGAGGAAGCGTCTCCAGCGGCTTTCGATGGGACAGCCACTAGAGGCTGGATTAACCCTGTTGTAAACATAGCAGTTTCTCTGAAACTATGTTCAGAGCTGCAGGGTTAACCCTAGATGGACCTGTTACCCAGGCCACTTCATTGAGCTGAAGTGGTCTGGGTGCCTATAGTGGTCCGTTATATTGTCGCAGTGGCATTTTCCCATGCATGTGCAATAGTCTCCCAATGCTTTCCTACGGGAAAGCATTGGATTGGCTGAGATTGTCAAGATTGATAATCTCAGACATGGAGGTTGGGGCCAGTCGCAGCGTCCGCAGCATGGTGTGGGGAAAAAGGTGAGTAAAACACTTTTCCTATGTGATTGGAGTGAAAACACACTCACTGACCGACACACAGACGCGCTCGCGGGCAGATTAAAGTTAAAAAAAAATTAAAGTTGATAAAAGTTTAAAAAATGTATGTATGTGTATATATATATCTCTAGCTTATAACCTTATATAAATATACACAATAAAATTACACACTGTGTGTGTGTGTGTATATATTTATATATTGTGTGTGTGTGTGTGTGTGTGTGTGTGTGTGTGTGTGTATATATATATATGTCACGTGCGTGGGCTATAGGCCCAGCCGAGACAGTGGGGAGAGTGTGGAAGTGACAGGGTTAATGACACCAGACCCCTGGTTACCTGTTGCTAGTCCCAGCAACCACTCAATTAACCCCTGCAATCCCTTCTACACTATCCCCCTTAGTACTACTGCCACCACCAAGACTTTTAAACCCGGGCGTCTTAGGTTACCCCACACACAGGAGAATTATAGTATCACAGTTCTACTTTTACTGATAAAACATATATAGTTAACCCCTTTTGGTAACGTGTTTACCTGAGCTTTCCTCTGGAGAGTGAAGCTCATAGAGAACAGAGACACAAGCTGATTAAACATTTAATCTGACAAAAAGGATTCACAGTGCTGAGTACAAAATACAGAAATAAATGACATACAGAGAACAAATTGCAAAACAGTACATAAAATAAAATAGGAGAAAACACAAGAAATTCCTTACATATATTTACCCCATATAGAATTCTTGTGGGAGTCTCAGATGGTATAGGTCTCCTAGAAGTTACTGACAAAAGAAAAATGAATAACTGACTTCCCTGGATAGTCCAACACCCTCATATATCTAAACTAGTTCTTTCTCAGTGGGCAGACCCCTGGGGGGGGGTATCAGAGGGGGCTGGTCTGGCAGTCTATTGCCCACTCTATGAAATTCCTTGTGTCCAGCTCTGGTCATGGCTATCTAGATGTTTTATGGTCTAGGCCTGGTGCAAGATCAAAGACCATAATAAATGTCATCCCAAGGTTTACAAAAAACAACTCTTAACATATATAAACACACATCAAACACCAACTCATGCTTTTGGCATGACACCTCCCCCTTAAGATGGTGGACAGAAAAATGTAGCCACAGGCTGATTTATCTGTCTACCATTAACCCTCTAGTTGCCGAGACAGGCCATCTGCATTCCCATGCAAGCTGCCCTTTTTGTGTTGGACAGTGAAATTATACTGTTGGAGGATAGGGCTCCAATGGAGCAGTTTACCATGGTTACCTGTCACCTGCAGCAGGTTGTGATCAGTCCATACCACAGCTACACCCTCAACAAACATGCCTGATTTGCCTGTTTCAATTCCCCATCGATCTCTGGTAACATCCCTTAAACCACACCCACTGCGCTCATGTAGTAGCTGTAAGGGGAAGAAACCAATGGATTTCTGCAGCACTCCCCGGTAAGCACACAAAAAAGCAGACAGAGAACACTCCCAGGATAGATGTGCTGTATCAACACCCATCATCTCTTTCATTTTGGGGTCTGTCTGCTGGGCTTGTTGCACTATCAGACTCTGAACTTTTGGTTCACAATCAGAAAGTTGCTTAGGTGTATGCGTGAGTTGTGATAAACTGACAAGGTTCCTGGTTCCTCCAACAGTATGTTTCCCTGCAGCCATCCTTCCTGGACCCACAGGCTGAGTCTGTCCTTGCCCCTCACTTTCACTCCAGGTCATCACACATACAGAACTTTGGAAACTGGCTAAGTCTGGCGCAGAGTAAAGCTCACACACCCCTCCCTCATAGCCTCGCTGTCCCTTCACATTTTCACCCACCACATCACATACATCTGCTTCAGGCACATATTGGCACATATATTCATTCAGCCCCCTCTCGCTGGAAGGCTTTTCCCATACATTTTCACAGGACACATTTGACCCCCCTTGATCAGATACAGAATTTTGCACACACTCACATAATTTCTTCTCCAAGGCAGGCTCTCCTCTCACAATCTCACATAGCACCTCAGACTGTCCTGCTGCAGCCCTGACCCACTGTTGACTTGTTACCACTGCGACTAATGGTACACATCCCTGGCTCTCACCTTCCTCCTCTCCCTTACTCTCTGACATCCCAGCCTCACAGTATTTTAATACAGGCACATCACTACTCACCCCTATCTCACATTTGGTAGACATCACTGGTTCAGTTACAGGTAGATATTTATCCACACCCTGCTCTCCCTCCCAGCAATCACACTTCACAATGTCTCCCAAAGTTTCACACAATACCTTAGGTGGAGCAGTCAGCCCTTCTGGCTCACAAACAGTGTCCGCTGGAGCATAGTGACAGAGCATCCTGCCCAAATAATTCTCCAACAGAACATTAACAGGGATATCCTCTGAAATCCCCACTTCCCGCAAACCTTTGCCTGCACCCCAATCAAGGTACACACGTGCCAAGGGCACAGCGGGGCGTACACCCCCAATTCCTTTGATGGACATGGTCCTTCCAGGGATTATGTCCTCCGTATTCACCACTTCAGGTCGCACCAGGGTGAAGGAAGCTCCAGAATCTCTCAGTCCCATGGTCACTCGGTCACCCACAATTACACTCTGCAGGTTATCCTCTCGTTTCCCCACAGACCCACCCACAAGCAATACTGATGGTGCCCCTCCACGGGCTGGTGAGGGCATATTCCTAGTGGGGCAAGTCCTGCTCAGATGACCAATCTGGTTGCATCGAAAACAACGGCGGGCATCTGACTCACTTGACATAGCCCCGGCTACGCTGGCAGTCGGTGGTGAAGTTCTCACTGCAGATCTTACAGGTGGTGATTGAACTGTAGCTTCTCTCCAGGTCGAAGTAGCAGCTGACACAAGTCCACGCCTGGATGTTGGTGCATGGATGTCGGCATAGTCATCTGCCAGTTCTGCAGCAGCCCTAGCATTTTTTGGCTTTCTTTCCAAAATCCACTCTCGTACATTAGGGCTCCGGGTCTGCAAGAACTGCTCCAGGACCAGTAAGTCATTAAGGGCTTCATAGGTAGTAGCTTGTACTCCTGTTACCCTTTGCCGGAACGTGGTTTCTAATTGTGCAACATATAGAATTCTTTTTCCTGTAAGACTCAGGAGTAAGGTTAAAAGTTTTTTGCAATGCAGATTTGATTGCCTCATAGTTGTTATCAGTCTCTGGGGGAAGGGACACAAACACATCCAAAGCTTTCCCTTTCAGTTGTGGAGTTAAATATCTGCCCCACTGGTCTGAGGGTAGTTGATGCTGCCTGCATACTTTCTCAAAACTTTTTAAAAATACATCCAAATCTGTCCCTTCTTCGAGGGAAGGAAAATCATCCTTACGGAGCCTACGTGTGCTGGACTCTGATGCATTGCTGTTCAGTGAGGACTGAAGGGTAAATTGCAGTTTGGCAAGTTCCAGCTCATGTCTCCTTTGTGCGTCCCTTTCGGCTAGCCTCTCTGCAGATTCCCTTTCTGCAGCCTGCTGTTGGATCATCACATGCAGGGCCTCCTGAGGATTTGCAGCCATCAGTTGCCGAAATAAATCAGTTGAGCAAATGTCCTTAATGTTTTGAGGGGTACAACCACCAGGCATTTCAGTAAGCAACACTCCTGCAGTAGTAGGGAGCTCGGTAACCCTTTCAGTGTCCGTCTCTGGCTGGAAAATATGGCTGTCAGCCTCCACAAGGTCAGCAATAAGTTGTGCCTTATTTTTGCCAAAAGTTGGTAAATTATTTTCTTGGCACAACAATTCCAAGGCCTCTTTTGATTGTTTGCGATAGGCCTCCATATTCACAAATAGGATAGAGAAAGAAAAACAAAAGATGGGAGGGGAGAACTGTTTTGCACTTTGTATGTATTTTAAATCAGCACTGAGCTTGGTCTCTGGAAATTACACAAAAACAAGTATGCAATTTCTTTTAGTGCTAAGACCCCCTTTACAGGTAAAATCTAGCAAGCACTAAAAATCTCTAAATATATCCCACTAGCTGCCGCCAGTTTGTCATGTGCGTGGGCTATAGGCCCAGCCGAGACAGTGGGGAGAGTGTGGAAGTGGTGATGGCTATCTAGATGTTTTATGGTCTAGGCCTGGTGCAAGATCAAAGACCATAATAAATGTCATCCCAAGGTTTACAAAAAACAACTCTTAACATATATAAACACACATCAAACACCAACTCATGCTTTTGGCATGACAAAATATATATATATATATATATATATATATATATATATATATATATATATATATATATATATATATATATATATAATTAAAAATAAACAGAACATTTTTATATAAATATATTTTAAATGTCATTATATTCTCACTGTATATTGATACATGATAGATATATATACACACACTCAAGGCTGCTAGAGCCAAACACGCTCTGGCCCATCAGGAGTCCCAGTGAAACTTCAGATATTTGCTAATACGAAGACGTGGTAAAGGACAATCCTCAATTTTTTTTGAATATTTAATCTTTATTTTAAATTTTTTTCTTTTAAATCTCATTAAATACATATATCATACAAATACAAATATCATACAAATATACATTTGTGATACAAACAAACAACACAGCAGCAAAATAGGGGAGGGAGAAGAAAAATACATCAGAAAGACTTCCATAATAGAGTGGTAATATCATTTAGATAAATCTCATAATTATTTACAATGTTCATGGAATTGTTCTACTACTAATTGAGCGACACTATTTTATACATCAATCATCTCAATACACTTTAACCAAACATAAATCTTATTGCTTAGTCTTTGTTTACTTAGCATCAGCTCCATTCTAATCTGAAACTCGAGTTGAGTTTTAACTTTCTTCCAGGGGACTTCTGAATCCCTTTTCCACCATCTCGCAATTACTATTTTAGCCGCTAAAAACAGATGTATGAGAATTGCTTTTAATTCATATGTCATATGAGGCCAATTTAGATGAAGTAGAACTACCTCTGGAGAGATAATCAACTCAAGTTTTAAATTGTTAGATATAAAATGCTGCATTTTCAACCAGAGATTTTTTAATTTATAGCAATCCCACCAAATATGTCTAAAATTGCCTCTAATACTATTGCATCTCCAACAGATAGGATTTACTAGAGGGTAAATTTTATTCAATTTAGCTGGTACTAAGTACCACCTATTTAAAACTTTAAAGTGCGTTTCTAATAAATTTAATGAATGTATATTCTTCTTAACATCCATCATTGAAGAACCCCATTGATTCAGATTTATATCGATATTCAAGTCTTGTTTCCAAGCCTGTATGGCAGTAGGATTTGTGTCTTTAGCTATTGATTTAATTAGTATTAGAGCTTTAGAAAGTGGTTTATTAACTTTTTTTGATGTAAATAATAAATCTATCGAATTGCTTAAATTAGATTTTGGTATTATTAGATGTGTATTAATATAACTTTTAAGTCTTAAAAAATTAAACACCTCTCTAGGAGGGAGATTATGTATCTCTGTTATTTGAGCAAAGGTTTTAATTAGTCCTTCTGTCAATAATTGGTCCAGAGTCGTTATCCCTACTTTTTTCCAATTATTTAAGTTTAAGTCTTCCACTTGTTTTTCTACAATATCTAACTCTAAATAACTTGGAACTTTTTTTTCTATATTCATTACTTTTTTAATTTTTAACCAATTTTCCAATAATTGAGTTAGAATAATACTGGCATATTCTTTTTTTCTTTGGCATTTTATTTATATTCCAAATTAAACAATCTAAGCTAGAAACTTCTCCTGCCTTCAATTCCATTTTATACCATCCCTCATCTTTATTTTCTTTCATTTGCATTCTATAGACATGTAGGGTAATAGCTGCTTTAAAGTTATTCATTATGAGTGGATAATCAAGTCCACCTTTATATATTTTCTGCGCTAATATTGACTGTTTCAATCTCGGCTTCTTGCCTTTCCAGATGTATTGAGTAAAACTTCTTTGTATTAATTGAAGCCAATGGATTGGGATATGGAGAGGTAACATTTGAAACATATAATTCCACTTTGGTATAACATATGAATTGATAACATTTATTCGCCCCAAAAAAGTAATCTCTAGGTTTCTGCGATCTTTTAACCATTTATTGAGATCTAATAATAATGTTAGGAAATTTACTTCCATAATCTTATTTGTCTCTCTGGTTATTTTAATTCCTAAGTAATCCATACTTTCTTTAACCCAAATAAAATCATATTTGTTTTTAATCTCTCGTTGTATCCTTTTATTTAGGTTAACATCTAATATCAAGGACTTATTTATATTTAACTTATAATTTGATATGAAGCTATATCGCTCTATTTCTTGCATTATGCGTTCCAAAGAATTTTTAGGGTTTGTAAGAGTAATTAAAATGTCATCAGCATATAAGCTAATTTTTTGATCCTCATCCATTATTTTATAACCATAGATCTCTTTATTATTCCTAATATTCTCAGCCAATGGCTCGATAGTCAGCAAGTAGAGCAATGGTGAGAGGGGACAACCCTGTCGGGTACCATTTCTAAGTTGGAACCATGGGGCGACTATATTAGGTCCAATAGTTCGTGCAACAGGATTTACATATAGTGCCATTATAGCTTTCTTAATCCAACCTTCCAATCCATAATGTTGTAAAACGGCTTCTAAATATTTCCAGCTGACTCTGTCGAATGCTTTTTCAGCATCAATCGACAGAGTCAGAACTGGAACATCATATCTATTTGCGTCATCCAAGATATTAATAATTTTCCTTATACTTGTATAGGAATTTCTACCTGGAACATATCCTATTTGATCTTTATGGATGATTAGTGGAAGAAGTTTTTTTATTCTAGCAGCCAAAACCGAAGCGTATAACTTAGTGTCAACATCTATTAAAGATATCGGACGGTAGTTTTTGATATCAGTGGGGTTTTTATCATTTTTTAGAATAGGCAAGATATTAGCTTTTAGCATCTCTGCTGGTAAAAATCCTCTGTTTGCCGCTATGTTGAAAGCAGAGGTCAAATGTGGACATATTAAATCTTTAAATGTTTTATAAAATAGGTTGCTAAACCCATCCGGGCCTGGTGTTTTAGATCTTTCTAAATCATTTATTGCTTTCATAGTCTCCTCCATAGTTATAGGTTTATTTAAGAAATAATTTTCAATAGAAGTTAATTGAGGCTTCTTTATATTATTTAAATAGTTTTTAATATCCTCATCTGTATTGATCTGAGGAATATTGTATAGATTGGAATAATATTCATTAAAACACTTTCCAATCTCTCTGGGGGTTAGTGCTATTTTTCCATTCTGTATTATTTTGTCTACCTTATTTTGTACTTTTTGTTTTCTAAGTTTTTGGGATAGCATCTTTTCAGCTCGATTGCCTTTGGAATAATATTTAAATTTTAATCTAACCATATTTTTAGCTATCGTGTCCATTAATTTTTGCTTTATTTTTTCTTTAAGTTCTAATATTTTTTCATAAATTTCAGGAGATGGAGATTGTTTATTGATATGAGTCAAATCTCTTAATTCTGTATGTAAAAATGCCAAAGTATTATTTTTATCAAGTTGGCTTTGTAACTTGATAATATGACCTCTTATAACGGCCTTAAAGGCACACCACAAAATAGATGAATCAATATTTTCTGAGATATTTTCTTTAAAATAATTTTTTATATTATCTCTTATATGAGTTTTTTTTAATTCACAACAAAGCAAATTATCTCTTAGACGCCAAGTATAAGCTTCTCTTTTAAGTGTACTAAAAATCATTTCACAAAAAACTCCATCGTGGTCTGTCCATACTATCTCGTCAATCTTTGTTTTTTTGGTCATATCAATAATACTTGGGTCGACCCAAATCATGTCTAATCTTGAATAGGAAAAATGCACTTTAGAAAAATGCGTATAGTCTCTCTCATTAGGATTAAAAATTCTCCAAATATCGAATAGATTATATTCATCTTTAATTTTTTTTAAAGCTTTTGCTTGTTTTATAACCATCTGATTTAAAGTATTTCCTTTCATTAATTTTTTATCTATCTGAGGGTCTAGTACAGCATTGAAATCCCCTGCCACTATTAACTTTCCCACTTTAACTTCATCTACTTTTTCCAGAATTGTTTTTAAATAGGCAACTGGTAAATGATTAGGAAGATATATATTACATAATGTAAAAAGTACAGAGTCAATTTTACATATTATTATTAAATACCTGCCTTTAGTATCTTGTATTTGATGAATTACTTCAACTTTAATCTTTTCTCCAAATACCACAGCTACTCCACATTTTTTTTTTTCCTTATTGGAAGCTTGAATTATAAGTGGAAATCTTTTACCCCCCCTATTTTGTTTATCCGCTTGTCTCCAGTGAGTTTCTTGTAAGAATATTAAATTCAATTGTTTTTCACTGAGGTATTTGTACAATAGATTTCTTTTCGCTATAGTATTCAATCCCTGAACATTAAGTGTAAGCATTTTTATCATATTATTTTCAAAAACCTCCCTACATCCCTTTCCACTCGATAGCCATTACCCTTCCCTTTTGCTGCATAAACATATCTACACAAACACATAAAACAAAATATTAAAATCATAGGAGGAAATCCTCCTTTTTTATCACAAAGACTGTAAATTTTCATATAGAAATTCAGTCTTTACTGTGTCTTTAAATTAGACACTAAGTGGGCGTATCCAGAAAGAGGTAGTAATATTTACAAGTTTGCAATCTCTCTCCAAGAGGGAGAGAGAGAGAGAGAGAGAGAAAAAAACAAAAAAAACTTTTATACTTAACTCCATTAACTTTCAATTCTGTGTCTTAAGTGGATCTATATCCTCTTATCTTACCAATACGTATGAATAATTTACTTTTAGCCACCTCTTTGAATTAAAAACTGATTAATACTTAAACATATTTGCTTTTATCTACTTTTTTCCAGATAATTAGTTAGTACCCTTAAGGTGAGAACAACCAACAATTACTTCAATAAACCTGTTAATTATTCAAAAAAACATTTCTTTGCTTATTTTATACTTAACTTCATTGCTCTATGAATAATTTTCTTTTAACCACCTCTTTAAGTACAAATCTGATTAATATTAATACTTAGACATATTTACTTTTAAGTCCTTATGTTCCACATGGTTACATACATATACCCAATTAAATAGTTCTACATAAGTGAGGACAAAAAAAAAAAAAAAATTTCTTCCATTATTTTATACTTAAATCAGTTACTCTGTGATTCTTTACTTTAAATAAATCTGTTTCTACTTAACTTACTAATACATGTGAATAATTTTCTTTTAACCACCTCGTTAAGTTCAAATCTAATTAATATTAATACTTAGACATATTTGCTTTTAAATCCTTATGTTCCAAGTGCTTGTGTGCATATACTTAATTCTCAATTGACTAATAGCTTTAAAGTGAAGACAAGCCCCAATAACATCAACAAATTAGCAACTTGTGCAAAGCACAATTAAGTGATTCTATATGAGTGGAAAAAAAAAAGTTAATTTTCTTCCTTTTTCATTCCTTCTTCTCTCCCTCTCCTCTCTTCTCTCTTCCTTCCATCTTCCTCTCCGCCGCAGCAGACCCTTCAAGCTTTTTTATTGATACCTGTTAACCAACTATTTGCTTCATTTGCATCCAAAAAAATTTTTCTTTCTTGTTTCCAAGTAAATCTTAAAGATGTTGGATAGGCCCATTGAAACCTGATCTCTGCTTTTCTTAAAAAATCCGTCACGATAGAGAAAGATTTCCTCCAAGTCCTGGTGTGATAAGATAAGTCTTGCAAAAAAATTATGTCTTTGTAAATAGAATTTGTTCGGGGTTTGGTACGGCAGGCTTTCATTAAATTATTTCTCAATGATAATGAGGAAAAACTCACTATTACATCTCTTGGGAGATGTGAAGCTGTTGTATCTGGTTTATGTATTCGGTGAAAATTTTCTATTTTATATTCATCTGTAGGTATTTCTGGTAAAACTTCTTCAAATAAATTGTTTAGATATTCTCTCAATTTTTCATTGGAGATTTCTTCAGAAACACCTCTTACTCTGATGTTTCTTTTTCTTGACCTATCTTCCAAAGCTGCTATTTTATTTTCAAGATTATCAACTTTATTTACTAGAAACTGCACCTCCGTATTAATTGCTTTAATTTGCGTTCCAAACACTTCACATTTTTTTTCCACTTCCACCACTGATACTGCAACATTTTTAATTTCTTGTTTTATCTCATTGAAACTTACAAGCATTTCTTGTTTCAATAAATTTAATTGTAGTTCCAGCGTTTGCTTAAATTGATCTTGGATACCAATTGAAGCAATTGCTTGAGCTTCTGATGGAAATTGATTAAGTGCAACTTCTTGGATAATATTGGAAGTATTACTTGGGTGTGTCTTACTATCAATTATCTGTTCCTGCGGATCTTTAATAGGATCTTTAATAGGAGTTGCAAAAAAACCTGACAACCTCTTTTCTGTTTGTTGAACTAACTTAATTTCTTTCTTTTTTTCCGTTGTTTTCCTGGTTGACATTTTGTTTTATTTCTTAAATGCTTCTCAGTGACAAATTATAACTAGATGTCGCATATAAAATTTCAACTCCAAACTCAAAGAACTAGATTAAATCAATTGGTCAAATAATTGATTCTTGATGCCAATCTCCTCCAACGAGGAAAAAAAAGATTTCCTTCCACTTTTCTTTTTTCCAGGCCAGTAATTATATACAGGTATGATGCCTTACAGTTATATTTTTTAGTAAATACAGAAGTACTCACAGTTTTTATATATGACTGTTTAGGAGATCACTGAGGGATGTATTTCCTCTTTTTCCCTTTATTTCTCTCTTATTCTTTCCTTCTTTGTATCCCTTTTTTCTTCTTCTTTTTTTTTTTCGTTTTTTGTTTGATAATTTATACAGGAACTGTTTTTATTTCTTCCTTGACCTTTTTAACGGTCTATAAGGGAATCGCCACTATTTGCCACTATTTGCCCAAAAACGGAGGCAACAAACCCCCAGCAAAAACCGGCATACACCACCACGTCAGACCAGGTCCACCGACCCACCAAATCTTCACCGAACCGAGCCCTCCCTCCACTTCGTCTAAGCCGGACCACACTCACAAGTCGGCACGGAGCGGCATTGCTTACTCTCGACTCCGCGTCCTCTCTCCTCAACCTCCCTCCGGACACGCCCACCTAAAGCACGTGCGGCGTCTCACGTCATCACGTCCTCAATCCCAGGACAATCCTCAATTTAAGCATTGCAGCACATAGAGGAAGTGATCTCAGATCACTTCCTCCCAGCACTTGTGAATGGGAATCCACACCGTAGTAGAGCAGCCTGCAGCTGCTGTTGCAGCTCCTGTACTTGACCTGTACCTGGCCAGCCTTGTCCCCACTGGAACCCAGGGAAGCTACCCACACTGCTAGATATACACAGAGCTGCAGAATAACCCTTCCTTCATACAAATAATACAAACAGCCCACACACAAACACAACACACAATCTGCACAAACTCAACACCACTGACAATCCACACACATGCACACAACCCCACATGCAGGCTCTCACAAGCAATACCCCAAACAGCCCACACACACTACCAAACACACAATGTGACATATCCATCCACACACAATTCCACAAGCAACCCCCATACACAGCCCACATTCATATGTATCATACACAATACCATTAGCTACTAATGAACATATACAATATAATAGCTTATAAACGCACAAATACAATGAAACAAAGCAACTGCAGTAAAAACAACACAAGTAGAATACGGCAGCATACACACCTCAATTTAAATAAATAAAAAATAGGACCCGCACGCTACGGGACATCACAATCCTATATCGGCACAGTGCTGCTAAAAGGTTGCCTACCCCTGATATAGTATAAAATGATTTAATTATAAGTGTACTTTGATATATATCTCAAAATACACTTGTGATGAAATCATAGATGCAATAAATATATATACAATAATAAAATGATTTAATTATACAAATATAGGAAATAAGTGTGTGTGTGTGTATATATATTACAAAAAAAAAATTAAAAAAAAATCTTTATACAAAAACAAAACCGCTAACTTTGGCCAGCGTTTGTGACTAAGTGGCTACATCAAAAGACTGGAAATACCCCATTTGGAATACCCTGGGTTGTCAACATTTGAAAATGGTATGCCATGATGGGGTTATTTCACATTCCTGGGCTACCATATGATCTCAAAAGGCAACAAAGGTCCTGCAAACCAATCTAGCAAACTAGATCGGGCAAGCCCTATATTGACCCTGTAACTTTCCAAAACATATTGTTATTCTTGTGAGACTTCGTTGAACACAAATATGAGTGTTTTAAATCAGTAAAACGTATTCCGACTATGAAATTACCAGTAAAAGTGCAGTTTTTGTGTAAAAAAAAATGCAATAAACAAAGAAAAATTTTAACTTTGTCCAGCGTTTGTGACTATTTGGCTACTACAAATAACTGGATATACCCCATTTTGAATACCCTGGGTTGTCTACTTTTACAAATGGTATGCCATGATGGGGTTAATTTTAATTCCTGGGCTGCTATATGATCTCAAAGGCAACATAGGCCCAGCAAACCAATCTCGCAAATATCAATGTGCAAACATGGAAAAGGGGAAGGCCCTACATTTGACCCCTGTAAGTTTGCAAAAGCCCATAAAACCTGTACATTGGGGGCACTTTTGTACTCGGGAGATGTTGCTGAACACATATTGGGGGTTTCTTTGTCAGTAACACATAAACTGAACTAAAAATCCATGCCTAAAGTACAATGTGAGAGGAAAAAATTACACAAAAAAGACTAGTCAAAAGTTTGACAAAGACTGGTGGTAGAATTAGTGCATGGAAAGTGTTAAAATACCACCATTTGAAATGGTGTCTACTTTTCAAAAATATATGGTTTGATGGGGGTAAACTATATTGTCCAGCTTCAAAAAATATCCCAAATGGGACATGGGTGCATGATGACTTACTGTGAAAATTCCAAGTTGGAAAACTGAAATGCGCACCCTCCAAATAAGGTCTTTTAGCCCCCAGAGAACCCGACACACCTATACATGTGTGGTATCCCTGTAGTCAGGAGATGATGCTGAACACATATTGTGGTGTTCTTTGGCAGTAACCTTTAAAGTTCTCAGTGCATATATTCTTAAATTGCCATGTGTCTCAAAAAAATCACCAATTATTATTTTGTAATTAATTTGGCATAGATTGGTGGTAAAATTGCTGCATGAAAAGATTCAAAATACCCCAGGTTTGATACCTTAGGTTGTCTTCTTTTAAAAAATATAAACATGTGAAGAATTATTCGGGGATTCCTGACAGATATCAGTGTTACAATGTAACTTGCGTTAATTTTGAATAAAAATGTTTTTGGAAATAGCAAAGTGCTACTCGTGCTAATAGCCCTATAACTTTCCAAAAAAAGCTAAGTACATGCTAACATTAGGCATTTCTAAACTCAAGACAAAAGTTAGAAACTATTTAGCACTGGTGTTTTTGACAGTTGTAGATGCGTAACAGATTTTGAGGGTCAAAGTTCGAAAAAGTGTGTTGTTTTCAATTTTTTCATCATATTTTAGAAAAAATTTTATAGTAAATTAAGATATGATAAAAATAATGGTATCCTTAGACCATTTAATGGCGAGAAAAACAGTATATAATATGTGTGGGTACAGTAAATGAGTAAGAGGAAAATTACAACTAAACACCACAGAAATGTAAGAGCCTTGGTACCAACGGCAAGAATTTTGAAAAACTACCTGGTCACTAAGGGATTAAAAGTCCCATCTCCCACTCCTCTTATTTTTCCTTCTTGCAAATCCATATAGTTTGAAACTTTTGCACTTAGTTCTCTCCAAACTAGGAAGTGACTCTGCCTCCAGGCTTCGATCACTCAATTTATCATTTTACTTCCTGGTTTGCTTAGTTTAGTCGAGCTAAACTCAAAAGACTGGCTATTGACCAGAGCACCTGGTCTTGCAAAGACTAACCATTGAACTGCATTAGACAGAAAAATATAAATTAAATGCATACATGTTTCATTGGGGGCATACCTACTAAACAGTAATTTGATTCAGTCAGTGGGTAGTCTTTCAAATGACCAGTTTCTGCAGGGAAAGGTGTTAGTCATAGCATAATGTACATTTAGTATTTTTGCAGCAAAAATGCAAACTATACATATTGGGAGGCGGCAAATCTTGAGCAAAACTATGTTTTAGAATAAAAATAATTATTCTCTGTTTATGTAATGTTAGGTATTTCTCTGCCAATAACTTAATGCACTGTAGTGCTACTGGAGAGTTTGCATGTCTTACTTTGATCCTTGTCATACACCCTGTTCCAAATTATTATGCAAATTATATTTTTCTCATTTACCTAAATAATTTATGTAAATAACAGTCAGCATAATTGTCGTGTTATCAACTATTAAGAGTACAATTCAAATTTTATTGAACAAACCTCCTAATGATAACAGTATTTTTTTTTAAACATAAAAAGCTTACGATGCACTGTTCCAAATTATTACGCACAGTAAGTTTAAAAACACTTTATAGGTTGTAAAAAACTGAAAATTGTCAATTGTTGTGTTTGCAGCATATTTACCGAAATCAAAAGCTATTTCAAACGTATAACAACATTTTAACAGGTCACGTTACATTTCAACATAGGACCCCTTATTTGATAGCAGCTTCACAAGTCTTGCATCCATTGAACTTGTGAGTTTTTGGACAGTTTCTGCTTGAATTTGTTTGCAAGATGTCAGAATAGCCTCCCAGAGCTGCTGTTTGGATGTAAACTGCCTCCTACCCTCATAGATCGTTTGATTGAGAATGCTCCAAAGATTCTCCATAGGATTGAGGTCAGGGGAGGATGGAGGCCACACCATGACTTTCTCTCCTTTTATCCCCATAGCCATTGATGCAGAGGTATTCTTTGCAGCATGAGATGGTGCATTGTCATGCATGAAGATGATTTTATTACGGAAAGCATAGTTCTTCTTTCTGTACCAGGGAAGAAAGTGGTCAGTCAGAAACTCCACTTACTTTGCATAAGGACCAGCTCTCTTCCCGTGATTCCTGCCCAAAACATGACTCCACCACCGCCTTGCTGACGTTGTAGCCTTGTTGGAACAGGGTGGCCTTCCACCAACCATCCATTATTATCAGTGAACAGGACTGTTTGAAAATTAGTCTTCATGTATTTTTCTGCCCAATGCAGCCATTTCTGCTTGTGAGCATTAGTTAGTGGTGGCCGAATAGAAGGTTTAGGAACAGTTGCAAGACTCTGGAGGACTCACACCTTGATGGCCGTGGGACTCCACAGGCACCATCAGATTCAAATATCTGTTTGCTGCTATGTTATGGTATTTTAGCAGCTGCTCTCTTTATCCGATGCATGGATCTGGCAGGAATCTTCCTCAATGTACCTTTATCTGCACGAACCCATCTGTGCTCTGAATCAGCCACAAATCTCTTAATAGTGCGATGATCACGCTTAAGTTTTTGTGAACTATCTAATGTTTTCATACCTCGTCCAAGGCATTGAACTATTTCACTCTTTTCGCCAGCAGAAAGATCCTTTTTTACATAGTTACATAGCTGAAAATAGACTTGTGTCCATCAAGTTCAGCCTTCCTCACGTATGTTGTTGCTGTTAATCTAAAAGAAGGCAAAAAACCTAGTCTGAAGCGCTTCCAATTATGCCACAATCTAGGAAAAAAATCCTTCTTGACCCCAAAATAGCAGTCAGCTGTCTCCTTGGATCAAGCAGCTATTACCCCACTAATTAGAAATTATATCCCTGTATGTTATGTTTTTGTAAGTATTTATCCAATTGCAGTTTAAACCTCTGTAGTGACTCTGACAAAACCACCTCTTCAGGCAGAGAATTCCATATCCTTATTGCTCTTACTGTAAAAAAAAACTTTTCTTTGCCTTAGATGAAATCTCCTTTTTTCCAGCCTAAATATGTGACCTTGTGTCCTATGTATAGCCCTGTTTATGAATAGATTTCCAGATAAAGGTTTGTACTGGCCCCGAATATATTTGTATAAAGTTATCATATCCCCTCTTAGGCGCCGTTTTTCCAAACTAAACAGATTTAATTTTTTTTTAACCTTTCTTCCCCATATTGCATGAAAATGGTGCTCTGCTTAATAATGTGGAACACCCTCTTTTAGTAGTTTTTCCGTAAATTGGACTCACCTGGCAATCTAATTATCACAGGTGTCCGAGATTGTTTTCAGTGATCAAAAGAGCCCTGAGACACAATGCCATCCATGAGTTAAACTGAAAAACAAAATATTTAATCTTTGTGACACTTAAATAGGATTTGAATAATAATTTGGAACAGGGTGTATATAAAATCTCAATACCCTATGACTTTACCTAACATGTAGAAAATCCCATTAAAGGTAAATGGTGCCGGAATATGACGTCATTCCGGCCCCTGCATCATAACAGAGCGCAAGAGAGGAGCTACAGGCAGAGTACTGCTCCCTCGCACACAGGAAGAATGCTGCCCCATTGGACCCTCACAGCTCTCCCAAAGGTAGGGAAGCTGAGTGGGTTTCAATTAAAACAAAAGTGTGTGTGAGCCTACTGATGAGTAGTATAGAAGTACCCTTATGGAAGGAAAAAGTGATACAAGACCTTCTACGGGACTAGCAATAGTTAAAATTTAACTTTTAATAAATATATGCGTGATAAAAAAGTAAAAAGGAGGTAAATAAATCATATACATACACCCTGTTCCAAATATGCAAATTCTATTTAAGTGTCACAAAGATTAAATATTTTGTTTTTCAGTTTAACTCCTGAATGACATTGTGTCTCAGGACTTTTTTGATCACTGAAAACACAGAGATTAGATTGCCAGGTGAGCCCAATTTAAGGAAAAACTACTAAAGGAGGGTGTTCCACATTATTAAGCAGAGCGCCATTTTCATGCAATATGGGGAAGAAAAAGGATCTCTCTGCTGGCGAAAAGAGTGAAATAGTTCAATGCCTTGGACGAGGTATGAAAACATTAGATAGTTCACGAAAACTTCAGCGTGATCATCGCACTATTAAGAGATTTGTGTCCGATTCAGAGCACAGACGGGTTCGTGCAGATAAAGGCACATTGAGGAAGATTTCTGCCAGATCCATGCATCGGATCAAGAGAGCAGCTGCTAAAATACCATTATATAGCAGCAAACAGATATTTGAAGCTGCTGGTGCCTCTGGAGTCCCACGGACATCAAGTTGTAGAGCCCTCCAGAGTCTTGCAACTGTGCATAAACCTTCTATTCGGCCACCACTAACCAATGCTCACAAGCCGAAACGGCTGCCTTGGGCAGAAAAATACACGAAGGATAATTTTCAAACAGTCCTGTTCACTGATGACTGCCATGCAACCCTGGACGGTCCAGATGGATGGAGTAGTGGATGGTTGGTGGATGGCCACCCTGTTCCAACAAGGCTGCGACGTCAGCAAGGCGGTGGTGGAGTCATGTTTTGGGCTGGAATCATGGGAAGAGAGCTGGTCGGCCCAATTAGGGTCCCCGAAGGTGTTAAGATGACCTCTGCAAAGTATGTGGAGTTTCTGACTGACCACTTTCTTCCTTGATACAGAAGGAAGAACTGTGCTTTCCGTTATAAAATCATCTTCATGCATGACAATGCACCATCTCATGCTGCGAAGAATACCTCTGCATCGGTGGCTGCTATGGGGATAAAAGGAGAGAAAGTCATGGTGGGGCCTCCATCCTCCCCTGACCTCAATCCTATTGAGAACCTTTGGAGCATCCTCAAGCAAAATGTTAAACTGTTTAAAATATTGTTATAAGTTTGATTGAAATAACTTTTGATTTCAGTAAATATGCTGCAAACACAGCAAATGACAATTTTCAGTTCTTTACAACCTATAAAGTGTTTTGAAGCTTACTGTGCGTAATAATTTGGAACAGTGCATTGCAAGTGTGTTTTTTTTTTTTTTTTTTTATTTTTTTTTTTTTTGTTTGTTTAAGAAAAAATTACTTTTATCATTAGGAGGTTTGTTCAACAAAATTTGAATTGTACTCTTAATAGTTGATAACATGATAATTATGTTGACTGTTATTTACATCACTTATTTAGGTAAATGAGAAAAATATAATTTGCATAGTTTGGAACAGGGTGTAGTAATTTTGGAAAACTAATCATTATAATGGTGTTGACTCTGCCCAGCAACGACAGCTTAAAGGACCACTATAGTGCCAGGAAAACAAACTCGTTTTCTTGGCACTATAGGGTCTTTAGGATCCCCCACCCTCAGGGTCCCACTCGCACTGGGGGGCTGAAGGGGTTACACACTTGCCTTTCTCCAGCGCCGGGCCCCCTCAGTGCTGGGGAACTCTCCTCCTCTTCCTGACGTCAGCGATGCATGCGCGGCGCATTCAGACAGTCCATAGGAAAGCATTTCTTAATGCTTTCCTATGGACGTCCAGCGTCTTCTCACTGTGATTTTCAGCGAAAGCATTCTGTTTTGCATAGATTAAATAATGCTTATTAATCATAGCTGAAAATTTTGTCTACAGTTGGTGAAATTTTCACTGATGTGTTCGCGTCTCCAATCAAAGTTCTAAGTTTGTTGAAGTTCCTGTATGTAGAGTTGTGCCTGTGTTAGGTAGTGTTTGCGTTTTGGTTTAATTTAGTTTATAATATGATAAATTGCCATAAGTTTCTAGGAGTTGCAATAACGAGGGTAAGGATGAGGACACATCGCTCAAAGTGAGAAGGATATCGTTGGCGAACATGGATAGTTTGTATTTCTTTGGGTCTATTTTGATGCCATGTGATGTTGGCGTTGTCAGATTATGTGCGCCATTGTTTCTCGTGACATTACAAACAGTGGAGATGGGGGGCACCACTGTCTGGCACCATTGGAGATATTGAATGGTGTTCTCAGGAAGCCGGCATTGGATACTTGGGTTGTTGTAAAGGCCCATAATATCTGAAATTATGGATGGAGAGAAGCCAAAAGTGAGTAGTATGTGTTTCATATATTCCCAGTTTAGTTTGTCAAACTTAAGCGCGTCTAGCACTAGGAGAAGACCGTTGCCATGTGTGGTATGAATTTGTGATGTTTAAGATCTTTCTGGTGTTATCTGTGCCCTGTTTTGTTCGTATAAAGCCTGATTGGTCATTATGGGTTAATTTTGGAAGGATGTCCGAAAGTCTATTTGCGAGAAGTTTGGCGTAGAGTTTGACATCTCCGTTTAACAGGGAGATGGGTATGACGTTTTAACACAATGGCGATATGGGCACGTAGCATATCTGGGGTTAAGGTGGCTTGGGAGTAGCATGTGTAAAAAAGTTTGTGTGGGGATAGTATATGTGCGTAAGTCTGATAATAGAGGTTTGTGTATTCATCTGTGCCGGGTGCTTTGTGTTTAGGAAGTTGTTGTATTGCTTTTTTAATTTCCACGTTGGTGAATGGTTTAGAGATAGCTTCAAGGTCCTCTGGTGAAATTTTGGGTAGGTCTACCCGTGATAGAAAGTCTTGTATGGCTAGGTGGGAGGTGGTGTAATGCCCGGATCATCCTTGAGATTATATAGTGTGCTATAGTAGGAGACAAATTTGTTAATTATGTCTTGTGGGTTCATAAGTTTAGTTTTGGCTGCTGTGTGTGTATACATGCTATCTTAGTGTTTTGCGCGTGCTTTGAGTTGAGAGCGTTAATTCTGAGATGAGGTCTGTGTATGCTTTAGTCCTTTTGTTATTTTTACATATCCTTCGGCCTTGATGAGGAAGCCTCTTATCACAGCCTTGTGTGCTCTCCATAATATATCTATGGTAGCGTCTGGAGTGGTGATGGTCTGCAAGTAGGATGTCAGTTCAGCTTCAATATTTGCGATAATCTTTGGGTCTTGGAGCAAGGAGTCATTAAGTCTCCATGAGCCTTTGCCGGTGTTGGGAAAATGTTCCCGCAAAGTAAGAGTTGCTCTACTTACATGGTCTGATCATGAGATCATACCTATTTGGGCCTCTTGTATTTTGTGCATCATGGTGGAGGCTGAGTGGTGTAGGTGTTTTTTGCGGGAGAGTGAAAAGTACAATCGCGTTCCAGCAGGTGTAAAATTCTCCAGGGGTCTAAAAAGTGTGATTTTTTTTTTTTTTTTGACACTGGAGGGATGCTGCTTTCATTTGTTTTTGTGTACAAGGAAAAAGGGGGTTTGCGCACACAATGGTATATGGTAATTTATGGTTTTATATTTAATCCAAATGTTAATAGTTGTCTCCGGTTGTCTTTGTGAAGGCAGAACTGACACTGCATTAGTTGGTTCTGCTTGTCCGTATCTGTATGTTCTTCTCTTACTGTCACACACGGGATATCCCAGGGCTGAGTTATTCTCCTGATGCAGAAATATAAAACCAGAAACTACTATATACCATTGTGTGTGCAAACCACCTTTTTCCTTGTACACATTCGTTTATGTAAGTGGTAACATAACGCTTGGGTGTGTTAAGACCCACTGAGATATACTATATATCATTTTCCACACTATATATCCTATTAGATTTTTAGCGCCACTTTTCTATTTTTTGTTTTTGTGCAGTTGTTCTGGCTACTGTGTATGTAAAGGTGCAATCTAGGGAACAGTCCAAAATAAAGTTGGTATCTCCCTCAATGACAACTTCCCCGAATTTATGCATAGTGGCTAATGCTAAGAGATTTTGTCTAAAAATTAGTTTTGGTTCGTGTGTGGGCCATATACGTTAACGAATGTATATTGTTCGTTGTTAACCTTGTATTAACAGGCACCTTCATTTTTATTGCTAATTTTTTTGACAAGTGAGAATGAGAAAACTCTCCCGATCATGATTGATACTCCTCTCTTTTTCTTTTTGCATGAGTGGACGTCATGGGGGAATTTAGAGGAGCAGAACTTGGGCCTCTGGCCCCATTTGAAATGGGTCTCTTGATAGAAGGCTACTTGGGCTTTGCATTTTTTTGGGGCTTCTTCCAGTGCTAACCTATGTTTATTTGGAGAATTCAGTCCTTTGGCATTTATGGATAGTATATTGAACATCACTGTGAGAAAGATTTGTGTGCAGCTATTCGTAAGTCATAGCAGAATATATGCAGTTGGGCATTACCACAGTGTGTTTCAAAATAATTATTCGTGATTTATTCTTTTTGCGTCTATTTTTGTTATTTTACTTTTTTCGGGTTGTGTTCTTTTTTTTTTAATTTTTTGTTTGCTTTTTTTTGTTTATAAGTTTTGTAGACATGAGGGTATCTGTGTGATTCTGAGAATTTTGATATTTTGGCAGATGTGGAGATAGCGGTACGGTACCAGATTTCCCAAGATCTAAACATACAGAGTGTTCGTTCAGATTATCCAGTTCCACACTTTAAAACATTAACCCTTCACTCACACTCACACTCATGTTCAATGAAATAAAGTGGTTTATTAATACAACTAGTTCGATATGAGATAAGCTTAAGAAGTTGCTAGCAAAAAATGTTTGCTTGGTACCATGTCCACAGTAGTGGGAAGGGGTGAGAGGCATAACCAATGTTTCTAATGTGGTATGGGTTAAGCATTATATGAAACTAACAAAAAGAATGGGGTAGGAGAGCCCACTCACTAGCGGTAGATGGGACCTACTCACATTCGCAAATACCTCCTAATGTCCTAGTTTATTATGAAATAAAAAAAAAACTCACAAAATAATAATAAACAATACTAAATACCCATGTCCTGACACACCATAAATGTGTGAAAACTGTGATGAAGTGAAAACATATACCCTTAAAAGCCTGGGTTATTGATTCTAGAATACCATATGAAGTTATATAGGGACCGAAAGTGGCTAATAGTACATGAGCCTGGAAAGAATCACAAGTCACGCCAAACAAGTTCCCTAAAGCATTGGTATGAAAACTAGAGATGTCTATATATAATATAGTCCATAAAGGGACATCTAAAATAGGAACGCAGTCTGTGGTGAACATAAAGGTGTTCTTGGTGGGGCCAAGGGTTTGTTAGGCAATTAAAACGACATTAAAAATAAGAAAAGAGCATTTAAATCTGACAAATCTGAGGTAACCTATATAAGATATAAGGAAGTCAAAAATGCTTGCAAAAGGGCAATTGAAATGGCTAAACTAGAAAATTAGAAATTTAATAGCCAAAAAAATGCAAAACTGTAATGAATGATTGCCCTGTCGTAGTTTCTGCCTGATGGTAATCTGAGAGTGCGTTCCTGATCTTGATTTTTTGGTATTTGACTTTGGCTTCGTTTTGTCTTCCCTGATTTCTGGTATCCTCGACTTTTGGCTTTTTCTCATCACTGTGTCTGATTCTCTATCCCTGACCTCGGCATGTATTCTGACTATTCTTGGATACCTTAAGTCCGGCCATTCTAAGGTCTGCAAGACATTATTCTTAGTCGGCAGGATACTATCCTGCGTGCGGGATCAATTGGTTATCCTGACAAAAAAACAACCCCAAGGTACACTGGAAACCGAGATGGGTCTGTTAGTTAATGAAGACCAAGAAAAGGCAGAAAGTTTAAATAACTATTTTTCTTCAGTATATATTAATGAGGATCCTATGGCAAGAGATATGCAAATGATTGCAAAAAACTTGCAGATAACTTGTGATAGGATGACTCGAGACAAGGTGCTACAGCAGTTAAAGAAAATAAATGTAAATAAAGCTCCAGGACCTGACAGTATTCACGCACGAGTACCTAAGGAGCTAAGTGGGGAAATAAGTGAACATCTGTATTTAATCTTTCAAGATTATTTTGTTTTAGTTATTGTACCGGAGGATTGGAGGAAGGCAGATGTTCCTATATTTAAAAAGGGTTCAAAATCCTCGCCTGGAAATAAGTCCTGTGAGCTTAACTTCTGTGACTGGGAAAATATTTGAAAGGTTATTAAGGTATAATAATCAGGAATTCATTGGGAATAACTTTATTAGCAATAATCAGCATGGTTTTATGAAACCTAGGTCATGCAAAACTAACCTAATTGTATTCTACGATGAAGTAAGTAAAAGTATAGATCAGGGCATTACAGTGGATGTGATCTACTTGGATTTTGCCAAGGCATTTGAAACGGTTCCTCACAATAGGTTAGTCTTCAAACTAAAAGAAATTGATCTAGATGAACATTCTTGTTCTTGGGTAAAACACTGGCTCAAGGATGGAGTACAACAAGTTGTCATTAATGGTACCTTTTTGAAGCTGGACAAAAGTGGTAAGTGGTGTCCCTCGGGGTTCTGTTTTGGGACCGCTTCTATTTAACATATTTATAAATGCTCTTGAGATGGGCATTGAAAGCCATGTATCAGTGTTTGCAGATGACACAAAACTTTGTAAAGTAATAAAATGTGAGCAGGATATTGCTTTGCTGCAGAGGGATTTGGATAGATTAGGGGACTGGACACACAAATGGCAGATGAAATTTAACGTAGAGAAATGCAAAGTTTTGCACTTCGGGGTCAAGAATGCACAAGCAACTTACACCCTAAATGGTAGTGAGTTTGGTATAACCACACACGAAACTGATTTGGGAATTGTTATAGACAACAAATTAGGCAGCAATATGCAATGTCAATCTGCAGTTGCTAAGGGTTTTGTCATGTATAAATAAGGGCATAAATTTTCGGGATGAAAATATAATTGAATATGCTGTGCAATTTTGAGCACCGTTTCTAAAGAAGGATATCATGGCACTAGAAAAAGTGCAGAGGCGAGCTACAAAATTGATCAAAGGAATGGAGCATTTTAGTTACGAAGAAAGGTTAAAAAATGAAATCCCTTTTAGTTTGGGAAAAACGGCGCTTCAGAGGGGATATGATAACTGTTTATGGCTCCCCCTGTAGGAAAGGGGTTACTGACGTGTAGGATGTTCCCTTCCCGAATGCAGAGGTAGCTACTGAGCGCTCCAAACTGCCGAACAGCAATCACACGAACCAGCCAGTATTCCAAACAGCCGAACAAGCGCAATCCATATGAATAATCCCCCCCCAATGACGAGACAAAGCTCCGTATTGAGGGTCAGCAGGAATCTGGTTTAATGTGGGCTACCTGAATATTTATTCAGGTCTCCCACCTGGTGGACACTCCCCCGTGGGGACCAAATATCAATGACCAATCAGAGTGTTACACGCATAGCCCTTCCCTTTAGTTACTCAAGACTCTCTACTCTGCCCGGGAGATAATTGTGAAGTAAGTCAATTATCTCCCTGGACAAAGACTAAACACCATTATAAGTGACAATTGCAAAAGTGGTTAAAAATACATAACTTCACAGTAATGGGACATAACACAGGCATTCAACGGGTTCCTAGATAGCTGGGATCTGAGCGCACAAAAGTACCGAATAGCGCTCAGATCCTATGCACACAGTCCAATCGCCGTGGAGTCAAAGTGTTCACAAAGTCTGTTCTTCATACGAATGGACTCCACGGGATGGCTATCTTTGGTATGGCTTATTTGTGAGCAAAGTACCGAACACAGGGATGTTCGTGAGTCTTTACCGAAGGAGAAGGGAGGTCGTGGCTTCAGCGGTGTTTGTGCCAAATAGTGTCAGTTTTAAGTTCAATGAGTTTGTGGTCGAACACCGCTGAGCGTTCGTGGATTTTAAAATTGCCGCAACCTCGTGTTTCGGGATACGAATGGCGGCCACCCCGCTGCAGTCACCAATTAAGGAGTGTCTGTGGTTAACCTCAATGTTCTAATGGGGCCAACAGGTTAACCAGCAACACACTTCTCTACTGGGTAGCCGGCCGTTCGGGAGTTTGTTCGGTAGTTTCAGGGAAGCATATAGAGTCCACACAAACTGGGAAAAGCACGAACCAAACAAATGAATAGTAGTTCCATGTTGGTCCAAGACAAAGGGATCTGTCACAATAACATTATACAAATATATTCGGGGCCAGTACAAACCATTATCTGGAAATCTATTCATAAACCGGGCTATACATAGGACACGAAGTCATGCATTTCGGCTGGAAAAGATTTAATCTAAGGCACAGAAAACGTGTGTAACGGACCGTTTTGCCCAAAAGGGGTTAAAAACCGTTTAGGCGATATTCCCCTTTTTCAGCTGCACCGACAGCTACTGCAAGCACCAATCTCCTGAACTGCAAACCCACAAATTCACCAACTCCCGAACTGCAACCAAGGGAATACTCGAAACTCCCGAACTGCATACAAGAGACAACACGAATAGCTGCTAGCAGACGAACAGGAAAAGCCCCCAAGCGGCTTACACTCCTGGCAATCAGTCTCTAACAGCATACAGTAAATCCTCCCCCAATAATGAGACGACACTTCACTTTGAGGGTTAAGCAGGAACTCTCTGTAATGGCCACACACTGGCTTTTATGCAAGTCCCCATGCAAGGGGACATCCCACAGGGTGGGACACAGTACAACCAATCGTTACAGGGGAACCGTAAAACACACCCACAATTACATCACAATCCCTCCTCTCTGTCCTGGAGATAATTGTGAAGTAATCAAATTATCTCCAAGGACAGAAGCAAAACTCCATTAACCACATGGCAGACAAAGGACAATAAAAGACATAAAATTAAAATGTGGCGAAACCGGCCTCGCCACGTGTCCTTGGAGGGGGCTGCTTGCCCGCCTCTTGCCTTTGGACTATGTACCAGACTTTATGTGAATGTGTTAACCCAGATAGCTATGCCATGGAGCCCATTTGTGTAGTTAAAGACTTCGGCTCCATGGCAATTGAACTGTGTGAATAGGATCTGAGCGCTATTCGGTAGTTTTGTGCGCTCAGATCCCAGCTATCTGGGGATATGTGAAATGTCTGTGTGTTATGTGTAAAAGGTGACTTTATGTATTTTAAAGTGTTTTATGTCTTTTTGCAACCATGTGCTCAATGGAGTCTGCCTCTATCCCTGGATAATTGGATTACTTTTCCCCATTGTCTCCAGGATACAGGGCTCTGTAAAACCTGTTTGAGCCAGATAGCCATGTACCAGCCAGGGCCCAAAATATACTTTTACTAACTTTTGAACCCCTGGTCTGATACATGCCATTTTTTAATATGTTGTTCCCCTGAATGGATTGATTGTGAATATGTAATTTTATGTGAATGTGATGTATAGTTTTAGAGTTATGAAAGTTGGGTAAAAAGTATGTTTTAACTGTATGTGTAATTGTGTTTCCTCTCAGGATAAGGGGAGGGAATATGTGGGATATAACTGTGATGTGATTGGTTGTTTTATACCTCCCTGTGGGCGGTCCTGGATTTGCAAAGACTGTAATAAAAAACAGGCTGGGTGTGCCAGCACCTGAGTTCCTGTTTTTAACCCTCAAAGTGAAGTGTCGTCTCATTATTGGGGGAAGGATTTATTGTATGCTGTTCCAGTTTGACTGCTAGTAGAGTAAACCTATTCGTATGGTTCCTATTCAACTGTCTACAACATTTATATGCTTGGGAGAATTTATTTGTTTCTCCGGTTCGGTGATTGTGGTGTCTGCCAGAGTGCTTGGAGTCCTCAGGAAGCGCTAGGAGCATCCTTCAACGGAGGTACCCAGTCGGGGTGCCAGGCGATCCGTTACAACGTGTTTTTCTTTTTGTTTTTTACTGCAAGCACTTTAAGGATATGGAATTCTCTGCCTGCAGAGGTGGATTTATCAGCGTTCATACAGATGTTTAAACAGCAATTGGAGAAATACTTCCAAAAACATAACATACATGGACATAATTTCTAATTAGTGGAGTAATAGCTGCTTGATCTATGGAGATATCTAGATATCTGACTGCCATTCTGGGGTCAAGAAGGAATTTTTTCCTAGTTTGTTGCAAAATTGGAAGCGCTTCAGACTGGGTTTTTTGCCTTCTTTTGGATCAACAGCAAAAATAAATGTGAGAATGGCTGAACTTGATGGACGCAAGTCTCTTTTCAGCTATGTAACCATGAGAACCCGTGGTAACATCAAAAAGTGAGGGTAAAAGGGCTATTGTGCCCTGGTAAGTAGGTTGGTGTTGCTGTATGTGCAGTATGGTCACTTAGCTGTGGACACAACATTCCAGTCACTTGGAACTTTGCACAAGGATCTCTGAGGCCTCCTCCTGGTGTCTCATTGTTGCGGCTCCGGTATGCTGATGTTCCGTTCCTTAAGGAGGCAGTTGCCTTCCTCCAGTCAGATGTGGCGGTCAGTTCAATTATGTCTGATAGGCAGGTGGGGAACCCCCAGCGGTAGAGGATGTTGACATCTCGTAGGGCTCTTATGATGGGAGCCAGATCTTTTTGCTTCAGTAATGTGGAGGCTGAGAGGTCGGTGAAGAGGTGTATCCAGATGTTCTCTCTTACATCCATCAAGTAGTTACAGAGGGTCTTGGGCAGGCTGAGATGGCAAAGAAAAGATGTAGATCTTTTAGCCCTGAAGAATATCCTGATTTGAGCTCAGATGAATATATGCCGCCAGCATTTGAAAAAGACGATGTTACGGTTACCCCCAGGCTAGCTGGACCGCTTGGATAGCCTGGATCCACAGTGTAGAGCGAGAGAAGCGGCGCTTCGGTAGTTAGTCCATACAAATCCTGTAAATGTAGAGCAATCCCACTAGCTCTAGTATAGCTAGGATAAACTTTTCCCCCACAAAATGAGTCGAGGCTGCGATTTGAGGGTCAAGCAAGAACTGGTTTTAATGGCACCTGGGCATCGGTATTTATGCAAAAACCTCAGGTCCAGGGACATCCCCCACTGGACCTGATGGGATACAGGGACAACACAAACAATTGACCAATAACAGTACACTGTATCATTTGAAATAGTCCCCGCCCCTCTTGGAGATACAAGTTTCAACGGTTGGAGTGATTCAATTATCTCCCAGTGCCCAGAATCCCACGAGTAACTTGAACATACAAAACAACATAAAAATACATATTTATAACATTGTATAATGCATCTCCTATATTCTACCATTCATTAGATAGCTCAGGTTTGAGCGCATCAGACCTCACGAACAGTAGAGCCAGTCCTTAACATACAAAGTCCTTTCGTGTTTCTTTGTCCCGAACACGAGATGGCGGCCATGTTTTCTGTCGGAGAGTAGGCGAGCGGGACCTGGCCCCAAAACCCCTGGATCGAGAGACGGGTAGTTTGTGATACGAATACCGCTCCAGGGATGGTTGTCTCGGCCCTTCGTGGACCGAACGTAGACCGCACTGAATGAGCAATTAGTCTGCGGTTAACCGCAGCCCCAACTTTCTAATTGGGGACACACGTTGGAGTACAAGGAGGTCCTCATTCGGGAGTTTTGAGTGCGGAGAAATAGTATACGAACGAGGCCACCCTGGGGCCCATCAATTACGTTGTGGTTAACCACAAACCGCAAGTTCCCGGTGGTCGGCCATTCGGTTGTTTGAAAGGTGACAAAGGTTAAGTGGCGGCACACACCAGAGCCTAGGTGGTCTTACTTCGTATGGGCGAATATAAGGTCCTGGTGGTTCGTCTAATTGTGGTTATACAACAGGGGTACCGAAAGGAACGGCATTCAGTAACATAAAATAAAGAAAACCAATACTGGTCCGCAGAGCATCTGTAACAGATGACTTTTCATCTCAAGATGAATAGTCTGGGGCCTTTCCTGCCTTTATAGACAATGGTAAAATTAAAGTTATAATCAAGGCGGTTCGTGATATCTTGGACCTTAGTGATAAGAGAGAGGAAGAACCAGCCTCTAGTAAGCACTTTGCAGACCTAAGAAAGCGCAATCCTACTTTTCCATTGCATGAACCCATTGAGGACCTTATTAAACAAGAATGGAAACAATCTGAGAAAAGAGTTTCTATTCAGCGTTGTTTTTCTAAACTTTACCCTTTTAAATCTGATGACTGTGTTTCTTGGGATCTTGTCCCCAATGTGGATGCAGCAATTATCCAATTAGCCAAAAAGATCACCCTTCCAGTGGATAATGCTGGATAATTACGTGATCCCATGAATAAATCTATGGATTCTAACTTATCCAAAACCTATGTTGCCTCTGGCTCTGGGCTTCGTCCAGCCGTGGCCTTGACATCCGTTTCAAGAGCCTTAAAGCAGTGCATGGATGATCTTGAAGAAGACATTTCAAGTGGAGTCAGTAGATCCAGGCTGTTGGAATCTTTGGAGAAAGTTAAATTCGCTATTTAATTTTCTTTATTAGCTTCTATAGACTTGGTAAGATCCATTTCCAGAAGCATTGTCCTGTCAGTAGCATCAATATGTGCTCTTTGGCTACGTAATTGGGTGGCAGATACTTCTTCAAAAAATAGCCTGTGTGCCCTTCCTCTTCAAGGGGGTATGCTTTTTGGCAAATATCTGGACAAATTAAATGGGCAGTGGAAGGGCGTAAAGCTTTCCTTCCTCAAGATAGAGAACCACAGGACAGACGCTCCTTTCAGGATAAGGAATTGACGATACAGGCCTGGTAGAGAATTCTCCAGATTCCACTCTTGGAAAGGTGGATATTCCCCCTCCAAAATCTCCCGGGGATGAGGTGGCAGTACCAGGAAAGGAACCTATGTGAGATTGAAGTTCCTTGCGGTCGCAATTACCCAGCAAGATGTAATGGTTGATGCTGTTGAGGATGTTTGTAATTTTTGTTCTTGTGGTAAACTAGCTTGCATAGAGGTCACTTTCTGGGACTCCCAGGTGGTCAAACAGACTAATGGTTTCTCTGAGATTTCTGGGGGGAAAGGAGTTCTCTTCGATCAGCAAAAAATCATCCAGATAATGGATGACTATGGGGCATCTGGAAATGTTAAGTAACAACCAGCAAAGTGATTCTGCAAATGTGTCGAAGATTTTGAGACTACTTTGTGACCCAAAGGTTAAGCGGGAGAAAAAATAATAGTTATCTGCCCATTTGATGCCATGTAAGTGCCAGAATGTAGGGTGGATAGGTAGTAGTTTGAAGGCATTTGTAATGTCGGTCTTACTTAGCCAGGCTCTGACCACTGCTTGCGTGATGGCATGTTCTATAGTGGCATATTGTAGGGAAAACTCTTCGGAGGGAATGCGGGAGTTGAGACTTTGGGTATGAGGGGCTGACAGATCTGTGATGAGTCTCTGCTTAAGGGAAGATTTCCCTGTGACTATCCCGATGGGATTTGTGCGCCATGCTGTAAATGGTGAGGTTTTAAAAGGCCCGAACAAAAACCCCTCTGCCAATTTTTGGGCTATGAGTGTATCTACTGCCGTTTGGTTCTGTTGCGCTGATTGTAAATTTGGGCATTCAAGATGGCCTGTGGGCATATGTATGATGCCTGTATGGAACCCCTCTGAGAAACCAGAAATTAGGAAATCTACCATATGTCTGGGGGGGTGATTGATTAGTAGTGCTGAGAAGACATGAATGTTAACAGACGTTTATGGTTTAGGGTACATTTTATTTGGACACATGGTTTTCGCATGTGCCCTTAAACATTGTGAACAGATATGCAATAACCTGCATGCGCTAAAGCTACATGTGCCCACATTGAAATTATTGCAAACCTGGGATTTACCAAAGAAAATGATGGGACGACCCAGTTTGTCTCTGGTGGTTTTCTCAGATCTACCAGTGTAGCTAGTGCTGGCTGGGTGACTGATTACGGTCGTCTGCCGTGTTGGAACAAAAATTTGTAGTGTGGGTAGTAGAAGAGCAGGATGCACAAGCCGGTGTTTTGAGACCTGCAAAGTGTCTACAGAATATTTCCATATCTATTCTGCTCCAGTTGATATGGGTACCATACTGAGAGAGAGCGCCAGACACCTTGGTGGAAAATGACCTATGGTAGTCGTAAAAAGCCGATCCACCATATTTGTTCCCCAGGTCCACCAGCTTGTGCATATAACAATCAAATTCTTCCCTTCTATTAGGGTACACTTCACAAATGACATCTCTAAATATACCAAATGCTAACACAAATTCAGGGATGGTCAGTTTCCGGTTTAATCTGGAGTCTTTGGATATGACCACCACAGATACTTCGTCATACATGTACTTCTTATTTTTGACCGCATCCTGGGAGGCAATTAGTAGGGATGCTAGGTTGACATGTTTGCATTCCAGGATGTCTCGCTTAATGTGGGCTGGGATTGTGTGTGCAGGATCAACGTCCTCATAAGAGGTAATAGTACCCGTGGCTCGTTTGGTGCCTGTTGGACGGTATCAGGAAAGCCAGCCTTGGTGAGGGTTGTGGTGACCGCCTCGAGGTTAGCCAGTCTGTCGTTAACCTTGCCCATAGAGTTTATGAGCGAGGCCAGCATAGCCTGGATGTCACCCGAGTTGGTATTGCTGGAGCCTTCCCCTGCTTCGGTGTTGTCGGTTGTAGTGCTTAGGAGTTTGAATACCTCTGCTTTCCTTGCTGTGACAGGGTAGGGGATTTGTTGGCTCCTTAGCTAAGTGGTGATGCGTGGGATTGTCCAGGATCTGATCGATGCTGGACTGGCAACTTCTCCCCTACGAGAAGGTATCTCGACCCTAGCTGGGGTGTTATGAAGAGATATCTCTTCGTCACCTTCATGAGACATAAATAAAAGATAAAATTATTATTTAAACTGAGTAGCTTGCTAGCTATGCCATGAGGCAAAACCATTATGCTTATTGTTTTGGTGACTGGTGAGGCCCTGCTAGTTGCCAAGTAGCTTGAGCAGCTCTATCTATGCTTGGCGCAAGGGGATTTTTTGTGGCCACCGAACGTTGTGGCAGGATGTTGGCCTCTCGGTGACTGTAACCAGAAAATAGGAAGGGGCAATCCGTATAGGTTTCAGTAGCACCTGTAAACTAAATAGATGGAGACCGTATGAAAATACAGCAAAATGTATTGCACAAACCAAGTTTACCTTAATGTTGTTTGGTTGTTGACCTGTAGAGGTCCGTGGAGATGTTTGTAACATCTCCGTAAGTTTATGATTTATTTGTGGGCCTGTGGGTGGCCGTGTTAGTAAGACCTCCGTCGGTCTTGGTGTAGTGTGCTATGTAATATAGCATGTTCTTGAGCCCGTACTGAGTAGCTTAGGTGAAACGTTGTAGTCCCGTGTCGTAATACGGCTTTTAACGTGAGTCCAAAATTATAGATTTTTTTTGTCACCTGTACCTGATTGATTTTATGTAGCATATGTACCTGTTGTACGTTAAGCATGTATGAATATGTATGGTTAAAGGTATGTTTGTAGATGGTGATCTTATTTAATATGTATGGAAATAATTTATGTATAATGTAGAATAGTAAATGTCTACTGTATAAGTAATATATGTGACTTTTTTTTTAAATTTATATGCAATATGTAAAGTGACCTGTAAGTGACAGTGTGTGTTTGGTCGTAATGAATGTATATAGCAAAGTAATTAAATTGGTGTATGGGTGGTGATTTGTGCAATTGATAGGCCGGAAGTGTATAGGGATCCCGTGAGGGGTTAATTGGGTGCCCGTAACGATTTGGTTAAATGGGACCGTGGCCCATTGTACCCGCACTTAGGAAATGCCGGAAATAATGAAAATTATTTAAATGCTGAGATTGTATCTTGTTCGTGCGGTGTAGACCGCATGAACGGTGATTGCTTACATGCATATGCTAATATCCGGCGGGTGGAACTAATGGAGATGAAACCAACGTAGCCGTTCGTGAGTACAAACTGAGTGATGTCTGGTATTATGAGAAACACAAACTCTGTTTGTGCGGTTGAAACGCACGAACGGAGGGTCATAGCATAACGATACAAGCTGATTCCCGTTCGGGACTATGTGAAAGACCTTGCAGGCAATGAATACATAGAAAAGCATATATAGAATCTATGAATACCAATCAAAGGTTGCCTCTTTTTACAGAGGAGTGGGTATAACAAAAGTGCTCAAAAGAGTCAAAAAGTGATTTACAGGCAGCTCAATACACTAGTGTGGAAATATCCTCTATTCCACTGAATAAATTTAGTAGATATTGGTGCGGTGTAAGTGACAAGGACCTACACCTATAAGTGGAGCGCTCAAACACAGATAAATCTTACCAAAACGTAGTCTCATTCAATGGTAAAATATGGCGTACATGTCAAAATAAAATACAGAAAATACAATATAGTGTAGATGGTACTAAAAAATGGCTTCACAGTGATTATAATAATATCGTGTTGAATATTACACTCACATTTCAAGGAGCCTGTATATAGAAAACACTGGCTCCGTATAAAGGCTTGTGTGCTGTTATGGTAGCACCACCCTCCTACTTCGGCTTGAAGAATTTCTCGAGAACACGAAAAAAGAGAAGAAAGCAAACCAATGTGTAAACTTATGGTGATAAATGACACAGATATGTGTTCAATAAATGGTGTGCTCACCTGGTCCTGAGCCTACGAATCCCGGCTCTAGGTATGTGGATTTTGTGCCAATTTTAATGGGGATGGCACTACCCCTGTGAGGATTCCTTGGAGGCTCCAAAAAGAACTTGGATGAGGTATTAAATGAAAATGGTTTATTTATTAGTTTAAAATAAACATAAAAACAAAGATGATAAAAGTCCTCAAATAAAAGTCCTTTAAAAATGGCCAATACGCGTTTCACTCTCAAATAGAGCTTCTTCAGTCACTCTCAAATAGAGCTTCTTCAGTCAGCTGTGACAGGACACAAGCCTTTATACGGAGCCAGTGTTTTCTATATACAGGCTCCTTGAAATGTGAGTGTAATATTCAACACGATATTATTATAATCACTGTGAAGCCATTTTTTAGTACCATCTACACTATATTGTATTTTCTGTATTTTATTTTGACATGTACCCCATATTTTACCATTGAATGAGACTACGTTTTGGTAAGATTTATCTGTGTTTGAGCGCTCCACTTATAGGTGTAGGTCCTTGTCACTTACACCGCACCAATATCTACATAGAAAAGCATGGTGAATGAATACAACCCGCAAGTTTGTACGAACGGTTTTAGCATAGAGAGATGATTTGATAGCTAAAAAACAAAAGTGACCATAAGGTGTGGACCTGGCCCGTGGATGATGCCGTGGGACTGTTGCCTGGCGTAACGGGTAGGTCAACTTACGGTTTGTGAGTTAATAGGACGTTATCTGTGGCGATGAAAAGAAGCAAGAAGCTTGTCGGATGGAAAAGTCTGCGGCAGAATTCCTAGACACAGCTCAGCGTGGAAGACCTCGTGGGAAAGCCACGCAGGTATTCCAAAATGGCGACTGGATGAACCGGAAGTGCATTCAGACGCTGACCTTGATCGGTGTGGAGTCAGGTAAGGGAGTGACTTAATTTAAGCTTCTCCCACAAATACAGGCCTGACGGCCTTAATACATATGTATATATGGAAGAGACAAAAGTGGTAAACCGCGCCCAAACAGTGCAAATAATAATTAAAATATATACATACAGAGAGTCCTCTAATTAGGAATGTATAAAACCTTCACAACAAAAAAGTACAGAACAATAATAGTGCAATATGTCAAGTGAAATAAGAGTATATAAAAGCTTATAAAAGACTCACTCACACTTTGCAGAGCTACTCAGAGCTCTGCCGTATAGCGCCTAGACGGTATAATCCCCGTCTCAGGATATCAAGTGATGGTATAATGCGGTATTCAATCCTCCAAAGTGGTATATGGAAAGATAAAAATAGAAATAAAATCCAATAGTGTAGTATATCTATTAAAAAGTGTGCAAATAAAGGAAAAGTATCCTACTTACAAATTTCAGAGCAAATATCTTGCTCTGGTATAGACAGCATGTGGTGGTATGATCCCCACCAAAGGATATAAGTCAGGATTCAAGATGTATCAGGAACAACAAATAAAGTAGTAAAAACTATAACTTTATTGTTACAAAATAAAAAATATGTAATAAAAGTATCAGATCTCTTACTTAACGCGTTTCGCCCGGTCTGGGGCTTCTTCAGAAGTAATAAGTCCAAAATTCAATGGAGTCCTCTTTATATAAGTGTTCCTGATTAATGTGATTTAGTCCTGATGCAATTTCACTTCCTACTTCCGGGTATGTATATATGTATGTTATGGTGGGGAAAAATTGTGATTGAAACCCCTTCCACCTGAAGTCTGTGGATAGTTAATACAATGTTAAAAAAAAAATCTGCACACCAGTCAAGCTATAAGACTTGCTTTTCCCACAGAAATCCCAAATCTGCTGTGATGTTACTACCGCAAAGGATTCTGGGTGGGCATATGCAAATTAGTTTAACAAAGAATCACATTTTTGCCTTATTCCATTTTAAACATAGATTCCTTTTAGTCTGTGTTTGCTGTATACAACAGCTTGGAACACAACTTAGGAAAAGATGCAAAACCAGTGAACCACTCATGGACAGCTGTTTCGTTGTTAATGAGGTTGGTTACTGGTATAATTTCTAATTAGTGGGGTAAAAGCTTCTTGATCAAGGAGATATCTGAATGCCATTTTGGGTCAAGAATTTTTTCCTAGTTTGTTGCAAAATTGGAAGCTCTTCAGATTTGGTTTTTTTGCCTTCTTTTGGATCAACAGCAAAAACATATGTGAGGAAGGCTGAACTTGATGGACGCAAGTCTCTTTTCAGCTATGTAACTATGTTTTTAAGCCTTTTCCTTTCAATCTCCATGCCTTCAGGTTGAGGGAGGATGGATCTGGATGAAGATGGAGGCAAGATGGAATATTTGGCAGTTTCCATCGAGGTTCCTTGCAGAGGGACAGAAGTAGTGGTAACCATGATCTTCGAGGCCAATATGGAGCTATGAGAATCATGGATACTTCCTCCTGTCGCAAACTATTAACCCCTTAAGGACACAACTTCTGAAATAAAAGGCAATCGTGACGGCATATTTCTGTCATGTGTCTTTAAGGGGTTAAGAAGAGGAAAGAGAAGGGGAGTGGGAGGAAATGCATAGCCCAGTTGAAACTGCCACTTGCATGACAGGGTGTCTCCTCCTGCCGCTTGGGGATCTGTCTTTCTTGAGAAAAAACTGTGAACATTTCTGTTCTGGGTCGCCCTAAGATCTACTTGGGGCATACCCTATTTCTCCACTATCTTCTGAATGCAAACGATTCATTCGCGCAAACCATTTTATGCGAACACTTTCACTCGCATGCATGCACGCAAAAGGAACAATACGAATGTACCACTACTGCACCTACTCCATTTGCATTCTGTTACTTTTCTTAAGTTCAATGACTTGTCTATCTGTGCACTAATACTGCCCCTGAAACATCCCCTAGGGATACCTTCCACATTAGCAGAGGGATTTCCCAGTTCACACATTACAGAGGGCTCTTTGCTGTATGATTGCAGCATGAGAGGGAGATCTCCTGCTCGTGTTACAGCTTCAGCAACAGTGATCAGTGCTGGGCAACTGGCAAAGAAGACCACCAATCAAGAAGCAGAGTAACATGACGGGAGACCTTACTAGATCCTAGGGGTCTCCATGACATAAGGGGGGATGGGGGCACAGGCAGTCTTAAGGCTTTCACACTTAGCCATGGTATTTAAATGTATTTAAAGGACTATGCGCCACGGTCACTTATAGTGCTACATATAGCTTATCTGTCACTCCGGGGACACGAATTATGGACCCAGCTGACAGAAGGGACCCTCGGGCTTCCTGTTTTTAAATGGTGGCAGGTTGGGGGCTCACTTAAAAATAATGTGGCTGTGCACAAATTGCTTAGCCGCTGTATTTAATAATAAATTTTAAAAGTTTGTTGATGGGACCCTCAGGTTTCAAAAGATACCTGAGACTCCTTGGTAACACCAGCGATCTAACCCCTTCTGATAATTTTACTGAAAGACGGTCTATGCCTTCATAGACAATTATGTGGCACTGGTACCTGAAAATGTTTCCTGAATCATTTTGAAAACAATAATGCATTTGCATCTATTCATTCTTTAGTAGGTTTAGCTGGAATCACCGCTTGAAGATGATTCCATTTCTCACTGTCACATTTGAAAATGCATTTCAAAAATGGCCAAACTGCACCTTGAAAATGCAGTGCAGTTTTGGGCACCAGTTTTTTTTTTTTGTTTGTTTGTTTGTTTGGTTTTTTTTTTAATGTTCTTTATTTAACATTGAAGAGTAAACACGTTATACAATATGCAATCTGTAGCATGCATTAACATGGAATATCAACTATATGTTTACTTTTTAAGTCTAGTAGCTCTATATTAAGTTATTCAACAATGTGTATTTTTTATATTTAAAGTAAAATAAAACCAAACCAAAAAAAAAACCCACACGCCTCTCTATCTAAATATACCCTTCATTTTAGTATATTCCTTCCAGGGTTCCCAGACCTTGCTAAAAATATGGTTGGAATGTCTTACTCTTGAGGATAGTTCGTCCATTATATAGTTTTCTTGAATCTTTAATTCAACGTCTCTCATTGATGGTAGATCTAATTTTAACCAGCTAGCAGCTATAAATCTACGTGCAGCCAATGGGATTAAAAATATTAGTTTCTGCGAGTGACTAGGTATTCCTACTGCTGATTTTGATAATAAAAATGTCCAAGGGTTAAGTTCTATGTTTTCCTGTATGATCATCCAAGCTAATTTTTATTTCTTCCCAAAAGCTTTTACTTTTTGGGCATTCCCACCATATGTAAATATGTCCCTTGTTGACCACATCCCCGCCAGCATAGGTCTGTTGGGTATTTACTGATTTTTTTTATTTATTTTTTAATACAAAAAGACAGGGGTCACATGCCATCTAAACAATAGTTTAAACATCTCTTCATGAGAGATCACACATATCAATATTTTAGATGCTGTTTCCCAAATATCTATCCAATCAGCTTCCAAAGAGGTTCCTATATCTGCCTCCCAGTGGGATATAACATTTAATGGAGCCCAAACTGTAGGTTCCTCACTTAACGGATTATAAAAATCGGATATAAGACCTCCCTTTATCCTTCTAATTTTGCAAACTTTTTCAAAGTCAGTGAGGGGAAGTTTAACTGCCATTTTTACTTCTATTGAGTAAGCAAAGTCTCTAATCTGCAAATAGCGGAAAAAATCTCCTGTCCTCAGCCTTGTTCTGGCTGTTAATCTGGAAAATAAAACTACCTTTCCTTCTAACCAAAGATCTGCGTATCTATGGATTCCTCATCCTTTTAGGTTTTGAAAATTGTATTCTTCCATTCCAGGGAAAAAAATGTCTATTCGGAAAAATTGGTGTCATAGATGAAGGGAGGTTAGTTAAGCTCTGTTTTAACTTGAGTTTATCCCAAATATAAAGTGAGTTTGATGTTGATGGGCATATTTGTTTTAAAACTGGTCTTGAGACCTTATTTAGCCACATATGCAATCCCAGTGAGTCTGGTATCATTAAGTCTTCCTCTATATCTGCCCATCTATATTTGCCGTGCCATATGAATGTGTCTTTAGCTTTCTGAATGCTCTCTAAGTCCCCTTTACACACTCGTATAGGCAAGGTTTGAAATAAAAATCGGTAAAATATTCTTTTTTTATAGAATGGATTCTGCCGATCAATGAGATTGGCTTATCATGCCAATTCTCAAAGTCCTTTTTCAATGTTTTAATTAAAGGTGAGTAATTATCTTTAAATAATGTATTATAGCGTCCAATTCTAATACCTAGATAACTTAGCAATTTATCTATAGACATATTGAAATATCTCCAAATTGTTCTATCAAATTGAACAATTTGGGGATAGATTCAGAAGGATTTGCTATAGAGATTAATATATCATCAGCATAAGCCGCTGTTTTATAGATCTCCATACCTATTTGGATACCCTGGGTGTTATCACTTTCTCTAATGTGGATCAGGAGCGGTTCTAATATAAGGGCAAACAGAATAGGGGAAAGGGGACTTCCCTGGCGTGTGCCATTGTGTATTTCAAATAAAGTCTTATCTGTGCCAGGGAGTTGTATTATTGTTTGGGGGTTAGAATATAGCGCTCGGATTATAGTGATAAGAGCAGGAAAGCCCCAATGTTGTAGCAAATTAAATAGATAAGGCTAAGCGACCCTATCAAATGCTTTCTCTGTATCTAGTGACAAGAGTATCGATGATACTCTTTCCATGACCCATGCGATATCGACTGCTCTATGCTTATTCTCATAGAGCTGTCTGCCAGGAACTGTCACGATAGTGACCCCTTCACACAGATGATAACCCAGAAAGGGACGTATACCGGACCTTAGGGTGGCCGGACTTAACGTCAAAGAATAGTCAAGAAAAAGCAGAGGATCAAGGGAGTACGGAAATCGGGATAAACGAGAAAGCCAAGCCAAAAGTCGGGGAGCCAGATAGGAGAATAGTCAGAACGAAAGCCAAGGGTCAAAATACCAGAAAAACAGCTAAACAGTATAAGAGCACTAGGGGAACAATCAAGAACCACACTAGGGCACTGAGAGGTGGACATGGATGCCCTTTTATACTAATGTGTGTGTCACTTTAAAGCCACGCCCCCAAAAGGTTCGGGAGCGTGGCCGCGTTTGAATTTTCGTGGCAAAATCATTATGACGTCGGCGCGCATGCGCCGCGTCATAAAACGGATTTTGCCGCGAGCGGGCAGCGTCCGAGAGGCTGCGCCGCCCCCCGGAAGCAGCCGGGGAAACTGCCGTGCGGGATCAGCGGACACAGGTAAGGTATCGTCACAGTACCCCCCCCTCAAGGACCGCCCCCAGGGCGGGCAGGACAGGGTCCGCGAGAACGACGCCTAGCAAAGGAACGGACTAGGCGAGGCGCGTGCACATCCGAGGCATCCACCCATGACCTTTCCTCGGGACCGTACCCCTTCCAATCCAACAGATACTGGAGCCGACCTCTAGAGATACGAGAGTCTAAAATAGATTTAACCTCGTATTCGTTTTGGCCATCAATGAGCGTAGAAAGAGGAGACCTGGGTTTACGAGTAAAGCGATTACAAATCAAAGGTTTCAGAAGAGAAGCATAAAAGGAATTGGGTATCCTCATATTAGCTGGTAAATCCAGGCGATAACAGACTGGATTAATCCGTTGGAGGATCCTAAAAGGACCAATGAATCGCGGAGCAAATTTCATAGAGGGGACTCGTAATTTAATATTGCGTGTACTTAACCACACTCTATCTCCCACTAAAAAATTCGGAGCATTCTTGCGCCGAGTGTCCGCTTTACTTTTTTGAGCATCGGCCTTATGAGTCAGGATACGCTTGACCCCTATCCAAGTTTCTTTCATATTCCTTACAGTATAGTCAACACCTGGCACTGCCGAGGATGAAAAGGAACTCGGAAGAGTAGTAGGGTCAAAGCCATAATTTATAAAAAAGGGGCTATGTTGTGTTGATTCGTGAACCCAGTTATTGTGGGCGAATTCAGCCCAAGGGAGTAACTCCTTCCAATCATCTTGGTGATCGGAGATGAAGCAACGAAGGTACTGTTCTAGTGACTGATTCATTCTCTCAGTAACTCCGTTGGATTGGGGATGGTATGAAGAGGAGTGGTTAAGTTTGATACCTAACTGATCACAAAACGCCTTCCAAAACCTGGAAACAAACTGTGAGCCTCTGTCAGAGACTATGTCTGTAGGGATACCGTGTAAACGAACCACCTCCCTTATGAATATCGTGGCCAGTTCTGAGGATGAAGGAAGTTTAATTAAAGGGACTAGGTGGGTCATTTTTGAAAATCTATCGATGATGGTTAGAATCACCCGGTGATTTTTTTGAAGGTGGTAGGTCTACTATGAAATCCATGGCGATACTTGACCAGGGCATTTCGGGAATAGGTAACGGCATGAGGAGGCCTAAAGGGCGACTTTTAGGAGACTTATTAGAGGAACAGATGTTACAGGCTAAGACATACTCTCGAACGTCCTTCTTGTAAGAAGGCCACCAGAATTGCTTTTCTAGTAGTGCTTCTGTTTTATGGATACCGGGATGACCGGCAATCTTAGTCGTGTACCAAGGATAGGATTCGTCTTCTATAGTTGAAAGGTACGTATAATTTCCCCTGAGGGATAGTCATGGAGTTGTGGTTTTGACATTTAGACAATACTTCTATTAAGCTAGAAGAGATTTTAGTACGTACTGTGGCAACTATTTGTGAAGTAGGGATTATGGAAGATAAATGGGTTACTGGAGGAGATAGGTGCTCATGTTGCCGAGATAAGGCATCTGCTTTCGTATTCTTAGAACCGGGTCTGTATGTCACTATGTAGTTAAAACGTGTTAGGAACAAAGACCAACGAATCTGCCTGTCAGACATTCTTTTAGCTTCTCCAAAATAGGAAAGGTTCTTGTGATCAGTGAGGATGATGATCGGTTCAGATGTCCCCTCTAATAGATGCCGCCATTCTTTGAGTGCTGAAATGATAGCCAACAATTCCCTATCACCTATATCGTATCTTCGTTCTGTTTCCGTCAGTTTTTTAGAAAAAATAGCCACAGGGATGCAGGGGTTGATCATTCGAGGATCTCTGAGAGAGTACAGCCCCTATCCCTGTCTCTGAAGCATCCACTTCTAACAAAAAAGGACGCAAAGGATTAGGGTGACTTAACACCGGGGCTGAAGAAAAGGCTAGCTCCAATTTTTCAAAGGCTTCCTTAGCTTCGGTACTCCACACCGTATGACTTCTATTCTTTTTTGGCATAGCGGTAATAGGAGCGGTAATAGAGGAAAATCCTCTGATAAACTTTTGATAGTAATTAGCAAACCACAGGAAACGTTGGATGGCTTTAAGTCCAATGGATAGGGGCCAATTTAAAATTGCTTCTAGTTTTTTAGGTTCCATTTGAAAGCCGGAACCTGAAATTATGTAACCCAAGAAATTAACCTTCTCCACGTCAAATAAACATTTTTCTAATTTACAGTAGAGTCCGTTTTTTAATAATTTGGATAAAACTATTCTAACGTGTCTATGGTGCTCCTTGATATTCTTAGAGTAGATGAGTATGTCATCTAAATAAACAAAAACAAACATTTGTAGACAGTCCCTTAATACATCGTTTATGAAATCTTGAAAGACTGCCGGAGCGTTGCATAAGCCGAAGGGCATAACCCTATATTGATAATGGCCATAGCGAGTATTGAAGGCCGTTTTCCACTCATGTCCCTTCTTAATTCGAACTAGATTATAAGCTCCCCGTAAATCTAGCTTAGTGAATATGGTAGCACCCTTTAACCTATCAAAAAGCTCAGTAATGAGCGGAATAGGATATGCATTTCGTATTGTTATTTTATTTAATCTCCGATAATCGATGCAGGGTCTCAGGTCACCTTCCTTTTTGGAAACAAAAAAAAACCCTGCACCAGCCGGGGAGGATGATTTGGTAATAAAACCCTTCTTCAAATTCTCTGTGATGTACTCTTCAAGTACTTTGTTTTCTGTCACAGAGAGGGGATACACGGTACCCCTAGGGGGCATAGTACCAGGCAACAAATCAATAGCGCAGTCATAAGAACGATGGGGTGGTAATTTGTTTGCTTCCCTTTGTTCAAAGACTGCCTTGAGATCCCGATATGGTTCGGGTACTTGAGTGGTTAATGGTTCCATGGTAGGAACGTTGAGGAGTCCTATAGGTTTAACTCGACCGATACACTTCTTAAAACAAGAATCACCCCATTTTACAATCTCTTTCCTCTCCCAGTTAATTAGAGGATTATGCTTGGTAAGCCAAGGAAACCCAAGTATAATCGGAAAGGTGGGAGAAGGTATTTGCTGTAGGATTATGGTTTCTTTATGCAACGAACCTACAGTCAAGACTAAGGGTTTGGATTCTTGAGTAATAAAAGGAATGGATAATGGTCTACCATCTATGGCCTCAACGGCCAAGGGTGTTGATCTTTCTCGAAATGGGAGGTTGTGATGTTGGCCGAAAGTACGGTCAATAAAGTTCTCAGCTGCCCCAGAGTCTATTAGCGCAGAAGTAGTTATTAACTTTCCCTCCCATTCTATAGTTATCGGTAGAAGAAGCCTGAGTTCTTTCCTATCTTGGAAGGAGGACATACACGTTACACCCAAGGCCTGTCCTCCTTGAGGGCTTAGGCGTTGGAGTTTTCCGGCCGGCTTGGGCAGTGTAGGCGGGTATGTCCTCTTTTCCCACAATACATACAAAGTCCCTCCCTTCGTCTATATTGTCTCTCAGGTTCAGGCAACCGTGTGGCTCCCAGTTGCATGGGTTCTGCTGGAGCGACAGTGGTTTCCTCAGATGAAGGAAACGTTAATGCCAGGCGTTCCGGCATACGCCTAGGTCTATCCCTGGTGTTTTGTCTATGTCGGAGACGTTCGTCTATATGTGCTAGATATGTAATTAATTCCTCCAACACATTAGGGAGGTCTCGGGTGGCTACCTCATCTAAAAGTTTGTCAGAAAGTCCATTCATGAACACATCTACAAAGGCCTGCTCATTCCATCTGACCTCTGCAGCATGAGTGCGAAATTCTAGGGCATAGTCCACCAGGGAACGAGACCCTTGTCTCATTCGTAATAGGGTTTTAGCAGCATTGGTACGTCTTCCAGGGGGATCAAATGTTCTCCTAAAGGCTGCGACAAACTCTGCGTAGTTGAAAACTATGGGATTGTCGTTTTCCCACAATGGATTGGCCCAAACTAGTGCTCTATCGACTAACAATGTTATAATATAACCAATCTTTGCTCTATCGGTAGGATACGCCCTAGGATGAAGTTCAAAGTTAATACTAATTTGATTGAGGAAACCCCGACAACCCTTGGATCACCTCCATAACGGAGAGGGGATGTGGCATGGGCAGAAGCCCCCCCTGCCGCCATCTCCAAATGAGGTTCCTGGGGTCTATGACCCGGGATATGGTCCTCTGGCTGTAGATGTGCAGTCCGAGCTAACAAGGTCTGAACAGCTACAGCAAACTGGTCCATACGATGGTCCAGTTCCTCAAACCGATTATCAGGAACCGGGCCATGAGGATTAGCACCTGCAGGGTCCATGGCCCTAGTGTAATGTCACGATAGTGACCCCTTCACACAGATGGTAACCCAGAAAGGGACGTATACCGGACCTTAGGGTGGCCGGACTTAACGTCAAAGAATAGTCAAGAAAAAGCCGAGGATCAAGGGAGTACGAAAATCGGGATAAACGAGAAAGCCAAGCCAAAAGTCGGGGAGCCAGATAGGAGAATAGTCAGAACGAAAGCCAAGGGTCAAAATACCAGAAAAACAGCTAAACAGTATAAGAGCACTAGGGGAACAATCAAGAACCACACTAGGGCACTGAGGGGTGGACAGGGATGCCCTTTTGTACTAATGTGTGTGTCACTTTAAAGCCACGCCCCCAAAAGGTTCGGGAGCGTGGCCGCGTTTGAATTTTCGCGGCAAAATCATTGACTTCGGCGCGCATGCGCCGCGTCATAAAACGGATTTTGCCGCGAGCGGGCAGCGTCCGAGAGGCTGCGCCGCCCCCCGGAAGCAGCCGGGGAAACTGCCGTGCCGCGCGGGATCGGCGGACACAGGTAAGGTATCGTCACAGGAACAAAGCCTACTTGGTCTGGGTGAATCAAAATGGGGAGAAGGGGAGAAAGTCTTATGGCCAGAACTTTAGCTATTATCTTTATGTCCACATTTATTAATGATATAGGTCTATAATTTCACACTGATGCAGGGTGTTTATCCTTTTTTGGTAGAACAATTTTGGCCATTGTAAGGTCAGCTGGAAGAACTCTGCTTAAACAAATTTCATCTATGACCTCCCGTAGATATGGCATAAGGGTTTGTTTGGGCACCAGTTTTAAAGAAGGATATTGCACAACTAGAAAAATTCAGGTGAGCTACAAAATTTGTAAGAGGGTGTGTGGGGTGATGCAACCCCTATTTGACTTTTCTTTTACCTTGCTTATATCACTCACTATAATTCCTGTGTTCCCCTTTCCTACTTCAGATCTCATAGTTTAGATAGATAAGAGGGATATATTATTATTTTTAAATGTGCTCAACATAAGAGAAGAAAAAGTGAGGGAATGTGGTGACATTCTGTCATCAAACTAATATGGTGACCAGGGGTCATGTGACCAAGCCCATGTTTGCCTTTCTTACAGTGGGATAAGGATACCTTTTGAAATGGTAATTGGGTAATTCAATACCTTTACAAGTCAGGAAAGAGATAACTACTTCCCCCTTTCTCCATTCCTCTCTCTGTTCCTTCTTGGCTGTGCTAGAGAGCAGACGCCATGTGCTATCTTGGTGAACCATGTTACTGTTGCTTCCTTTTCTTCCTTGGTGGATGTGATGTTGAACTTGCAGCAGTGAGCCATTACTAGATGTGAAGGCCTAACCGTGGGTGAGATCAAACGTGTGGGGAAGGGGTTACTATATAGATAGATAGATTTAAAAAGGGTTGTTGCTCTGTGGGTCTGGGCTGTGTGTTTGTGATACATTTATAGTATTGTGTTGTTGCCTTTTAATAAATACCCTTTAATGTAGACGAACCTTGTGTAATATATATATTAATTTGGTGATACACCACAGGGTGGAAAACATTAGTTATGAAAAAAGGCTAGAAAAACTGCATTTGTTTTTCTTTAGAAAAAGGGTACCTCAGATGGGCTAGCTTATGGAAATATATACAGTACAAACCGCTATCCGCTATGTGCTAGCTTGTTTTCTTTGTATGAATTTACAATAAAAAAAGTGGTCACCCAAGAGACTGGAAGAAAGGTGTTTTCGCTTACAGCTGATGAATGGGTTCTTTTCAGTAACCGCAATAAAGATGTGGCTTTTTTTGTGGAATAATTGGAAATGGCTACAATTTTTTTTTTTTATCAACAGCATGACAGAGTGGGTGTCAAGGTTGAACTTGATGGACTGGAGTCTTTATTCAACTATGTAAATGTATGCAATTCTAAAAGGATGCATACAGGATGAGTAAAATGTCTTTAATTGAATACATATTTAACTTCAGGTTACTTGAATTCTTAGTCTACTTTTCCCTCTCTCATTTATTTCTTAACTTTTTTTTTTTTTTTTTGCACATTAGAGTAAAATTACATTTTTAAAGATACATTTGATTTTTCTTCCTTTTCCAGATTCTGGTGTTCTCACAAGTTCAACTGTGACCCACTCCCCAACACCCCTGTCAAAAAAGTGCCTCCTCTGCTCTCAACTTTGGTAAAATCTGCAGTGACCACAACAGGACATGGCTGGTCGTGGTGGAAACACTCGACCAAATGGTCCAGCAGCTGGCAACAAAATCTGCCAATTTAAGTTGGTACTACTTGGAGAGTCTGCAGTGGGGAAGTCCAGTTTGGTCCTACGTTTTGTGAAGGGTCAGTTTCATGAGTACCAAGAAAGCACAATAGGAGGTAAGATTAGACAAGATTTCAGCAGATCTTTTTAGTATAGGTATTACATACAGAAGTGTAATCAAAAGTAAATTCCTCTAATAAGCTATTTTTTTAAAACTGTAAAGTTGTAATTACTGTATATACTCGAGTATAAGCTGAGTTTTTTTGGCACATTGTTTTGTGCTGAAAAAGTCCCACTCGGCTTATACTCGAGTCAAGGTCTGTATTATGGCAACTTACATTGCCGTAATACAGACCAGGACCGCTGGGCTCATTACAAGCCCGGCGGTCCTGTTGGGGGCCGGAGCAAGCTCTTACTTACCTTTTGTAGCAGCTCCAGTCAGCTCCCCCGTTCAGCTCACAGTGCAAGTCTCGCGACATCCGCGGCCGTCCGCTCCGCGCAGCATGCAGATTGCGAGACTTACACTGTGAGTTGAACAGAGCTGACCGGAGCTGCTACAAAGGTAAGTAAGAGCTTGCTCCACCCCCCTCCTCCCCCCCCCCCAACCTGCACAGCCCATGCCACTGGACCACCAGGGATTCACATAGCCCCTTCCCTGGCCAGGTAACAAGCAGGGGGGGCTAAGAAATAATATTAAACAATTAAATAAAAAAAAATACAAATATTAAAATAATACAAATATTTAAATAAAATAATAAAAATGACTACACACACACACTGCATCATATACACACACTGCATTCACACACACACACACTCTGCGTTATATACACACACACTGCATTAATTAAATATTCAGTTAATGTAATTTTATTGGGATCTAATTTTATTTAGAAATTTACCAGTAGCTGCTGCATTTCCCACCCTAGGCTTATACTCGAGTCAATAAGTTTTCCCAGTTTTTGGGGTAAAATTAGGGGCCTCTGCTTATATTCGGGTCGACTTATACTCGTGTATATACGGTAATATGATCTTGGTCAGCTTTATGTGGACAAATCAAATTACAAAATGACCCCAGGATGCTTTTATTTTTTTCCACAGTGGGTGCCAACAGTGGGCTGCAATTCTTAAGCAACTGCTACCTGGCAGAGGCTGCTGCCATTATTTTTTCTTTTCCCATACTGCCAAGCCAGCTAGTACTGTATTCATCATATATACGTAAAAGAGAGGGACAGTTAGAATGACAGCAGACATGGCCTGGTTGAGAGATCCAGAAACTATACATGTATTTTATGTTCCATTTTTCACCAGACGTAATGTCAGGGAAGACCACTTAGGCATTCCACCTGCTGTAATTGAAGAAATATCTTGTCTGTAGTCCCCTTAATAGTCTGATATCAGCCGATGCCCGTTATCCAGAGTTGCTGGGTTTGCTTGCAACGGACCGCTAGGATCCGGATATTATTTAGTGTTGCAGGTCTTGTGGGCCCTCCCAGGAACCCTCCACACCACTGTGACTCCGCTTTGGAAGCAAGTTAAGTGGGCAGTGACTACAGCACAGTTGGGTAATCCCTGGTTTGAGAGTGGCTGGCAGGCACATTCGGCCCGGAAGCAGGAGCTGCTTGTGGGTTGGTAGGATCTTCAGGCTCTGACATAACAGGCTTCCGTGGAACAACCGTCCACTCGGAGCTTCGGTGGTCTCCTTCACGGCTGGGATTCCCTCTCGGTCATCAGCAGGTGAGGGATTTTGTGTGGGCAGGGGAGAACCTTTCTATCTCTCCTCTATACGGAACCAGAAAGCTGCAAAAATGGCGTCAAACTTTTGGAGAGTAGCTCGTGGCTGCTCTTTTGGGGTGGGCCCATGTGGGTCTCTGCCTTGTTATGTGTAGTGGGTCTCCATTGGGATAGTTGCCCGGTTAACCCCTGCTGGCTCATGGGGGAGGTGGGGGGGAGACAAGGGCCCATAGTCAGCTTTCCAGTGTTGTGTGGCGGTGGAGAGCGGCCGTCTCCCCTGCACCAGTCATGCTTGTGGGCCTCATATTACAGTCAGGGTGATCTTGCAGGAAGGTGTCCGCTTGTTTAATACGTGCAGAAGCCCCTTAGTGTCTTCTCTCGCTTGGCAGCCATTTGTTGCCTAAGAAATGCAGTTTTTGAACAGTTTTGCCACAGTTTTTGTATTTAGGAGCAGGAGCTGCTCTGATTAGTGAATGCTCAGCGGTCAAGCCCCGCCCCCAATCATCTGGCCAAATGGCCCACTTATATACAGAATCTGAGCACCGTGACACGTCCCCAAACACACCCACCATGTGCCATAAAATACAGTACCACTGGGGGCGTGGCCAACAGAGATCCGACACAGACGTCCTTTCCCTGAGCTCCGTCCGCGCCCAGGGGAAAACCGAGAAATAGAGCCACCAAACCTAGAGTTTCCACACCAGAACACCCCCCCAAAATCACAGCAACAATGGGGAGCAAAAATATAAAAAATCCCCACCCAGAGCCTCCAGGTCAGCCGTATATTCTCTCTACTTCGAGAGATGCGACTGCAACAACAGTACAAAATAGTGTCGGAGCCATCAGAGGCCTCAATGGGGTAACGACTCCCACTTCAGAATCAACGAAGATGAGGCACCCTCGACGAAGGGAGACATCAAGCTGCTCCTGATTGACCAAGTGGCCCAGGCTAAAAATTGGAATGGCTAATAAAAAGGTGAAGAAGCTGGAGGGACCAAACAAACAAATACAAGCCACAGATGACAAACTGGAGGGACGAACAGCTCAGGTTCTACACCTCCACAGAGTAGTGGCCACTTTAGAACTGCGTCACAGAAAAATATACGCCTAAGGGGCATACAGGTACCCACAGAGAACACTGCCTATGTTTCTAAAAGAGTTGCTTGCAAACATGGACATTAGACACCCCTGAACAACCTATAATAAGGTCCGCATTCAGAGTGCGGAAATCAGCCACGGCGCATCCAGAGATGATATTGCGGTGACGAGATATTGCAGCGAGAATGGCGATTATAAATCTCTCACGGGAGTTGGGGGCCATACAATGCAAAGGTCACGCTGTCCAGTGCCCCCAGGTGCCAACCCAATAACATAGTTACATAACTGAAAAGACTTGCGTCCATCAAGTTCAGCCTTCCTCACATTTGTTTTTTTTGTTGATCCAAAAGAAGGCAAACAAAAACAGTTTGAAGCACTTCCAATTTTGCAACAAACTAGGAATAAAATTCCTTCTTGACCCCAGAATGGCAGTCTGATTAATCCTTGGATCAAGAAGCTATTACCCTACTTTGGAAAATTATATCCTTGAATATTCTGTTTTTGCAAGTATGCATCTAGTTGCTGTATGCTGTATGGACTCTGATTAAACCAATTCTTCAGGCAGAGAATTCCACATCCTTATTGTTCTTACAGTAAAAAAACCTTTCCTTTGCCTTAGACGAAATCTTCTTTCTTCCAGTCTAAATGCATGACCTCGTGTACTATGCAAAGTCCGGTTTGTGAATAGATTTCCACACAATGGTTTGTGTTGGCCCCGAATATATTTGTATAATGTTATCATATCCTCTCTGAGGCGACGTTTTTCTAAACTAAAGAGGTTTAAATTTGTTAACCTTTCTTCATAGCTGATGTATTCCATTCCGTTTATTAATTTTGTAGCCCGTCTCTGCACTTTTTCTAGTGCCATAATATCCTTCTTTCGAACAGGTGCCCAAAATTGCACAGCATATTCAAGATGCGGTCTAACCAGTGATTTATAAAGAGGCAAAATGATATTCTCATCCTGAGAATGAATGCCCTTTTTCGTGCATGACAATACCTTACTGGCCTTAATCACTGCTGATTGACATTGCACATTGTTGCATAGTTTGTCTATAACAATTCCCAAGTTGTTTTTTTGTGTTATCCCTAATTCGCTTCCACTAAGGGTATACCTTGCTTGTGCATTCTTTAAATTTAAATTTCATCTGCCATTTGAGTGCCCAGTCTATCTAAATCCCTCTGCAGCAAAGTAATATCTTGCTCACATTGTATTACTTTATAGAGTTTTGTGTCATCTGCAAACACTGAAACATGGCTTTCAATGCTTTTTTCAAGATCATTGATAAACATGTTAAATAGAAGGGGTCCCACTGAGGAACACTACTTGCCACCTCGGTCCAGCTTGAAAATATACCATTAATGTCAACTCTTTGTACTTGTATATTTAAGCCAACGTTCTACCCAAGAACAAGCATTTTCATATAGACTGATTTCTTTGCATTTGAACACTAATCTATTGTGTGGTACTGTATCAAAAGCCTTGGCAAAATCCAAATAGATCACATACACTGTAACACCCTACTTACTACTTCGTAGAACGCAATCAAGTTAGTTTGACATGACCTGTGCTTCATAAAACCATGCTGATTTTTGCTGATAACGATGTTCTTCTCAAGGAATTCTTGAATATTATCCCTTAATAGAACAGAAAAATCAAAGGAAATAGGGCGCGCCTTTTATGGAAATATATATATAAAATATAAATATAAAATTAAGTAAGAGAGTCCAAAATATACAATTAAAGTAAAAAAAGTCCAAATATATAGTCCACAGATAAATGAAGAGTGTTCTTTGTAGCGTAGTATAGTCTTTTCCCAGGAGATGACTTGTATTTTTCAATGAGCCATATGTAGAGAAAAAATAAAGACAGCCTGTACAGTATGTTGATATATAGGAAAATATGTGCAAATAAATTGGAATTACTCACAATTTCCAGAGCTTAAATCCAGCTCTGGTATAGAATGCGTGGAGTGGAATAATCCCCACTCGAGGATGTATGGAGCAGTAACTTGTAAAGTAGGTGATCCACCGAGGATTTCGACCGAGAATTAAAACAGATAAAAAGAATATAGTGCTCACTGTATAATATAAGTTAAAAAAGAGGTATGAAATGTACTTACAAAGTATTGAGCATTCTTCTCTGCTCAATTTTTAGCGCATGGGTGGTATGATCCCCACCTAAGGATTTTTTTAGTACATAGTAAAATAACATGGTAATAACATAAAAGGGTTGTGTACATATTTGCAAGGTCATTACATATAAAATAATATTAAAACAAGGTGTGAGGGATTATATAATTAAAATGAAACATAGATCACGTGACGTGCGGAAATGGAGGACTTCCGCGTCACGTGGGTGTAATGGAACGCATGCGTTCCATAGTATTGGAACGCATGCGTCTGGAGGCGGAATGCCGGCCCGGGTGAAGTGTTGAAGGCTACAGCGTCATCAGAGGGGAGGGGCCCTCTGGCGATTGTGAGGCAGGCTGGCAGCATGTCATCTGATTCATGCTAACGAACAGACGACATGCTGTATATCATAGACAGCCAGATGGGAAAATATAAAAAATAAAATAAAAACCTCTGGCACTAATATGTTTTAGACACAGGAGTAAGTAAAATATATATAACATAAAGAATAATAAATTATTATGAGAGTTGGAATGAGTAAAAAGTTCAAATAATATATGTAGATTATTTAAAATACATAGAAATATATGCTTAAAAATTGTACAAAAGAATACATAAAAATACATATAAAATACATAAAAGAATGTGTAGAGATTCCATAAAAGTTGTAAAAAAGAGATAAAAAAGAGAGAGGCAGTGAAAAAGAAAAAGGGGGGTGGATAAAAAATGTTTTACTTGTATTATAGAAAATTAAATAAGTCAAAGTCTATATTTAGACCTTGAGGGGTAAGGGTTTTTAAATTGAATGTCCATTCTATTTCCTTACTACCTAAAATCTTTTTTATATCTCCACCTCTCCAAGGGATATTACAAATATCTATACCTATGCATTTCAACAATTTAGGATACCGAATGGTTCTCGTATCCCTTTCGAATATTTCGGCAGTGTTCTGCCAATCTGATTTTTAGCTCTCTGGTTGTCATGCCCACATATTGAAGTCCACATGGGCATTCCAATAGGTATAGTACATTTTTAGTGCTGCAGTGAATACAATTTTTTATAGAATGATCTTTTAGTAATAGATGATTTGAAAGAAGTAGTTTTTGATTTAATGCTCTCGTCCTTATGTTTACATAAGAACTTGTGACAAAGAACTATACAAAACAAAATCAAACTACCTCTTCTATCTGCTCCCCCTCTTTTCTTAACAAGCCCAAAGGATTTTTTAAATGCAACAAATGCATAGTATGTAAACATACCGACGAGAGCATTTAATCAAAAACTACTTCTTTCAAATCATCTATTACTAAAAGAACATATTCTATAAAAAATGTTATTCACTGCAGCTCTAAAAATGTAAAATACCTATTGGAATGCCCATGTGGACTTCAATATGTGGGCATGACAACCAGAGAGCTAAAAATCAGATTGGCAGAACACTGCCGAAATATTCGAAAGGGATACGAGAACCATTCGGTATCTAAGCACTTCCTAATACATGGTAAAAATCCTAAATTGTTGAAATGCATAGGTATAGATATTTGTAATATCCCTTGGAGAGGTGGAGATATAAAAAAGATTTTAGGTAGTAAGGAAATGGAATGGACATTCAATTTAAAAACCCTTACCCCTCAAGGTCTAAATATAGACTTTGACTTATTTAATTTTCTATAATACAAGTAAAACATTTTTTGTCCACCCCCCCCTTTTACTTTTCCACTGACTCTCTCTTTATCTCTTTTTTTATCTTTTTTACAACTTTTATGGAATCTCTACACATTCTTTTATGTATTTTATATGTATTTTTATGTATTCTTTTGTACAATTTTTAAGCATAAATTTCTATGTATTTTAAATAATCTACATATATTATTTGGAACTTTTTACTCATTCCAACTCTCATAATATTTTTTATTCTTTATTTTATATATTTTACTTACTCCTGTGTCTAAAACATATTAGTGCCAGAGGTTTTTATTTTCTTTTTTATATTTTCCCCATCTGGCTGTCTATGATATACAGCATGTCGTCTGTTCGTTAGCATGAATCAGACGACATGCTGCCAGCCTGCCTCACGATCGCCAGAGGGCCCCTCCCGTCTGATGACGCTGTAGCCTTCAACACTGCACCCGGCCGGCATTCTGCCTCCGGACGCATGCGTTCCATTACACCCACGTGACGCGGAAGTCCTCCATTTCTGCACGTCACGTGATCTATGTTTCATTTTAATTACATAATCCCTCACACCTCGTTTTAATATTATTTTATATGTAATGACCTTGCAAATATGTACACAAGCTTTTTATGTTATTACTATGTTATTTTACTATGTACTAAAAATTGAAGTATGTGATGGCGTCATTTTGGCGGGAATATTCAAATTCCAATACACTGAGTATACCATATAAAAAGCACTGTTAGGTTACTGTTTTTACTATTATTCTACTGGAAGAAGCCTGTTGTGGGCGAAACACGTTTAGAATTTGTTTTTATATTGTCATAATAAAGGAATTTTGGCCTCAAACTTTTTTCTGCCACATTCCTAATTTTACTTTTAATTTTATTTTATGCCTGACTAACCTGAGCCAATACGGATTTACGCAAAATCCTTAGGTGGGGATCATACCACCCATGCGCTAAAAATTGAGCAGAGAAGAATGCTCAATACTTTGTAAGGTAAGTACATTTCATACCTCTTTTTTAACTTATATTATACAGTGAGCACTATATTCTTTTTATCTGTTTTAATTCTTGGTCGAAATCCTCGGTGGATCACCTACTTTACAAGTTACTGCTCCATACATCCTTGAGTGGGGATTATTCCACTCCACGCATTCTATACCAGAGCTGGATTTAAGCTCTGGAAATTGTGAGTAATTCCAATTTATTTGCACATATTTTCCTTTATTTCAACATACTGTACCATTGGCTGTCTTTTTATTTTTTCTCTACATATGGCTCATTGAAAAATACAAGTCATCTCCTGGGAAAAGACTATACTACGCTACAAAGAACACTCTTCATTTATCTGTGGACTATATATTTGGACTTTTTTTACTTTAATTGTATATTTTGGACTTTCTTACTTCATTTTATGTTTATATTTTATATATATATATATATACTTTTATATATTTCCATTAAAGGCACACCCTAGTTCCTTTGATTTTTCTGTTCTGTATTCAACCATAGGGGATAGGAGGGTACTCCCTTTATAGGTGTGCTGCCTTTTAACAACTGTCACAATTTTTTGTGGCATTTCTAGCGCTGATCCTATTTTGACTATTATCCCTTAATAACCTTTTAAATACTTCCCCAGCCACAGAAGTTAAGCTCACAGGTCTATAATTTCCAGGCAAGGATTTTAAACCCTTTTTGAATATAGGAACCACATCTTCCTTCCTCAAATCCTCCGGAACACTTCCTGAAAGAAAAGAATCTTGAAAGATTAAAAACAGAGGTTTACTTATTTCTATACTTTGTTACCAGTAGTTATGTTGTTATTTTTTCTAATATGTTAATTACTAAACGCTTTTGTCCAAGTCTCGTATACATTGCACAAGGCTTACACTGCTGTAATTAACTTAAAAAAAACCCGTACATTAAAAAAAGTGTCCCTGTGACTCAGCATAACGTACAAAACATAAACACTTAAAAATACAAATTTCCCACATAGGAACCCCTACAGTCTATACATCAACGGATAGCCTGGATCTGAGCGTCCAACATATCCAAAAAGCGCTCAGATCCCACGAACACAGCTGAAACGCCACTGGCGGCATACACGCTCATGAACACAGCCGGTGGCGTTTCAGCTGTATTTGTGGGATCTGAGCGACTTTGATATGTTGGGCGCTCAGATCCAGGCTATCCAGGGATGCCCAAAATAGTTCCATGAATTCAGGGGTTGTGGCCGGTCCTGTTAGGGAGTCCCATGCGACAAAAATACCAGACCTAATCCATAAGTAGGGGGAGCTTCTTCACCTCATTCAGACTAAAGATTCCACCGAACAGCATCTTCCATGATGTAAAGTACCGAACACAGGTGGGATCGAAGTTCAGCGTTGTTCGCGAGGTCGAGTGTCCGATTTTAGTTCCATGCACTCGATGACCAAACACCGCCGCCTGCGTTAGCGGGAACAAGGTGGCCTCCACCACGTGTTCAGGCATACGAATAGCGTCCACACAGATGAACACTTGGAACACTGCTGGCAGAATCATTACAAGGTGTCAATATTTAACAAGCTCCCGGGTGGTCTTTAGTTCATGGATCTGTATGGTTTCCGAACAGCACAGGGTACTTAAACCACCGAATCTTTTAAAATGTATTTAGCAGTACTTTTTGCAGGGCCCATAGTCCTGGGGCAAGAGGCTGGCAAGCAGGCTCCTCCGGGAAAAGGACCATGAAATGGTCTGGGTGCCTATGAAGTCCCTTTAAAGAAACACTGTAGCGTTAGGAATACCGTCCATATTTTCATTGAGGTGCTCACCTTTGTTATCTAATTATATAGAGGATAATAAAAAGGTTTTATTTATTTTATATTTTCCCCCTCCCCCATTGCAGAGACTCAATCTGTGCTGCCGCCTGCTCCTCCTGCAACATCATTTTGGAATAGTTGTTTCCACGATAATAGTTCCATCCAATGCTCATATGTTTCCCTATGTTTCCATTTGATGACACATGATTGAGTAAAACTCAACTCTCTTGTTGCAGAGCATGGATCTCTAGTGGCTGTCTGGTGAGTAAGCTAGCCATGCAAGAACTGGGATGTTTTCAGCTTCTAGGAATTGTGTACAAATCCTTGCAACATGGTGCCGTGCATTATCATGCTGCAACATGAGGTGATGGTCGTAGATGAATGACACAACAATGGGCCTCAGAATCTTGTCACGGTATCTCTGTGCATTCAAAATGCCATCAATAAAATGCACCTGGCATTTTATTGATGGCATTAGGGTTAGGGTTAGAACTATTAGCGTGGAAACAACTATTCCATCACATACGCCTGCCCTATACCATAACCCCACCGCCACCATGGGCCACTCGATTGACGACGTTGACATCAGCAAACCGCTCACCCACACAACTTCATACACGCTGTCTGCCATCTGCCCTGTACAGTGAAAACCGGGATTCATCCGTGATGCAAATGTGAGCATTTGCCCACTCAAGTCGTTTACGACAACAAACTGCAGTCAGGTCGAGACCCCGATGAGGACGATGAGCATGCAGATGAGCTTCCCTGAGACGGTTTCTGACAGTTTGTGCAGAAATTCTTTGGCTGTGCAAATCGATTCTTGCAGCAGCTGTCTAGGTGGCTGTTCTCAGACGATCTTGGAGGTGAAGATGCTAGATGTGGAGGTCCTGGGCTGGTGTGGTTACACCTGATCTGCGGTTATGAGGCCGGTTGTATTGTAATGGATCACCTGGCACCCCGACTGGGCACCCGCGTTGACAGACGCTTCCTAGTTGACACAGAGGACCATAAGCACCGCACCGGACACAACCACCGCAGACTCCACAACCACCGTAGCTTAACTGGAGTCTCGCCATCTTCCTTCCACACTGGATCAGCCTCTGTCCTCCAGGAGTGTGTAGGAAAGACCTCTCCAGAAGAAGAGCATATCAGGAACAGCTTTGAAAAGAGCTAAGTGATTAGAGCTCAGAATATACAAGGTATAGCAATCCCCAGTGTGATTATAGCAGTTCTCTACAATAACAAGACAAGACTACGTGTTGAGGGTCAAACAGGAACAGAGTGCACTGAGGCTTTATTGTTTCTTATATACACATTTCCCCTCAAGGTTACCACCCACGTCGACCTTGTGGAACACAGGACACAAGGTTACAACAGCCAATCAACACAGAACAGTACAGTCAGACACTCCCAGCTAATGCACACAAACCCTCCCCTCACACCTACTGTCGTCCCCCCCCCCCGCCCCTACCCCTGAGCGGTGGGTGAGGGCCATAAATCACAATGGGGGGGACCTACTGTCCTCCCACACCCCTGAGCGGTGGATGGGGGCCATAAAGATGAGAGGGGGGACCTACTGTCCTCCCAGCCCCCATCCCTGGGTGTGGCGGGTGGGGGCCCTACGACAAATTCCCCCGACCCTTCAAAGGTGACTAGGGGTCCCCAAGCCCCTAGTCACCCACTCAAATAAAAACTATCCCCTACCCCCTCACCCTAAAAATAGCGATGGGGGAAATAATAACTAACCTGTAAATAAAAATAAAACTTACCATTTGCTGTCTTCTTTCTTCTAAAATCTTCATTTTTCAGCCCCAAAAAAGGCCAATTAAAAAACCATCATACCTGTCGAACTTAAAATAAAATAAAAAAATCAGAGCACAAAAAAAAAAACAGCCGAAAAAGGGAAAAAACCTGACGTTAAAGCCAATAATCCATCTTCACCCATGGCGGGCTCCGTGCAGACTGAGCTCTGCAGGGCGGGGTAAGCCTTATGAAGCCTTGCCCCGCCCTGCTGTTTGGCTTAGACCAACCAATCAGAGTGTTCTTAGCCCATCAGAGTACTCTTTGTCATTTTGCACAGCGTGGGAAAGTTCTTTGGAATTTTCCCACGCTGTGTAATTTGACTCAAAACACTCTGGTGGACTTGAAATCCATCCAATCAGAGTGCCCTGTGTCATTTTACACAGCATGGGAAAGTTCCAAAGACAGTAGGTCCCGTCCCCCCTCAATTATCTTTATGGCCCCCACCCACTGCTCAGGGGTGGAGGCCATGGGGGGAGGACAGTAGGTGTCCCCCCATTGTGATTTATGGCACCCACCGCACAGGGGTGGGGGCCGGGAGGAGGACAGTAGGTCCCCGTCACCCAGGGGGCAGGACAGTAGGCCCCCTTCATTATTTTTATGGCCCCCGCCCGGGGGGAGGACAGTAGGTTCCCCCCCCCCTCATTATCTTTATGGCCTCCACCCGCCACCCAGCGGTGGGGGCTGGGGGGGAGGACAGTAGGTCTTTATGGCCCCCACCCACCGCGCATGGGGGTGACTAAGGGGTCAGTTAGATGTAGTGGAGTCGGGAGGGGGGGGTAAAATAAAAAATAAAAAAACGGGATTCGGCCATGACTGTGCCGCTTTAATTATCACAGGCAGAAAATATACAGTTTTACCCAAAGTCCAGAAACACCCCAAAACACAAATATATCCCCATAAATCCTACATCCCTGGATAGCCCTGATCTGGGTGAACAACATATCCAAAAATCACCAAGATCAGAGCAGGGGTCCAAAACCGTTCCACAGATTTAGGCTGTGCGGCCGGTCTATCTTCTCCTCTATCCTGGAGATAATTGGCTTAAGTGGATGTGGTAAGCCAATTATCTCTAAGTCCAAAAACTGTTACAAAAACTACATAAAAATACATAACTACATCATATAATACAATGTTTAACCTATATGTCCAACATATCCCCAGATAGCTTGGATCTGAGCGCTCAATATGTCCGAAAAGCACTCAGATCCTACGAATAAAATTGGATCGCCATGGCAAGGGCTGATGAGAGATTGAGGAGGGACAAAGCAGCCAGTTTCAACTGGTCTGGCAGTGTACCTGGGACAACGCCCTGCTGGAGAACAATAGGACAGGAAAAAGGGGGAGGGGAAGAGGCACATTTTTCCATGGAATTAAAGGGGCAGAAAAAGTGTTATAAAAATCCAATAAGCCCAAATAGACTTTTTTCTTTTTTTTTTTAACTGGCAATATCTCCCAGGGGCCATAGTCACAAGGCAAGAGGCTGGCAAGCAGGCCTCTCCAAGAACAAGTGGCGAAGGGCACTTCGTCACATGATGTACTGCCAGATTCTCTGAAATGCCTTTGGAGACAGCTTATGGTAGAGAAATGAACATTCAATTCACGGGCAACAGCTCTGGTGGACATTCCTGCAGTCAGCATGCCAATTGCATGCTCCCTCAAAACTTGTGAAAAATCTGTTGCATTGTGCTGTGTGATAACACTGCACATTTTAGAGTGGCTTTTTATTGTGGCCAGCATTAGGCACACCTGTGCAATAATCATGCTGTCTAATCAGCATCCCGATATGCCACACCTGTGAGGTGGATGGATTATCTCGGCAAAGGAGAAGTGCTCACTAACACAGATTTAGACAGATTAGTGAACAATATGTGAGAGAAACAGGCCTTTTGTGTACATCGAAAAAGTCTTAGATCTTTGAGTTAAGCTCATGAAAAATGGGGGCAAAAACAAGTGTTGCATTTATAATTTTGTTCAGTGTATGTGTGGTATATGTGTCAGTTATACCCAGCTCTTTCCCACATCCATGTCCGTTACAAATACCTGTCTCAGGTCACCTTTCCCTTCTCTGTTTTAGGTCACTTATAACCACACTGGGAGTGCTCAAGAAACATGCAGATTCCACCTGTGACCACGTGTGATATTTGGCCATAGGTTAACTAAAAATAGTCCAGCTGACCTGTTCATTTATTCTTTGATAATTTTTGGCTATCATTATAGGTTTAGGCACTTAATGTGTATTTCTGTCCACAGCCGCCTTTCTTACACAAACAGTCTGTTTGGATGACACAACAGTGAAGTTTGAAATATGGGACACTGCTGGACAAGAGAGGTACCACAGCTTGGCTCCCATGTATTACAGAGGTGCTCAAGCCGCCATTGTGGTTTATGATATAACCAACACGGTATGGACCATAAAATGAATGATAACTTTTATTTTTTTTATTTATTGAAATTACTACAGCTTAACAAAGCATGTAGAGGTTTTAAAGAGGAGTCCATTATGTAATCCTTAGATATCCAATAAAACGTCTGTTTACTCAGGGGAAACCTTAATTTATCCAAATTTTCCAATTCACAGCTTTATATTCTATAATCTTATACAACTGGATGGGAAGCAGTGCAGTGACTCTGTTTATTGAAGCTATTTTATGTTAACATTCTATCCTTAGAATCAGTTTTATGGTCACTCGCTCAGCATTTAATGCTTGCAGCAGTGGCATATCTAATAGAGAGGACCCTGGTGCAAGAAATAATTTTGGTCCCATTTCTAGGGCATCAGTGGTCAAAAGATAGATCCCCATCTTTTGTAAAACTCCCACAATGCTATGCCAGTTGGGGATATGCCATGTCACTATTCTTGCAAGGTTGTATTTGTTAAAGTGTTTGAGCATTTGAATGTAAGCATATCTTTGTATGGACTATGTGTGTATGCATGTAGAGGGGTATTTGTATGCACTGTTGACAATCAAATACACTTTCTCAGCATGGCTGATATTACAAGGGCCTGGTAACGTTGTTAAAGGGCCACTTAGTGCATGGGCCACTTGATTACCTCCAGTCAGCTCTTTCCATCTCATTTTGCTTCTTTCGGAGGCTTGACTCTCTCAGTCATTCACCAAAGTACTCCGTAAGTAGTCTTCCTGATCTTGCCTGCTTTACTTCCTGCACAGAAGCAGGGAAGACCAGAGAGACTCAGTTTTCAAACACTGTCTGACCTAAGGTACACCTATATTGTTGAAGGATCATATTATATATACTAAAGGTAAGGACAAGTTTTTCTACCTTTTTTTTATTTTTTTATATTGACTTCATTATTTTAATTTTTTTATGGTTTCTTTAAAAACTTGATGAAAGGATTATTATATAGAAATTGTCTTTTTAAGGTGATTGTTTTATATATTATTTTTTTTTAATTTTTTTTTTTTTTTTCTGCAAGCAGTCAAAATAGGCATAATGTAATTTTCTCTGTTCTTTTTCCAAGGAAACCTTTACACGAGCAAAAAACTGGGTAAAAGAACTTCAACGACAAGCAAGCCCCAACATAGTCATTGCACTGTCAGGGAACAAGGCTGATCTTTCTAATAAGAGAGCTGTGGATTTTCAGGTAAGCGTATTAGGCAAGATGATGTGAAAATCCCTTTTCACTCTATCTGAAACCTTAAAGGGATCCTATAGTGCCAGGAAAACAAACCCGTTTTCCTGGCACCAAAGGGTTAATAGGTCCCCCGCCTCCCTCTGAGCCCCCTCATGCTGGGCTGAAGGGGTTAAAACCCCTTCAGCCACTTACCTTAATCCAGTGCTGGGCTCCATCTGCGCTGGTGACCTCTCCTCCCCTGCTGACATCAACTCCCGAGTGGAGCTGAATGCGTATTCAAAGCCGCCTATAGGAAAGCATCACTCAAAGCTTTCCTATGAAGATCTTATTTGATGCTGGACTCCGTGAGGACATCCAGCGTCATTTCAGTGCGATATACTCACTGAGAATCGTGGAAGCGGCCACTAGAGGCTGGATTAACCGTGCAGTGTAAATTTAGCAGTTTCTCTGAAACTGCTATGTTTTCAGATGCAGGGTTAAAACTAGAGGGACTTAGCACCCAGACCACTTCATTGAGCTGAAGTGGTCTGGGTGCCTGTAGTCGTCCTTTAGACAAACATTTTTGGTGCTTAATATTCCTTAAAGACAGAGGCAATTATCCATGTTCTGGATCAAAACAAAACCTAGAATTTGTACTATGCATTTGTTCCACCATAATTTAATAGTGCCCACACACATATATATTGTTTTTTGAAGGACAGAAAGAGCTTTCTTTTAATATCCTATATGTATACCCAACACAATATTAAGTGTAAATAAAATGTTAAGGCTGGAAACCAATAAAAAAATAAAAACATATATATATATATATATATATATATATATATATATATATATATATATATATATATATATATATATATATTTTATTTATTTTTTTCTTCACATTGTTGCTTATAATTTTTACAAATCCAGTGCAACTAAAGAATAAAACTCAATTGATTCCTGTATCAGCGCTGATTGTTAAATCCCTCATATGTTCAAGATCAAACTTAAAGGGCTACTCGAACCACATGACCAGTTGAATTGCTGCACAAACTGAGACATATTATGTTTTCTGTTCCTGGCTGCCTAATGTCCATATTTTAAGTCTGTCATCAGCATGCTGGTAACAGACATATCGTGCTTCTCCCTTGCAGAGAAGAGTTTGTCTCCCTGCCTCCCACCTTCATGAAGTACAAGCTAGGGATCGACTGATATTGATTTTATAGAGCCAATACCGATCATTTGTGAACTTTTAGGCCAATAGCCGATAACTTACAGATACCGATATTCTGTACATTTACCGTTTTGAAAAAATAAACTATTTCTACACAAATCTACTGTTAACTGAACATATGTATTTATTTATATTGCAAAACCTTTTTTCTATTAAGGCAAATGCACAAAATATACATGCCAGTCAGAATTGTTTATGCTTTCAAGAATATATGTGTGTGTAGTGGATGCAGTGTGTGTGTTTGTGTAATGTGTGTATATATAGTGAATGCAGAGTGTATATGTGTATAAATTTGTTTTAGTCACCCCTTCCTCCTTCTTACCTGGCCAGGGAGGTGGAAGATGGCATTCCCTGGTGGTCCGGTGGCATGGACTCTGCAGAGTGGGCCCAGCAACACTCTTACTTCCCTTCTCAGCAGCTCCCCTGTCTAACTCTTGTGGCCTGTGTGCCCTGCGGAGCATTGCCATGGTAATCTGTGGCAACGCTCTGACGACTGCGGGACTCGCAAGATTTAGGCAGGGGAGCTGCTAGGAGGGAAGTAAGTGTGCTGTGGGCCCTCTAGCAATCCCCGGTCCCCCATGGAAGTCCCGTCTGACACATTTACACAAATTACACATGAATGGCGTTCGGGAGTTTCAGTCTACCGAACGAGGAGAGCACTCTCATGTAACCAGCTACATTATATCTATGGGGGTTTTCGTGCAATTTTCATCTGAACGGAGACCAGCTCGCACCACTGATTTCATGGAACTCTGAGTCTGCTACAACCTCGTGGTGAGCCGGTCAAACTTCCACAAGGTATAACTCCAAAACTACCGAACGGATTCTCGTGGCATGATGGCCCTGGTCTGCATTATCGGCAATATCGGTATCTTTATAGACTTTATTAATTTTTGATACTTAATGTAAGCCCATTACCAATGCCCCAAACCCCTACCTTACTACAATAACTCTAACTTACCCCTAGTTCTAACTCTAACTAGACTATTAACGCTAAGGAAACCCTGCGCTAATATCAATATATCAACTATACTTTGTGTAAAGAATCACCCTCCATGCATTCTGTACTTTCCCTCCCTGCTACTTGGTTCATTGGATTTATTACCTTTATTACTAGTTCATTCGTTACTTTTTATTCATCAAAATCCCTTGTTCTGTGAAATAGCTATTTTACCGAAAGAGGACCACCCTGGGTAGCAATTAGAACGTAGAATCCTGTGTTATTGCACGAAACCACAAGCTAATTGAGTGCTCCTGGGTGGCCACACGAACACATGGCGAGAACAATGGATGGCGGCCATCTTAAACTCCCGAACGGCCGGCCAGCGGGACTTAGGCGTCGAGCGCCTGGAACTTATTTTGGCATGGCTCTCCAGCAATCCCCGGTCCCCCATGGAAGTCCCGTCTGACCTATTTACACAAATTACACACAAATGGCGTTCGGGAGTTTCAATCTACCGAACGAGGAGAGCACTCTCATGTAACCAGCAACACTATATCTATGGGGGGTTTTGTGCAATTTTCATCCGAACGGAGACCAGCTCGCACCACTGATTTCATGGAACTCTGTCTGCTACAACCTCGTGGCGAGCCGGTCAAACTACCAAACGGATTCTCACGAAATTTGGATATGTTGCTCACATCACCCTCAGCTACCCAGGAATATAGGCATTAAGCTTTGGCTCATGTGTGGATTATTCGGCGATACCAGCGATTTATTACTCTGTGGATTTCTTGATGATTTAATTTTATGGGAAGAAGGGAATGCTTGACGGAGTAAAGAATTGTACCGTCACAACTGATTGACAGCGGCGGGATTTTCCTTTTTCCCTGCACAAAGGATCCAAGGAAGGCACTATTGTACAGTCCATGGAGGGCTGGTACACACAGCTTAAACGCAGCACACTGAAGGAACTATTGGAGGTACGTGGAGGTATTGCCAGCAACAAGGCCAAGCGGGTCATAATTGCTGAACTCCTGGAGCTAGACCGGGAGAGCTTGGCAGCAGCAGTACCGACCGTTCAGGAATCCGAAACCAACAGGGAGATCAGAAAGCAGCTGGCATGGTTTGGACCGAACCCATCTGCCGAAATTATTATGCAGGTGATTAACACTGTAACAGAGCACGCACTGAAGCTGGCTGAAACCCAGCAAACGATGGCAAGTCCACCGATCGGAGGGATCACCACTGTGGACTCGTCAAAGATGCCTTTCAGTGCTTTTAAAAGCTTCAACGAGAATGACTGACACTGAGATTGACAGCTATCTGGCAGACTTTGAACGCCAGTGTGCCCTACATAAAGTATCTACAGAGGAGTGGGTCTCTGTATTATCGGGAAAACTGTCAGGCAAGGCAGCGGATGCCTTCAGGGCCGAGCAGGAGATTCACAGTTATGCACGGGTCAAGGAGGTGCTACTAGCTCTGTATGCGATAACCCCAGAAGCATACCGCAAGAAAATTAGGGATTCCCGCAAAACCGACAAGGACTTGTATGCAGAGTGGGCCTGTCGCCTACAGCTATCTGCGTCAAACTGGATCACCAACTGCCAGGCAACTACTGTGGATGACATCCTGCAGCTCAGGCTATTAGAGCAATTCTACGACCACATCCAGGCGGATGTCCAAGATTGGGTAAGGGACCGCAGACCTAACCAAGGCCGCCAAACTCGCAGACAAGTCTACAGACAAACCCCAGGCGACCCGTGTGGTATCTCTGAGCCAACCGATTCGGACAGAAGCACCAGCAGCGACCAGGTACCAACCCCCCAGCAAACCCTCCGCTCCCATCCAACGACACCCAGCTAGCAACGAGCCCCCTTGTTTCCACTGCACGCAACTAGGACACCTTCGGAACAACTGCCCACTGGAGGCACCCAGGTCCAACTGGTCTCTACGCGGGTTCTCCAACGCCAGGGCCGCAGCTCACTGCGTGGATTACCTGGTGCCATCTGCCTGGGATGCAAAGGAATTAAGCCAGGAAGAACCCCTGGGCACGTTGTACGAAGCCCACTTAGTCCAGTCTTCCATCACGGACAATCGGAAACACCATTGTCAGTTGGTGATGGTGAATGGGAAAACTGCCCGAGGACTCAGGGATAGTGGTGCCACCATCACCTTGGTTCAGAGGCACCTTATTGATAATGGGGAACGACCAGAAAAATCTATTGCTGTGCGAGTGGTAGGGGGGGCTGTTTACCGGATTCCCACAGCCCAGGTCCATCTGGACTGGGGAGCTGGAGCTGGCAACGTACAGGTGGGAGTCATGAAGGAGCTACCCGCAGAAGTGATATTGGGGAATGACATTGGACCATTAACCTCAGCATTTGTACCCACACCCACCCACGAGGCCCAAGCGGTGACCACTAGAGCCATGCTGCCGAGAACCATCCATCTCCTACTGAGACCCAGGTAAGCCAACTTTTCCCCGCCCCTGACGTTAGAGCCCCTTCCCTGGGAGGATTTTGGGAGGGAAGTAGTGGGAGACCCGTCCCTAAGGAAATATAGGGACAAGGCGAGAGTAGGACAAGGCCTGAGGTATCCGATGATGTCCGGAGTTACTGCCAGACCTGTGAGGTTTGCCAGAGGGTAGGTAAGAAGGGAGACAACCCTAAGGCCAAAATGGTCCCGATGCCCATCATCAAGGAGCCCTTCGCGAGGGTAGCGGTCGACCTGGTAGGACCCCTAGCTCAGCTTAGCCGCTCTGGTAAGCGCTATATACTTACCGTAGTGGACTACGCTACCCCAAGGCAGTGGCCCTTCCCAATATCCATGCTGAGACGGTGGCTGATGCCCTGGTCAAGATTTTCTCTCTTGTAGGATTCTCCAAAGAAATTTTATCGGAACAGGGTACACAGTTCACTGCGGAATTAACCCAACAACTGTGGAGGATCTGCGGGATTAAATCCCTGACAAGCTCTCCGTACCACCACCAGACCAATGGTCTCTGAACGCTTCAACGGCACTCTAAAGCAGATGTTGAAGAATTATACAGGAACCTATCGGGACTGGGAGCGATTCCTGCCACACCTTCTCTTTGCATACCGGGAGGTGCCTCAGGAATCCACGGGATTTTCACCCTTCGAGCTACTGTACGGAAGACGAGTGAGGGGGCCTTATTAAGGATCATTTGGGGGGCCAGATCGAGATTGACTGTACTCCGATTGTGCCCTGCGTGCTGGGGTTGACGGACCGCATGGAGGAACTGGCCCAGACGGTAAGGGAGAACCTCCAGGCGGCTCAACAGTAAAAGGGGGGGTCATTGTGAAGAATTGCCCTCCATGCATTCGGTACTTTTCCTCCCTGCTACCTGTCCCTCCCTACTCCCTGATTGTTGGATTTATTACTAGTTCATTCGTTACTTTTTATTGATCAAAATCCCTTGTTCTGTAAAATAGCTATTTTACCAAACGAGGACCACCCTGTGTAGCAATTCGAACGTAGAATCCTGTGTTATTGCACGAAACCTCAAGCTAATTGAGTGCTCCTGGGTGGCTGCCATTTCAGGACACTAACACGTGGCGAGAACAATGGATGGCGGCCAGTTTCAATCTATCGAACAGCTAGGAGTGATAGAACACTCTGACAGTCCTTGGGCCTCACCTGTGGTCCTGGTACCGAAGCGGGACGGCACGACCCGCTTCTGTGTCAATTACAGGCGGCTCAACGACAAGACGGTGACTGACGCCTATCCGATGCCTCGGATGGACGAGCTGCTCGACCGCATATCTAAGGGGAAGAACTTGACCACGATAGACCTCTGCAAGGTATATTGGCAGATTCCCTTGGCAGAGGACGTGGTCCCCAAGTCAGCCTTCATCACCCCGTTCGGCCTATACCAGTTTCGGGTTATGCCGTTCGGGATGAAGAATGCCCCCGCCACCTTCCAACGGATGGTGGACCGCCTATTAGAGGGCCTCCAGGATTATGCATGTGATACCTGGGAGGCACACTTAGAGCATGTAGGATCCGTATTAGATAGGATTAGGGAGGTCGGCTTGACCTTGAAGCCTGACAAGTGCCACTTTGGTATGGCGGAGGTGCAATATTTGGGTCACCGGGTTGGATGTGGTAGACAACGGCCGGAGCCTGCTAAGATCAAGGCAATTGCCAACTGGCCCACTCCCTGTACCAAGACGCAGGTCATGGCGTTCCTGTGAACAGCTGGCTACTACAGGCGCTTTGTCCCTGACTATAGTACCCTAGCCAAACCCGTGACTGACTTGACAAAAAAGAAGCTACCCCGACAAGTCCTGTGGTCCTCGGGAGTGTGAGGTGGCTTTCCAAGTGTTAAAACAAGCTCGTCAATGCCCCCGTATTAGCTGCCCCAGATCCTAACAAACGCTTTATCGTCCACACAGACGCTTCAATGTTTGAACTGTGGGCAGTTTAGAGTCAGAATGGAGAAGACGGAGGAGAGGACCCGGTCGCCTACCTAAGCCAGAAACTTACTCCGGTGGAGTCTTGCCCTTCAACCCTACGGCCGGCCGGGCAAACAAAACGGGAATGCTGATGGGCTATCCCTCTAAACAGACTCTCGGACTAATAGCTGGGAGACCCGTAAGCCTTACTGGACCCGGAAAGGTCCAGCCACGTCTGCCGGAGCAGGGAGTAAAAGGGGGGGCCATTGTGAAGAATTGCATGCATTCGGTACTTTTCCTCCCTGCTACTTTGTTTGTTGGATTTATTACTAGTTCATTCCTTACTTTTTATTCATCAAAATCCCTTGTTCTGTAAAATAGCTATTTTACCGAACGAGGACCACCCTGGGTAGCAATTAGAATGTCGAATCCTGTGTTATTGCACGAAACCACAAGCTAATTGAGTGCTCCTGGGTGGCTGCCATTTCAGGACACGAACACGTGGCGAGAACAATGGATGGCGGCCAGTTTCAATCTATCGAACGAGGGGAGAACTCTCATGTAACCAGCTAAATTATATCTATGGGGGTTTTCGTGCAATTTTCATCCGAACGGAGACTGGCTCGCACCACTGATTTCAACGCTGAGTCGGCTACAACCTCGTGGTGAGCCGGTCAAACTTCCACACGGTATAACTCCAAAACTACCGAACGGATTCTCACGAAATTTGGATATGTTGCTCAAATCACCCTCAGCTACTCAGGGATATATTGATATTTTATGTATAAAGTATGGGGTTAATGGGTGAGATTACTTTAAAAGTAAACCTCTGGTTAGAGAATGGATAATGGCAAGGCTAAACTACTCTACTGGAAATAAAGAGACTCCACTAAAAATCCCTAATGATGCAAATGGAAGAAAAAATTAATTGTAAAATTAATAAAATATCCAGGAATAGTAGATGCCTTAAAAATTAGTATTGTAAAATATAAATAAATAAAGTATAAAATAACAAAAAACAGTTGTGTCCAATATGGAATTCAAGTCCAATTGTTAACAGTCTCTTTGCTAAAAAGCTATATCATAATAGCTGTGAATGAAATAGATAAATAGTCTTTTTAATCTTTTTTTGTAAGCTAATTCAGTTCACTCCAGTTATAGATGAACTGGAATCTAGATACTGAATTAGTTATTTAGTATAGTACAATATAACAATATATATGGTCCTTATAATTGTAATATTGTATCTTGTACTAGAGAATAGATAACTAACTGACAGGCTATGTGGAGTAGCCTTTAGTTATAATACTTTACTCCTGATAATAGGAAATAAAGTGATGCAATAAAATAAGATCCAAGTGCTAATATAGAGAATTATTCCAAGTATTGGTGTATTAAAAAGTAGATTTATTGTAAGATAAACTTGAAATAAAAATTAAAAAGCAAAAGGTTACACTCACATTGATTAAAAGTTATGCTGAATATGGAGCCAGAGGATGGTGTAAGCAGCTGAAAAAAATAGACTGTCCGATCATCAGATGTGAAGTGTATAGTTTTCAAGCCGCGTGCGTTCCACCAGTTTCTCCGTCTGCGTTCCAGATGCAAATCAGCAGTGTTGCGGTAGATGCCGGAAAGATGCCGAAAAGCAATGAAATGTCGTTCTGTTGTTCCTTACGCGTTTCGTGAGGCTTAGCTCACTTCATCAGAGGATGTCTGATTGGGGATTCTTGTGGGTTTAAATAGCCAGCAGAACTTCTGGCTTATGTTAACCCCTTATGGTTAATGTTGAATATAGATATAACAAGTGTGTGCACAATGTGGAAGATGTGCAATACGAAGCTCTATACACCTCAAAGTGGAATCCCCTTTACCACTTTAAAATCAACAGTATACATACATAAAATGGGTGGAGCTTCTCAAAATAACAATATAACAGATATTCTGTAAAATAGAATATAAACCATAGTGCAATACAGTAATATAAATAAAATTTAAGTATATATGTAGCAGGTATTCCACTCACAAGCCTAGAGTCATAGTTTCATATGACTCAGATGATATGTGCCTTTGGACCAATTTAGGATGTCCAGATCCTTCTTTCTTGCAGGATTCCGTCTGTGACCACCTTTAACCAATTTCCAGACCAAAAGATGTCAGGTCAACAGTAGGTTTCTAAAAGGTTGGTACTTTATTTAAAATAAAAATCTTTTAAAAGAAATAAACATTTAAAATCAAAATAAAATGAAACAACTTTAAATGTTTCGTCACTTCCGGGTACTACTCTCGGTTAATTGGAACGCTCAATGCGTTCCACCAGCAACATCCTCCATTCTTTTCGTTCGATCCACTCTGGCAACTTATTTTTCACATATTTCTATGTATATATTGATGTACTATATTAGTATATCATTATTGTGGAGGTCTGTTCTATATACTATTTTACATATCTTGGTAAACTCTACATACATATTGAAAGATCCCAATCTACATTATACAAGACATTTTTCTTAAGATGTTTTTATAGGGAGAGAGTGATTTCCATATTTTAAAGTGCTCTTATATTATAAAAGTGATACAAACATTTCCCCTTAAAGTGCTTTTATATATTGAAGTGCTTTTCAGTGCTTTTATGGTGTTATAAATATTTCCACAATAGTGTTCAAAAGTATGCCATTTCGAAAACTAAAAAAAGAGGGAAAATTTCAAAAATAGGATCCTTGCTAAAAATACATATAATTGTGCAAAATACAAAAAAAAAAAAAAATCAGCGAAGATATCAGAATACTTAGACAAATTGTTGCAACCTCTGGTCGTATGCAATCCCGCTTATCTAAAAGACACCATACATATTCTGAAGCTTTTAGAAGAGATAACTTGGAAAGAGGGCAATTTTTTGGTTACGTGCGACGTAACCTCTCTTTATAGCATCATACCACACAAGATTGGATTGGAAGCTGTGCAATATTTTTTAAGGAAACATATTTTAAAGAAGAACAGATTTTATATATCTTAGAAGGTATTCACCTGATTCTAACTAACAACTTTTTTTGGTTTCAAGACATTTTTTATCTTCAAATTCGGGGAACGGCGATGGGCACCAAGTTCGCTCCCAGTTATGCGAACCTGTTCATGGCATATTGGGAAGAGAAGTTCGTATTTGAAGGACATGCCTGGGCAGCGAACTTGGTGTGCTATCGTCGTTTCATCGACGATATATTTTTTATTTGGGCAGGAACTAGGACAGAGTTAGATGTTTTTATTACATTTTTAAATAAAAATGATTGGAATATTATTTTAACGGCGCAAATAAGTGATGAAAAGTATAAATTTTTTAGATCTCGATATTAATATTACGAACACCTGCATTAACACAAAGAACCATTTCAAAGATGTAGATGCAAATGGATACATTCGGAAAGAGAGCGGTCACTACACACCCTGGTTAAGGAACGCACCCAGAGGACAATTTTTAAGAATTAGGCGCAACTGTACTAATGACGAAGACTACCTATTACAAGCAGAAAGGATAAAGACCCAATTTCTCCAAAAAGGATATGCAGAAATAGATTTACAGACCTCTCTAGAAGATGTTCGCACAATACCAAGAAAGAACCTTTTAATATATAAAGATAAAAAGGGGAAACAGAAATGGAACAATGATGTCCCATTTATTTGTAACTTTAATGGGAATTATAAAAAAGTTAACAAAATTATAAATAAACATTGGCATATCTTGCAAGACGATCCAGTCTTAAAAAATATCTTGTCAGAAAAACCTAAGATCATTTACAGGGGAGCAAAAAATTTCAAAAGCACCTTAGTACAAAGTAGTGATAATCAAATTTTGGTGGAAAAAAATTTCCTACGGCAAAATAAAGGCTTTTATGGTTGTGGTCAGTGTTTAGCATGCAGAAACACTAAAAGTAGGAAGCGACATATAATAGATGTGGAACCTTGGATAAATCAAAAATTTCAAATCCGAGATCATTTAACTTGCTACTCCAAAGGGGTCATTTATGTCCTAAAGTGTCAGTGTAATCTCCTATATGTAGGAAGAACGATTAGATGCTTAAATACGAGAATAGCAGAGCACACGAGGAATATAAAAAATGGATTGGAGTCACATAGCGTCTCCAACCATTTTAAGACATTCCATAACCAAGATCCTAAAGGACTGTTCTTTTGTGCAATAAAATTGGTTAAAAAAGATTGGAGAGGAGGAGATTACATTAGGAAAATAGGAAGAGAAGAAATGAGATTTATTTTTAACTTTAACACTATGGTTTAAATCAAGATTTTGAATTATGTCATTTCATGAACTAAAAAAGTTTTTTTTTTTTTTTTTGCACAATTATATGTATTTTTAGCAAGGATCCTATTTTTGAAATTTTCCCTCTTTTTTTAGTTTTCGAAATGGCATACTTTTGAACACTATTGTGGAAATCTTTATAACACCATAAAAGCACTGAAAAGCACTTCAATATATAAAAGCACTTTAAGGGGAAATGTTTGTATCACTTTTATAATATAAGAGCACTTTAAAATATGGAAATCACTCTCTCCCTATAAAAACATCTTAAGAAAAATGTCTTGTATAATGTAGATTGGGATCTTTCAATATGTATGTAGAGTTTACCAAGATATGTAAAATAGTATATAGAACAGACCTCCACAATAATGATATACTAATATAGTACATCAATATATACATAGAAATATGTGAAAAATAAGTTGCCAGAGTGGATCGAACGAAAAGAATGGAGGATGTTGCTGGTGGAACGCATTGAGCGTTCCAATTAACCGAGAGTAGTACCCGGAAGTGACGAAACAGGAAATGGTACGATTGGAACGCATGTTGCGTTCCAACCGAATAAGACACTAACCCGGAAGTGACGGAACAGGAAGTGACATCAGTGGAACGCAAGACTGCGTTCCACGGAAGCGAAAACCGGAACCCGGAAGTAAAATTGAGCGGACTGTTTAAATAACCGAAGAGACTAAGCAGTGGACATTTTAGCCAACTGAGGAAGCCTGTTGTACCAGGCGAAATGCGTTTTGGCGATTACCAAGGACTATATAGCCCCATTTAAAGTTGTTTCATTTTATTTTGATTTTAAATGTTTATTTCTTTTAAAAGATTTTTATTTTAAATAAAGTACCAACCTTTTAGAAACCTACTGTTGACCTGACATCTTTTGGTCTGGAAATTGGTTAAAGGTGGTCACAGACGGAATCCTGCAAGAAAGAAGGATCTAGACATCCTAAATTGGTCCAAAGGCACATATCATCTGAGTCATATGAAACTATGACTCTAGGCTTGTGAGTGGAATACCTGCTACATATATACTTTCATTTTATTTATATTACTGTATTGCACTATGGTTTATATTCTATTTTACAGAATATCTGTTATATTGTTATTTTGAGAAGCTCCACCCATTTTATGTATGTATAATGTTGAATATAGCACTGGATTCACTCAATAGTACAATCAAATACAATAAAAGATTTTTTAAAATTTGAACAAAAAAAGATTATAATACATATTGGACCTATATATACTACTCATTAAAAAAGAGATAAATAACATAATATATTGAATTTAAAAGATTATAAAAGAGTCACATATTGAAATATATTATCATAAAAATAATAATAGTATAGTTAAACAATTCAAAAGTTATTTGATACTTGATTAAAACTCATTTATTTAAAAAATTATTAATCATAAAGAAAAAAAAAATATATAAAAAATGTGTTAATTATAAAAAAGCTCTTAATTCAAAGTCTACGTTTAAACCTTTGGGTTCTAGCGTGTCTAACTGAAATATCCATTTGGCTTCTGCTTTATCTAATTCTTTTTCTAAATCTCCTCCTCTCCATGGAATATTTATTTTTTGAATTGCCATAAAGATAAGTCCCTTAGGATTCCTTGCATGTATGAGATCAAAATGTTTCGAAAGATTATGTGAATGGAGTCCATTTTTGATGTTTCTAATATGTTCTCCCATTCATGTTTTAAAAGCCCTTTTAGTACGTCCCACATACATTTTATCACAGGGACATTTTAATAAATAAATTACTCCATTAGTTTTACAATTTAAGTGTGATTTTATTTTTAAAATTTTTTTAATTTTTTCTTAAAAACATTCAATTTTTTTTTTTAAAATTTCAATTCAAAAAATAAATATTCCATGGAGAGGAGGAGATTTAGAAAAAGAATTAGATAAAGCAGAAGCCAAATGGATATTTCAGTTAGACACACTAGAACCCAACGGTTTAAACGTAGACTTTGAATTAAGAGCTTTTTTATAATTAACACATTTTTTATAATTTTTTTTTTTTTTTTCTTTATGATAATTTTTTAAATAAATGAGTTTTAATCAAGTATAAAATAACTTATGAATTGTTTAACTATACTATTATTATTTTTATGATATATTTCAATATGTGAATCTTTTATAATCTTTTAAATTCAATATATTATGTTATTTATCTCTTTTTTAATGAGTAGTATATATAGGTCCAATATGTATTATAATCTTTTTTTGTTCAAATTTTAAAAAATCTTTTATTGTATATGATTGTACTATTGAATGAATCCAGTGCTATATTCAACATTAACCATAAGGGGTTAACATAAGCCAGAAGTTCTGCTGGCTATTTAAACCCACAAGAATCCCCAATCAGACATCCTCTGATGAAGTGAGCTAAGCCTCACGAAACGCGTAAGGAACAACAGAACGACATTTCATTGCTTTTCGGCATCTTACCGGCATCTACCGCAACACTGCTGATTTGCATCTGGAACGCAGACGGAGAAACTGGTGGAACGCACGCGGCTTGAAAACTATACACTTCACATCTGATGATCGGACAGTCTATTTTTTTCAGCTGCTTACACCATCCTCTGGCTCCATATTCAGCATAACTTTTAATCAATGTGAGTGTAACCTTTTGCTTTTTAATTTTTATTTCAAGTTTATCTTACAATAAATCTACTTTTTAATACACCAATACTTGGAATAATTCTCTATATTAGCACTTGGATCTTATTTTATTGCATCACTTTATTTCCTATTATCAGGAGTAAAGTATTATAACTAAAGGCTACTCCACATAGCCTGTCAGTTAGTTATCTATTCTCTAGTACAAGATACAATATTACAATTATAAGGACCATATATATTGTTATATTGTACTATACTAAATAACTAATTCAGTATCTAGATTCCAGTTCATCTATAACTGGAGTGAACTGAATTAGCTTACAAAAAAAGATTAAAAAGACTATTTATCTATTTCATTCACAGCTATTATGATATAGCTTTTTAGCAAAGAGACTGTTAACAATTGGACTTGAATTCCATATTGGACACAACTGTTTTTTGTTATTTTATACTTTATTTATTTATATTTTACAATACTAATTTTTAAGGCATCTACTATTCCTGGATATTTTATTAATTTTACAATTAATTTTTTCTTCCTTATGTATAAAGTATGTTTCTAATAATTGTGAAAAATTTTAACTTTTCTGGCCACTAGATAATTGAGTTTGATAAGCGCTCAAACCCAATTATCTAGCCTGGCCCAGAGGAGGAGTTATGTACTGTATAAATTGTGTGCCTTGTTTCTCAGTAAATCAGACTTGTTCCAGCATTAAGCCTTGGCTCATGTGTGGATTATTCGGCGATACCAGCGATTTATTACTCTGTGGATTACTTGGCGATTTTATTTTATGGGAAGAAGGGAATGCTTGACGGATTAAAGGATTGTACCGTCACACTTTGATCTCAATCTACTAGTTGTTTTTATAATTGCATTCTTTATAATAGAGCTTTCTTCCAGAGCTGCATAGAACTTGTCAGTCAGTCTGGGGCTGCTAAAAAAGGCACCAGGTGACAGAAGGGAGCCCCTGGTATTGCCAAAACTGAAGAATGTCTCAGTGCCCCCTAAAGGTTTTTTTGTTAATGGTTTTAAGTTAGGAAATAAAAAATTTGTAGATGAAATGTATCTCCTGATGATGTACAAAACCAGTTTGATAAACCGAACCATGAAGAAAAATATTTTTTGCATATATCAAGATTTAGCACGAAGAACAACTTTTTGCTGTCTTGAATTTAAAGGGATCCTTCTTAAAATAAATAGTACAGCAGCAGCTTGCCCTGCTTTTGAGTTTAAAATCGCGTTATGACTTTCTATCCTCATTTTTTGCTAAACTTTCTTCTAGGAAGCCCAGGCGTATGCAGACGACAACAGTTTGTTGTTCATGGAAACTTCTGCTAAAACAGCTATGAATGTGAATGAAATCTTTATGTCAATAGGTAACTCATTTATAATGTGTGTATATATATTTTTTGTTTTTAGTACTTACAGGCCATGGTAGCATATGTTTGAGATCTTATTTAAACCCCTTCCATCTCACCTTAGCGCTTGTATATACCATAGAACAAAATCAATATATTAAGTACTTTTTTTGTTTTTAACTTTATGGAACTTTATCACCTAACATGTAACAGGTTCATATGGATTTTAGTATCTTTGCCCCCCTAAACACATATCGCTATGGCTAGCCGTTGACATTTTTACGTTTTTATGGATGATACTCTGTTTAAACAAAAATACAAAAATAAGTCCTGCACTCAAACTTCCATTACTCATGGTCTGCAGCAATGACCATAGTACACCTCAGCCCCAATACATACAATAAATACCAAAGAAAAGTTACTTGCGCACTATTCCAAATCCCTATGCATATTTAAATAACAGGAGGCTTTTAGTATCACTCCAATGGCCTTTAGGTGTAAGTTCACCTGCAACATTAATGCAAACCCCATGTGTTCCCTATTAAGGATTTATGTAAGGGTTTAGAAAAATACTCTTCTCTATCTCATTAGAGTTTTTTTATTTTATTTTTATTTATTTTTTTACCTGAAGGAAGCAGGGTAAGTTATTTATATTTATATATATATATATATATATATATATATATATATATATATATATAGTGACAGGTGAGCTTTAAACCTAATGGCCATTGGAGTGGTACTAAAATCCTCCGTTTATTTAAAAATACATAGGGATTTGGAATAGTACACAAGTAACTCTTTTCTTTGGTTTATATGGATACTCGATTTAAATATGGATTTAGCTTAATTCCATACTTACTTGCCATTTATGATTTTGTTGAGTTAAACACAAAAAGACAGAACCCACTACATGTTGTAGATCAGTGGTCTGTAGTGATTATGGTGTTTGGAGTGTTCCTTTAAAGCAGGCTTCCCCAAACTCCGGCCCTCCAGATGTTACTGAACTACAACTCCCATGATTCTATGAATGAACTAGAGGCTGAAGTTTGAGGAAACCTGCTTTAAAGGGAGTCTATAGGCACCCAGACCAATTTATCTCAATAAAGTGGTCTTGGTGCTATACCTTTGTCTGTAACCCCTTAAGGACAAAGCCAAAAACAAGACGTAAACAAAACCTGGAATTTGTGCTTCAACCATAATTCACCTCTTTCATATTAAGCGCACCCACACTTATTATATATAATTTTGTTCAGTAGAAACAGGGCTTTCGTTTGATATCACATATTTATATATGAAACCTAAACGAATGTGAATAAAATCTAAAATAGTGTGAAAAATTAATAAAGTTAATAAAGTTCTGCTTTACATTTTAAATGTGAAAGTCATAATAACTGTTAGATTTTACTGCAATAAAATACATATATTTGTATTCAGCAATGTCTTAGGATAACAACAATAAACCCATGAACAGGTTTTATGAGTTTTTGGAAACTTACAGCGCTTACAGGGCTTTCCCCTTTTTTCATTTTTGTGCATTGAAATTTGCCAGATTGGTTTGCTGGGCCTATGTTGCCTTTAAGACCGTATTGTAGCCCAGGAATGAAAATTAACTCCATCTTGGCATACCATTTGTAAAAGTAGACAACCCACGGTATTCAAAATGGGGTATGTCCAGCCTCTCACAAACCCTGGGCAAAGATAGCATTTATATGTGTTATTTTGCATTTTTCTCAAATAAATTGCCCTTTCACCGATGATATCCGTATTATACATTTTACTACTCTAAAACACTCATTTGTGTAAAGTATTGGCTATGTTGTCTTTGAGATGGTATGGCAGGCCAGGAATGAAAATTAACCTCACCTTGGCATACCATTAAAAAAAAAGGTAGACAACCCACAGTATTCAAAATGGGGTATGTAGAGTCTTTTTTTTTTTTTTAGTAGCAACTTAGTCACAAACGCTGGCCAAAGTTTGCGTTCATTTTAGTTTTTGGCATTTTTTTTACACAAAAACTGCACGTTTACGATCATAGTCGTGATAAGTTTTACTGTTTTGAAACACTTATCTTTGTGTTCATCGAAGTCTCCCAAGTACAATAGACCCCCTCCCCCATGTCCAGGTTTAATGGTGTTTTGGAAAGATACAGGGATAAACATAGGACTTGCAAATTAAATTCTCTGGACTTGCTGCCTGGGTTGTCAAATTATAATTAATAAAATGACTTAATTATGTAAAACGATTAAATAAAAATACATGTAGAATTTAAATATATATAATATATTTTGTATAGATGTGTATGTATGAAATGTATGTATTTAAATCCTACATGTTTTTTTTAACAGATTTGATTTATTTATAATTTGACAATTTTTATTGGTTTAGCTACATCAATATCAATATAACATTGTATCGAACACAACATAACAGATAGGTATAGTATGTTACAGCAATGTACATGTTAGCGGAGTATAAATGATGCTAACATTGCAAGAGTTAAATGATGCTAACATTGCAAGTGTCCATTTGCAGTGCTGAACCAACAGTTTCACCAATTGGTTAATACATACTAAACAATGCTGAGATTTTGAATTTGAAAATGAACAAAGAATTGGAGGTGGAGGGGAAGCAGAGGGGTGGTAGTGGGAAACTGGGTGGATGGGAAGGTCACTGTGTGTATTATCTCTGAGTGACTGTGCTGGAGGGAAGAGTAGAGTCTTTCATTTTACACTCTTACGTTGGCTAAGTACATTTTACAGCCATGTTGTTTGGTGCTAATTTAGAGATTAAGTTCTGCAGTCATATTGGCAGTGACTTTTGGTAATTAGTCCCCATAATGTGGGCAAGTTTCATAGGTTTCCTGTTCCCAAATTGAGAGGCAAACATTGCCCTATATGTTCAATTGGGAGCAATCTGTTTTATAAGAGCAGACCGCAAGGGGGCCAATGGGGATTTCCATAGTCTACATAGTACTAGGACAGCGGAGATGAGGATCTGGTATAAGGCTGCCCGTTTTGCTTTGGGCAGTGTCTTTGGAGGTATGAAAAGTATGCATAGCTCTAGGGTCAGTAAACGGAGTATAACAGAAGTTTAAGAGCCATAATGTATTTTTATATTTTTTTACAAATTAAATACTCAATATATAAAACAAATGTATATTACAACATGGCTATTGAACAAATATGTCATTGCTTATCATGTTTATATTTGTATTAAGTCTGTATGCAATATTTTACATTAAGACATGGTACTATTTTTTTTTTACATGAACTGTGTTTTAATAGCTTGACAAAGGCAGCTATATTTCCAGCATGGCTATTTTGGTCTAAAACCTGGGACTTACTTTGAATTTCTGAAAGTTGACCTCTTAGTGAATAAGCCATTTAATGTCATGCACCTTTGAATTTTGGTTTGATTTACAGTGAAATATGGAGATATTAGTACAGTTTTGTCAAATAGTATAGGAATGTTGTGCACTTCATAGAGTAGCTAATGAATCAATAACCAATACACGTTAGGGCAATACAAGACTTCTGTCTAACAATTTAACGAGTTTGGTGCCCATGCCTTTAACAGTTTTCCGGAAGCCATTCACGCGCAAGTGTAAGAGAACGTGTACCTTGGTTGAGTTTGGGATTTTCTCATGCCTGGAGATGTGTTGGTGGTATCGTGTTAGTATTAAGAGCTGCCGTTGACCCACGCCCTCTGCTTAGTGGGGACCGGCACTTCGGATGTGGGGCATTTTCGCTACAGCTTTTGACAAGGTGTGCATACCATACCCGTGGTCAGGTAACAGGAACACCTTGTCTGCCCATGTGAAGGGGGAATTCCTTCACATGTGTGTGCATGTCTGAGGTTCCATTTGTAGTGGTAGGCTTTTGCTTTTTGAAAAATTGACTTGAAAGTTTATATAAGGATATTTCCTCCATCAGAGGGGGAATTGACGTTTCGGACGATTGTATAGTGAAAAGAAGGTCATCTGCGAATGCTGAGATTTAATATTCTGCGTGTTGTACTTGTATGCCCTTGATGTCTGGGTTCTCCCTGGTCCCATTCAGGAATGGCTCTAGGATGAGAATAAAGACGAGGGGGAACAGGGGGCAACCCGGTCTCGTGACGTTTTTTATGTGCACTGGATTCTAAAGTTGTCCATTGATCCGGAGCCTCGCGATAGGGGTGAAGTATATGGCCTGTATCCAGCGTAACCAACATGGACCGAAACCTAGTTTTTGCAGGGTGGCTATTAGAAGCAAAGTGCAGCCTCTAGTTTGTTTAGCATCAGGGCTAAATCTTGTTTGGAGAGAAGAGCTCTGATTAGATTTCTGATGTCTTTGTCCGTCTGGTGAGCTGAGTCTTCCAATCTTGAGGGGCTCGATGGCGTGGAACAGGGAGGAGGTGAGTCCGGCGCCATATTGAAGCCTGCCAGGTCGGGTGGGAGCTCTGCTGAATCTCGGAAATATTTTGTTAGAGCCACGGATTTTCCAGCATGGGTCTTGCCTGAAGGTTGATGCCCTGCATTGGATCGTTTTAGATGTCCCATTTTGCGTGTTAAGTGTCTGATGGAGTTGGATTGGTCTTTCTAGATAAGGGAGCTCAGTTAGCACTCGTCCGTGCGGCCGAGTATATATTTATATATTATATAAAGTAGACATCACAGGCTATTTACCTAAGGTGGTTTTGACACTTTCTACATAGCCATTTCACCGCCAACCTCTGCTAAATATTGGAGTAAAATTTAGTTTTTTGGGGTTTTTGGCACACAAACTTATAACAAAGAGCTTCTCATGTTTATTTTGTAAAGTTGGTGTGTGCTATTCCTGTACAAAGTTTTATCTTGTGTTCAGTTACATCTGCTGATTAAAATGACACCCCCATTGTATGTCTTTGGCACTATTTCGTGAAGTTACAGTGCCATTTAGGTGACCTGTCCTTTTCAGTATTCACAGTAGATTTTTGAGAGACGGATTTAATGAGCCTATGCATCCATTTGGGGTATTATAACAGTTTAACTGTTCAAAAAAAACCCACAAAGGCCTACCATTTGTAAAAGTAGACACTCCAGGGTATCTCATAAGGTGCATATTGTGCCTTAACATGCTCCCATTTTTTCACCAATATATGCCAAATTATGTCGTAAAAAATAATTTTGTGCGTTTTTTACATATGGATTGCATTTTTGCTAGGCATTTTGTGTATTTCACATGTGCCACTAAGTTCAAACCCCCCAAATTATGCTCAGCTAAGGCTTCTGAGTAAAATGACACCCCCATAGTCTTTGGCACTATTTCGTGAAGCTACAGTGCCATATAGGAGACCTATCCATTTCAGTATTTACAGTACAATTTTGAGAGATGGATTTAATTGGCCTATGCTTCAATTTGGGACATTATTGCAGTTGGAAAGTTCAAAAAAACCCACAAAGGCCTACCATTTCCTAAAGTAGACACCCCAGGGTATTTCAAAAGGCATATTTTAAACCTTAGCGTAGGATAATTTTTTTGTTAGTTTGTACCAAGTCTAGTTACAATGAGCATTTTTTCTGCCTTTTTGACACACACTTGGAGATGTTACTGTATATTTTGTAATCCTTATGTGTGCTATGGCAGTAGAACACCTAATATGTTGCTCAGCTATGTCCTCTTAGTGCAACAATACCCCCATGTGTACCTTTTTCAGGGTTATGTGGATGTTGAAGGGGCACCTTGGAGACACATCACTTTCATATTTTTCAAAAGTGGATGCTGGGCCAAAGTGTTATTTTAGCAGCCCAGGACTGCAAATTACCTCTCAAAGACCACATATATTTTTAAGTATAAGCAGCTCATCAATTCAAATTATGAACAAGTGCATACTATTTGCTGTGAAAAGGGGGAATAGTTGGCTTAATCCTATCTGGGGGTAGTACCCAGTAATCTGTGTCACGGGCAACGCTGTCACGGATTCCAAAACACAGACAGACTACAAAGAGAGAGAACACAGAGAGAGACACTTGTAATACCGGTCCTTAGAATGGCCGGGCTATACAAGCAGAGAATAGTCAAGGTACAAGCCGAGGTCAAAGGGGTAAAGAGAAACGGAACAACGATAGGACAAGCCGAGGTCAAGGATCAGAGAAGACAGGATAAACGGGAGACAAAGCCAAGATTTGGTAACCAGACAGTTGACTAAATTCACACCCCAAAACTGGTCTGCTTATTCGGCCTGGGTGTGGAAAACTTTAAAACAGTGGCCAATACATAGGCCGGGCTGAGAGGGGCAATCAGGGCAGTAATAGCTAGTCTCAACTCTTACGCCCCTCTTGTAACACACCCTGCATCTTTTCTGGGGGTTTTTCTTTCTGGGGGTTGATGGAATCTTGAAGCAGAAGTGACCTACCTCCATTCTTCTGCTAGGCTCGACTGATGGTCCCCCTCTGTGGCACTCAAGTAACCCAGAAATGAGCTGAAATTGAAATGAAAGGAATGTGCATTTCAGCTCAGCTTTTGCCTTTTTAAAAATAATAAAGGCATTGTGGACTGCCGTCTGCATTATATATATGCCCACTTTTTTATACCATGCCCTGGTTTTGCGCATGATTAGATACGGCTGCATTAGTTGATCGGACAGATCAACTCCCCCCATATGCCGATTATACTGCTGTATGCAGACTGGCACCCGTTTATATTCCTCTCTGCCACGAACTGCGACCCTGCGAGTGTTTTCCCCGTGGATGGTAGTTAGGATGAAAACCTCCTTTTTATCGCGGTACTTGAGTGCCAGCAGTTCATTCTGGCAGAGAGCTGCTGTTTCCCCCTTTTTTTATTTTTTTTCTGCTAGAGCCTTTGGGAAACCTGTGCGACTCTTCCTGATAGTGCCACAGGCCACGGTCTCAAAACAGTACAGCATTTGTAAGAGTGGGATGCTGTTATAAAAGCTATCGATGTATAAGTGATAACCATAGTTAAGTAAGGGCATTATTAAATCCCAGACAATTTTCTCACTTGTCCCTATTATATCTGGGCAACCTGGGGGATCAATGTGGCTATCCCTTCCTCCGTATACACGGAAGGTGTATACATAGCCACTGCCACTTTCACATAATTTATAAAATTTGATCCCATACCGGGATCTTTTGGATGGGATATATTGTCTAAATCCCAGTCTAACCTTATATTTCATGAGGGACTCATCAATTGAAATGTATTTTTTGGGGGTGTAAATAGTGGCAAATTTTTCATTTAAGTGGGAAATTAGGGGGCGTATTTTATAAAGAATGTCATACTGCGGATGACCTTTTGGGGGGCACTTCATATTGTCATTAAAGTGCATAAAACGCAGTATGTCCTCATATCGCTCCCTATGCATTGTCTGGGAAAAAATGGGGTATTAAAAATAGGACTTTTAGTCCAATACATTCTAATTGTGGGCTTTTTAACTATCCCCATTAACATTGTCAGTGCCCAGAATTGTTTAATTTCTGGCACACTGGTTGGGTACCATCTCTCTGTCCTGGCGATTCGGGAGTCTTGGTTGCGTGCAAGATATTGCTCCGCATACAGATTTGTCTGGGTAACTACCTCCCCAAAAAAATCATCCCCCAAAAACAGCTCCATACAATCCAGCGCATTATAGCCAGACAGGTCAGCCTGTATGCCAGGATTGGCAGTGAACACTGGGATGTCTGGCGAAAAATGATTAGGGGGTACCCAGTCATCTGTGCCATATTGAACATTAGGGGAATCAGCGATTTCCTCTGATGTTACTGCAGAATCTGGCACATAGTCCCTGTCCCCTGCGTCACTCTGAGGCAGTGTCGGTCGCCTCTGAGTCAGCGGCTAACAGGGCATAAGCCTCCTCTGCGCTATACTTTCGCAACATTGTTAATACAGTTAACACAGAAACAAGAAAACTTTAACTAAATAACTAAACTTTTTTTTTTTTTTTTACCCCTAACTAAATTCCCCAGTTAACACTAAATTCCACCCACCCAACTAACTAAATCACAAATTAATAAAATAAAATAATAAAATTGAACCCCTTAGGGTTACAAAAAAAAATAAAATTTAACCCTTAAGTGTAAAAAAAAAATAGATCACAGTAAAGTACTGTGACCTGTATATTGATCACTGCTAGCAAGGGAAAGGGTTAATTTTTTTTTTTTTTGACAGGGGAAAGGGATAGGAAATTTTTATTATAACTTAACTAATATTCAGGGAAACAATGTAGCACCGATCCGTCTCTCTCCACTTCACAAACCCACAAGAGGTGGAGGGAGGCGGATCAGATGTCCCAGCAGCATTGTGACCGCTGTGACTGGCTGTCACAGCGATCACATGTGCTGGGACATCGCGATTTGCTGTTGCTGGTCTGCCCCTGACTCAGAGGCACCCAGCAACAGCGTTAACCCCGCGATCGCCGGAACTGCAGCGATCGCGGGGTTAATTTTACCGCGTGACAGACGAGGTCCGTCACCCGTCGTTAAGGGCATCCCCAGGATGACGGACCTCGTCCGTCACCCGTCCTGAAGGGGTTAAAAAATATATAATATATACAAATAGTGTGTGTGTGTGCCTGCCTGTGTTTGTGTCCTAAGTGTATTGTTAGATATCTATCTCAAAATACACTTAGGAAGTTATATATAACTTTCTACATCTATATCTCTTGGGTGGGTTAAAAGTTCAGTGAAGTGCCACTTTAATCTTTTAACCGAAAACATTGCCGTTTTGCAAGAACAGCAGTGTTTACATTGTGGAGTTAATTGTTGCTGTCAGAAAGTTATCTGGATCTCAGGTGGTCTTTTGTGACCAGGTGGTCTCTTTATTCAGTGAGATGCTGGAAATTCCAGCAGCTGGGCTTTGGCTCACTATAATGCATCCAAATGCGAGGCGGTGCTCAATACTGCTCCTCTGTCCTTTTCCTACCTAAAGAAGCCCTGCGGCTGGGGTATAGGTTAAAAAGAGAAAAGAGCTTCCTGCCCAACACTCAGATCTACATGTCCTTGGGCGATTGAAACTCCACATCCCTGCACTTAATAGGTGTCAGAATGATTTATAACATGCAATTATGATGGCCTGCATATGCTGGATTGGTGTGACGTCCCCCAAAATAGAGAAAACTATACCCTTAAAAAAGGTTGTGGAACCAGTCTGTTTGAGATGGTCCATCACAGGACCAAGGGTTTTAGCCCTCTGAAATAATACAGTAGAAAATGTGGTGTAATTAAAACACTTTTAATTCATTCATATTAAAATGAAAAACCTATCTAAAACTACCACATCGTCCAAACAAATTATTAAAAAATGCAGCGGGCTCTATGATTCAATTATGCAGGCTTAGGAAGGGAGTAACCCTTATCATAAGTTATTTTGCTAAATTCGAGATTAGCCTACAGAAAATTTATGTAGAGGTTAAAACTTGTCATTTATTTCACACATTAAAAAAGGAGAAAGGTTGTCACACCATGAAAGAAAAGTGCTATCGTGAAAAACATGTGATTTCATAAAGTGAAAGTGAAAAGGGGGGTGTAGAAAGGTGTGTATATATACAACTGTGCTCTAGTTAACTAAAGGTCCCTTGTGCTGGCAGGCAGCCAGACTGTTTATAGAGGTGGCAACATATTTGTCTTCTAGTTGCTTCTGCTGAGGAATAACAAATTTGACATTAAATAAAGTCTGAGGTTATGTCCAGAGATATGGATAGCTAATTATACTAGAGCAACAAAGAAAAATTAAGTAGTCCAAATAGTATTAATTCAAATGGTTGAGAGCTGTCTAATGGAACTGATATTGTTTTGATAGAAGATTAGGTGCCCATGAAGGCACAGCCTAGAACTCCTACTGAATCACTGTCTATTCACCATGCAGCAAATATCTCTAGCTGTCTGTTAAAAGGTAATTGTCCTATTCTGTGCCTTCAAGGGCACCTATCGTCTTGATTAGGGTAAGTGCCTAAGGTGGAGGCAGCTCCTATCTGGATTAATTTTCTATAAGTAACGACTCAGTATACCAGCGGCAAAGTGCAGATCAGGAGGCAGAATATCACATGCAAGAGTTGAGAACTCTAAATCTTGTGTTTACCAAGTTAAGTAGTGTCCTGACCCGAGCTCCCACGCGCGTTTTGACAGGCAGGCTCTTCAGGGGGAATGAGTGAGGATTGGACTCATGACCTGTTTATATGTCGGACTAAAGGGTTCAGATTGGTTTAAACTCAATGACCAATTACTGGGTTTGAAAGAATTACTGGCAATTAGATTTGCCAATGGTAAGTACCAAGCAGTGTGTGGACCTCATTACCATACTGGTTTTCCAGACTAACCAATGGGAATAAAAAAATCAAGATAGGATCAGCGCTAATAATACCACTAATAAAATATATATGTGATAGTGTAAAGGCAGCACACCTAAAAAGGGGAAATACCCTCCTATCCCCTACAATAAAATTAGAAAATAAACAGAAAGGGCGCGCCTTAATGCCGTATGTATCGAAAGGATTACACACTGTAATATTTAGATAAAACGAAAAGTTAAAGATAAATAATACAGTATATAAAAATATATAAAATATTTAGAATATATAAAAATGGTATAAAAAATTCGGTTTTTTTGAGTCCAAGGTAATAGTCCACAGTGAACGAAGAAGATTCTTGTATATCGATAAAAGCTCTTCCCAATCGAGACTTGGATTCTCAATGGGCCATATGTGAAGAGAAATGTAGAGAAGATCCAATATGTCAGTATATATATAAAATCATATAATTGACTCACATTTTCCAGAGCTAAAATCCAGCTCTGGTGTGAAGCGCGTGAAGTGGATTCATCCCCACTCAAGGATATATGGAGTAATAATTCACCAGGAGTTCCAACCGAAAATAAAAAGAAATAAAATATATAGTGCTCACTGAATAACTGGAGTATAGTTAAAAGAAAGTATTAAATGTACTCACAATATGTTGAGCAGAATTCACTGCTCAGATAATAGCGTATGGGTGGTATAATCCCCACCTAAGGATTCTTTGGCGGTTCTTAAAATGGTGTGAATCCGAGCAGTCAGGTTATAGATGGTTAAAAAAAATAAATGAAAATAAAATAGGAATGTGGCTACAACAAATATTATTTTTGAGGCCAAAATTCCTTTATTACAATAGTATAAAATAAATTAAAATTCTAGACGCGTTTCACCACAAAAGGCTTCTTAAAGTAGAATATAATCAAGACATAAACCTGGCATGCAATTTCTTATATAAGGTACATTGATTGAATTGGAATTTGAATATTCCCACCAAAATGACGTCATGACAACTAACTTTTTAAGACACATATCAAAATAGTGAAATAATGAAATAATCCTAATGTATATATAATTGGGAGTTGTTAATACATATAAATTTTAAAAAACGAAGGCTTAAAACCAATATAAAATAAGTAAGAATGAGTCACGTGACGCGCAGCTAAATTGCTTCCGCGCCACGTGACTCTGGTTTTTTATTAACCAATGGGAATGTTTAGTTTGTCGGTGTGGCGAAAAAAGGGGTGGGAAACATGATGATTATCGTAAGAGAAGTTTTTTAGCACCTAGGATTTCAATGAGAATCAAACATATGTATGATCATTAACTATGATCAGAATTGTATTAGATCAGAGTCTGAACCGTTATTTTTAAATTAATTGTATTTATTATATTCATTATATTGGCAGTCTGTCAGGCTGTGTTAATACCTAAAAGAACGTCGATATTGAATGTTAAATCCTGTTGGATATTAAACTTATTTTGAAGCAAGTCAGACAATTCACTGGAGCTTTTGGAACCAGTTTACCTTTAAAATGGATGGACTTCCTGTCAAGGTTATAATCCAAGATACTAAAGCAAATTGGTCAAAGTGATTAAAGATAGATTAAAATTACTAAAATGTAAACTTTGTTGTAAAAATAGTAATTAAAGATGATAGAAATGAATTAGATTATATAGATGAAAGTAATGCTAAACTGTGCTTGTATTGTTGTGATCTTAGTGCTAGTATTGAAGAAAATGCAGATGTGCATATATGGTTTTATAGCGTAATTGTTTTATCTGTTGATAAATGAGGTGTAATTAAATTCCTCATTTAGACCCAATGGGGCGATGGTTTTTAATTTGAAAATCCATTTTGCTTCTTTTTGGAGGAGACATAAATTGAAGTCTCTTTCATTGTGTGACAACATCCTTTCTCCTTTTTTAATGTATGAAATAAATGACAAGTTTTAACCTCTAAATTTGCCTCTATATATATATATTTTCTGTGGGCTAATCTTGAATTTAGCAAAATTGTAGTCTAAACAAAGGTACAAAAATTACCTGTGAGCTTTCCACACATTAAAAGAGAAATAGTAAAATAGATGGTGAACCATAAGAACTGTATATAATTTGTATCCACAATGTATTGGCGTCCTTCCCCCCCCTCCCCGCCAAAAAAAAGATCCGCTCCTGTCCCATTTAGTATACATCAAACAGCACAAAACCAGTTAAGTCCTACTTGTCTCTATGCTGTTAAACAGCAAACAATTGTGATGGCCTCAAAATTCCTTGTCTGTTTTGTTTTGAATTAAGTTAATTTCAGATATATAATTGCTAATTGTATATGTCAGTGGCAAGTAACAAACGTATTGGTAAATTGTTTTATATAAATAAAAATTAAAAATACTTTTGTTTTCCATGCTCCAGCCAAGAAGCTGCCCAAGAACGAACCACAAAATATACCAGGAGCGCCTGGGAGGAATAGAGGCGTTGACCTTCAGGAAAACAACCCTCCCGCCCGGAGCCAGTGTTGCAGCAATTGAGTATTCAATCCACCCTAAGCCTACCACCTCCTCTCTACAGCCATCAAAACCAAGAGAGAAATACTTAAAGAAAAAGGGAAAAAAAATCTTAAACACAAAAACAATTATCTCAATGAAATACGGCAACAATAAAAATATAAATATGTATCTCAAAGAAAATGGAAACTGGACTGAAAATACACTTTCAAAATAATCATGCTTAACCTCTCCACAATCAGTTATCCATGTGATGTTTAGGGTTGAGTTGGATGCTGTGAATCTATGTTCCTCGTTCACTCTGCAACTCTGAATTCTTCTAGATCAGCGTCTCATTCCACCTGCACTTTTTATTTTTTTTCACCCCACTTGTAGAAATACTAATTACTTTTTTAAGTCTTAAGTCATGTTTTAAAACATATATATATATATATATATATATATATATATATATATATATATATTTATTTATATTTGAAATATGATCTGATTAATATCCTCCTACATTTTCTCATCTTTCATTTTTGTGGGGTAGGTGGTTTGGCTTTGGATGGGTGGGAAATGGGTGTGGTGGGCAATTCTTCTCCACAGTATATGCCCTAATGCTGCAGCTTTTCTGTTGACCTATATAAACCTTGAAATAATTATATAAAATGGGACAGTGGGCAATGAAAATCTCCATGCATATGTGACTAGATATAAACACACACATTTTTCCCCTAGTTCACTTGCTGCAACATGATGTACTGTAGAAATGGGTACACATTTTATTTTCCCTTTTGTTGTTTATTTTTTAAACTGAAATACAACCTTTCCATCCCTTTTCCCACTTTTTTTTTCCCCTGCGTCATTACTGTGTACCAACATACATCTATTCATCTATACATCATTCATCTATAGTTGTTTGCTAACTGAAACGCAACAGTAAGAATATAGAACAGGAAATTTGCATTTCCTTTTCTTTCCATATCTACCACTGTATGTCTTAATTTTGACCGGTTCAAGTTACACCTTTGCCCGAAGTGGTTTTATATTCTTCCTATGTACTGCAATATTAAATATGAAGGAATTTTTTATTTTTATTTTTATATCTCCCATGAGCAAAATACAGAATGTGGAGATAAAGGGTGGTCACTAGTGGTGCTGCATATCCATTCCAGGCTGCACATTATGGCACATCAATAATAGCTGCAAGGAGATAGGGAATTATTTTGCTGTGTAAATGCTTAGGAGTGTCCTGCATAGAAGAGCATTTTTTTTGCACATAATAAAGTAGCAAGATGGATAAAAGGAATGTCTTGTAACTCAGACAAAGTCTGTTGAGATTTAACATTGTCAAATTAAAACTATTGCAACCAGATGTAATTATTTTTGTTCTGACATAACGCTTATCTACCATATATATGCTGCTGATTCTGTTCAACCCTTAATAAAGTTGATTTGAAGGACGTCCCAGCTGGTGCACAAGTGGGTGTGTAATTTTTGCATTTTGCACCCCTCATTGCATTATTTAAATCTCCATGGGCATTTGAGGACATAGTCAAATAACTTTTTGGATTTTTGGTAAAGAATTAACAGCTATTGTGTGTACTCAAGCAATCTGAGAAGTCTGTGTCTGACACCCATTCCTTAAAGGGACACTCCAGGCACCCAGACCACTTCTGCCCATTGTAGTGGTCTGGGTGCCAACTCCCCACTACCCTTAACCCTGCAAGTGTAATTACCTTGCAGGGTTAACCATTAGCGCCACCTCTAGTGGCTGTCTACTAGACAGCCCCTAGAGGGCACTTCCTGGTCCATAGCACAGAAAACCTGTGCTATAGCAACGCTGGACGTCCTCACGGTGTGTGAGGACCTCCAGCGTCGCTCAATTCCCCATAGGAAAGCATTGAAAAGCATATTCAATGCTTTCCTATGGAGCTCTAATGCGCGTGCGCGGCATTGCTGCGAATGCGCATTAGGTCTCCTCGGCGGGCGGGATCGGTCTCACCCGCCGGCTGAAGTAATGAAGGGGAGGAGCGGAGGAAGAAGCAGCAACGTGGGACATGTCGCTGCCTCTGGTAAGTGACTGAAGGGGTTTTCACTCCTTCAGCAACCGGGGATTGCGGGGGGGAGAGGGGACCTGCAGTGCCACGAAACGGATTGTTACAGTTCTAAGTATTGAGGAAGGTATTTTTTTTCATATTCTGTATTGTATGGTCTTTGCAATATGTACTAAATAACTATATCTTGCTAATACAGTACCTATCCAATATATTTCTGGTTTCATTTTTTTGTGTATGGTAGTTAAAAGTCAGTCTGTATCCCAGAGCAAGAAGCATGGAAGCCTGCAATATACACATTTGGCCACACTTAAACTGACTTTACTTATCAAGAGGAAAAAACACCATCTAATGCACTGTTAATATTGTAACCGCAATTGGCCATAGTATTGCAGTGTCAAGCATGTTATAAGTGATGCTTTGTTATTTCAAAAGCATGTTATAAGTGATGCTTTGTCCCTTCTTAAAATGTTTTTTTTTTTATGTCACGTTATTATGCACTATACTCTAATTTTATGCTAGTCACTGTTGATTTACATAAGTTATGTGGTCATGTCTTTCTGTACCTGGGTACTTATGTAAAATAAATGCACACTACCTCTTGCATTTACACCGTCCTAGTAATGAAATCATAACATTTAAACAAACCTGTATTTTATTTTTTATTTCTATTTCCTCCCAGTTGGGGTAGAAACTGTAACCGCTGCAAGCATTAATCTGTATCTCAGGAAAAAGTAATGGATGATGTTATGTTAACAATAACTTGCAATAAATTTATGATTCCCATTTAGGACATGCTATTTTGTACCCTTAAGTAACTTCTCAATTTAAGTGCACTCACAAAGGGGCATATTAGCATATATAAAGTATATGTGTGTTCAATATGTATTTTGTTTTCTTTTTGTTCCAAATTTGGGTAACCATACCGGCTATTTGGGAGGAATATAAAGTAAGGTAAAAATGTAACTCACAACTGCCCAAAATTCTAACGTCATGTCAGCTATGTTTCTATTGTGGCTATTTTGTCCTAAATTTCAAAAATTCATTTTGAAATCCCTTTTGTATTCCTGCTCATTCATAGTCTGTTGAGTAATACACAGGTCCCTCCAGGCATTCACAGCACGCTGGCAGCTCTCTGTTTGCTATTAGATTACCCCATAAGACATTATTAGGGGGGAAAAAGTATATATAATATGGTTGGAGTAATCCTTTAACCCCTTAAGGACCACTGGAATTGTTCAGTCATGGCAGTCTGTACCACGAGTACCACTCAGGTTAATTTTGTCATGTACCAACCAAAGAAAGGCAAGCAGTGACAGGTTGCAGGTCTGCGGAGGAGATATATATCTTGGTGTCATCGACATACAAGTAGTGTTGGGTTCCAAATGAGGTAATGTGTGCCAGGAGAGGCAGTATAAAAAGAAAATAGAAGGGTGCCAAGAACAGAGCTTTTGGGGAATGCAACTGAGACAGGACAACAGCTTAATTTACATACAGTAGGGTAAATAGAGCACCATAGTACAAGGAAGAGTGGGGCCAGACAATAGCCGGGCAGCTAGTTTAAACTGATCTGGCAGTGTCCCTGGGACAACGCCCTGCTGGGGAAACAACATACACTGCATCAATACTGGGCACAGGGTGCCAGAACACGAATCTAGGGACCCATACGTAGTGTCTGTCTTCCATTCCCAGTGATGGTGATTACCATCACAGGTATCATTAGAAAATGAGATGCTGAATGAGTGTTGGAAGAGATAGGAGGAAAACCACAAGAGGACAGAGTGATTGAAGGGTTTGGAGAAGGAGAACATGATCAACGGTGTCAAAGGCAGCAGCTTTAGCTGCGATTATGTTGGTTATGACTGAAGAGAGTCAAGGAGAGAGTTGGAATTCAGGAAGCAAGCCAGACAAGACAAGTGTGTCCAGAAGCTTTGTGGAAAAAGGGTGCAGGGATATGGGACGATAGAAAAGAAGGATGAGTCAAGAGTGTTTTTTTTTTTTTTAAGATGGTACCAAACTAGCATGTTTAAGGGCAGCAGGGACAATACCAGAAGAGAGAGCAGTTGAAAATGTGTGTTAAGGAAGGCACAAGAGGAGAGAGATGTGGTAAGGTGAGATGGGTCAGGATCAAGTGGTGGGGAAAGCTAAAAGGAGAAGCGCAACCACAAGATTAAGGGGTTGTCTTACCCCTTGCAGTATGTAGATGAGTAGAGATTTCTGTATAGTGCCATAAAAAATATAAAACAATACATTTAATCATGTCGGCATCACTTACTCCTTCCTTGTCACAGGATTTAGTTACATAGTTACATAGCTGAAAAGAGACTTGTGTCCATCAAGTTCAGCCTTCCTCAGAAATTTTGTTGCTGTTGATCCAAAAGAAGGCAAAAAACCTGGTCTGAAGCACTTCCAATTTTGCCACAAACTAGCAAAAAATTCCTTCTTGACCCCAAAATAGCAGTCAGATGTCTCCTTGGATCAAGCAGCTATTACCCCACTAATTAGAAATTATATCCCTGTATGTTATGTTTTTGTAAGTATTTATCCAATTTCAGTTTAAACATCTGTATGGACTCTGACAAAACCACCTCTTCAGGCAAAGAATTCCATATCCTTATTGTTCTTACTTTAAAAAAACCTTTTCTTTGCCTTAGATGAAATCTCCTTTCTTCCAGCCTAAATGTGTGACCTCGTGTCCTATGTATAACCCTGTTTATGAATAGATTTCCAGATAAAGGTTTGTACTGGCCCCGAATATATTTGGATAAAGTTATCATATCCCCTCTCAGGCGCCGTTTTTCGAAACTAAACAGATTTAATTTTTTTAACCTTTCTTCATAACTAAAATGCTCCATTCCTTTTATCAATTTTGTAGCTCGTCTCTGGACCCTCTCCAGTGCCATGATATCCTTCTTTAGAACAGGCGCCCAAAATTGCACAGCATATTCAAGGTGTGGTCTTACCAGTGATTTATAAAGAGGCAAAATTATATTTTCATCCCGAGAATTTATGCCCCTATTTATACATGACACAATCTTACTGGCCTTAGCAACTGCAGATTGACATTGCATTTTGCTGCCTAATTTGTTGTCTATAACAATTCCCAAATCCTTCTCGTGTGTGGTTATCCCTAATTCACTACCATTTAGTGTGTAAGTTGCTTGTGCATTCTTAACCCCGAATTGCATAACTTTGCATTTCTCTATGTTAAATTTCATCTGCCATTTTAGTGCCCAGTCCCCCAATCTATCCAAATCTCTCTGCAGCAAAGCAATATCCTGCTCACATTTTATTACTTTACAAAGTTTTGTGTCATCTGCAACACTGATACATGGCTTTCAATGCCTATTTCAAGATCATTTATAAATATGTATTCATGAGATTAATTCATTAGACTGATGGGTATAAACAGGCCCAGAGTGGCCATCGGGCAAATGCGCGGTGGGCCGCGATGGTCATGGGTCGAAGCTGACAGGGGAGATCAAAGGATCTCCCCAACTGGCCCCTTTACGGTTGGTGCTGCCTCTGGCCCATAGAGGGAGCTCTGTGCGATGGGGACATCAAAGATCTCTCCCAGTAGCCTGCACACTGATGCACAGCGCAGGCCCTGTGCACATGGTCTACAACTGTCAAGGAGTGTAGACCAGATGCTTCTTCCACTTGACCACCAAGGAAAATAATTCATCCCCAGCATCCTCTCCTGCCAAGGATCAAGGTAAGGAAGAGATGTAGTCCCTGCTCCTCTCACACCCTGCAGCCCCTGTCTTCTCCTCACCCTGCAGCCACTGTCCCTCTCTTACCCTGCAGCCCATGCCCCCCCATTACCCTGAAGCCCCTTTCCCCCTCTCACCCTGCAGCCACTGCCCCCCTCTTACCCTTCAGCCCCTTTTACCCTGCAGCCCCATGTACCCTCTCACACCATGCAACCCCATTAGTCCCATGCTACACTTGGACTGCCCTGAGGGGTATTAAACAAATGTGCCCACTTTGGAGAGGCATGAATGTCATTGGTGACACAACATGCACCCTCTTGGGCCACACCCCTGCGAGAGCTGCTCTGCCTTTAAATGCCCGGGCTGAATTTTTGTCCCAGTCCAGCTCTGGGTATAAATGGAACCTCCCCCTTCACATCACAATCTACTTTTCCTGTCCTTAGCCAGACAGGATTTTTTCTTTCCTTTGAAGAAAATATATATTTTCCTCACGTATAGTGGCAGTACTGTAACAAGTCTTCTCCGGTGGACAAGAAGCTCCCCTAAAATTGTAATATTTAATTGAGATCCCACCTGCTGCTTCCCTTATAACCCCTGTACCTCCGTTCTTCTTGTCCCAGCACACGGGACGGACAGGGTCCTCCAAGCATAGGTGAAAAGAATATCGGTGCAGTCAGCACAGGCAGCTGGCCAGGGAGTTGAGTGCCCGAAAGCGGAATGCAACTAGTATCCGGCGTTAGTGGCCAGATCCTGGGAGGTCCCGGGCGGCCTCCCACATTGCAGGATGGACACGTGCACAGCAGTGGAACACACGCCAAGAGGCGTTTGCTTTCCACTAAACTTCCGATCGCGCTACTGCACATGCGCAGGTCGGAAGTTTGTAAATTTTGTGCTAAATTCAAAATTGAAAGCTGTGCAGGACCTGTGTGACCCCACATAATTTATCCCAGACCTTCAAGTCATTTAAAGATACAAATAAAAAAGACAGCGGGTCTGTTAATATTCAAGACAGAAAGATAAAGAAACAAATGAGAAAATGATCCCCATCCCTGTCTGAGCTTTCAGGTGAATGTTCAGCTTCTTCCCTTTTGGGAGTTTCCAGTCTGGCCTCAAGTGTTGTTGAGGGATTTCCACCAGAGGAATTGAAGAAATTTACCAGGGAAGTATCGGTGGTTGTTCAGGAAAATTAACCTACCAAGGTAAAAGGTTTTCCTATGCTCCCAAGGGTTATGGAACTACTGCAGAGGGAAAACCCAGAAAGACATGCTTTCATTTCTAAGCACTTCAAACAACTGTTTAAACTACAGACAGAGAAAAAGTGTGAAGAACTTCCTAAAGTCGATATCCAGGTGGCACAATTGTCAAAGAAAACCACAATCCCAATTGGTGAGGTTTCTGGTTTAAAAGATCCCATGGACAGCGGGCTGAAACATCGAGCAGGAAAATGTTTCAGGCTGCTGGCTATCATTGCAAAGCCTGAATCGCTGGTTCAGCAGTTTTAAAAGCCATGGGCATGTGGTTACATACCTTAGAAGAATCCCTTATGGGAAAATCAGAGAAAGACCCAGGCCAGCTGTTGTTTCTTTTGCAACTTTCTAATGAATTTCTATCGGATGTCTCTGATGAGATGCTTCGATTATCGGCTTGGACAATGGGTTTATCCTCAGTGACCTGAAGAGCCTTATGGCTCAGACCGTGGACTGCGGACTCAGCTTTAAAATCTACTTTATGTGAACTCCATTTCGAGAGGAACAAATGATTTGGCATTCATCTGGAAGAAATTATTAAACATATGTCTGAAACCAAAAAGCATTACCTCAGGATTTCATTATTCAGGATCTCAAGCCAATAAAAGATCTCAGTTAACTGGACAGCCTTCCTTTCATTACCATGAAAAATTTCGGAGATTTTGCAAGCAATATAGAGACACCAGATTCAGGGATCTCAATAACAAAGACAAAAAGAAGAGATATTGACGTCAAAAGAGTGGAGGTCGTCTTCGGTTCTTTTCTCAGAAGGAAATTACATCAAACAATTGGATAATAAAGGCCATATCGGAGGGATACAGGATATCCATCACAAAAAAAGCAGAAGCTCTGCTTCTTCTATGGAAGGGCATTGTAGAAAAAGTTCCCAAATGCCAAGAGTTCCAGGGGCTTTACTCTGTTTTTAGTTCATAAGGCAGACAAATCCTTCCGTCCTATCATAGACCTCAAAGATGTCAACGCATGCATCCCTTATCAGGGATATTTTGTCAGTCACACACATTCTGC